GTATTCACATGATATATACAGAATGCTCTTGCTGTTCATGTTCATGATTAAAGATTTAGTTAATTTTGATTAGTAAATTTTTTTAATTCCATAGCGATCAATTTAAGTCTGATGATGGAAAAAGTTAATTAGTTGATGAAAAGTTTACCATGATTTAGTTGATTAGATTATGTTGATTGGTTTGAATGTGGTTCCAAAATAATTCACAAATTACTTTGTAATATTATAATTGAAAGTTATTAACATTTTTTCAGCTCTTATTTGCTTGAATTATTCAATATGTTCACGCTGAATATTTCATTCCGGATTATTTAACATTTTCAAGGAGATATACTTGTCAGTTGATGATGATGATGATGATGATGATGATGATAACCATCATCATAATACTAATAATGATAATCCGTCACAACTTTGGACATGTAATAATATTAATTCAATTGAAAGGTATCTGAGTTTTCGTGTTGAAACTTTACTCAGAATAGTTAATATTCATTACTGTCCAGAACTTTTTTGTTATGATTATTACACTTAAATTGATCTCTCGTTGTTTTAATATATATAAACGATTCATCTTCTCGTTAAAGTAATGTAAACCAATTTATTTAAATCATTCCAATCAAACGGAAGCGATAAAAGCGTTTCCCTTTTTCCTTTAACATGGTAAATCATTAATTCATGGTTGAACTTGCAATAGAACCTTTTGCAGAATAACAGTAAAGTTAAATTAGATGATTGATTTGATTATTTACTTAGAGAAATATAATTTCCATTCAAAAAGAAATAGTCAAAAGGTTATTATCAATGGAGAGAAATCAACAGTTTATTTCCACTCGATGTGGATAGATGGAGACAGCGAACAGAAAAATCCTGGAATTTGTTTATCATCATTTTCGTTGGTTTATTTTCACTGTAGTTTTTAGCATTTCGAGCATTTTTTTTTTGTTTTTATCTAAATGAGTTTTCGTTCCTATTTAGATCATCAATCATTTGGTGTGTTTTTTTTTATAATCAAAATATTATAATGAAAATAAAACGATTATTCTGAATGAGTGGAAATGATTTTTGATTGGAACTTTTTTTCTTCTCTTTATTATCAAAATTGAATTGATTTTCTTTTGTTTTTCCAAGTTACAGTTGATGAAATTCTGGATAATATTTTCCATTCTCTTCTGGGCTTTTCGTGAGAGAACTTATTCTTTTTATATCTTTAAACTTTTGAACTCTGCTTTTTACATCTAACGAATAAGGAAATTGTTTTAATCTTAATGATAAAATCAATAAATTCTTGAAAGAAAAGGTTCTTATCCAAAATCTGAAGATAATTCAGGTTATTCGATATTCAATCTATAAAAAACTGATAACCAAAGTGCCAAACAAATTCTGTCAAACTAGTTAACCAACATGATGAAAAAAATGTTAATCGATAAACATTCAAAGGGATAGACAATTCTAATAGTAGAATTATATTAATTTTAAAAAAGTTCTTTTCGATATCCAAATGAATTAGAAAATAATGAAACTGATGAGAATGGATTTTACATTTTTCGATTAAATAACTAATTTCAGTCAAATGTATTCAGAATATCAAATCTAAATGAATTCCTGGTATCATGATAAATCCAAAGAACATTATATTCGTAATGGAATTCCGTATTTTTCCAACTCAGAACATAATGATTGAGGTAAAAAAGAAGAGAAAAAAGTTCTCCCAAAGTAAATTATTCTCAATTCCAAGCATCCATTATCTCTGCCACTTTCATGGTGGAAATTTTTTCAATCCAGAATAATAATAATACTACTTTGAAAATGACGAACTCATCCAAATATGAATTCAACCTCATGGACAGAAAATGATTATCAATATAATAGTAAGAAATTAATTTCCTATGTTAATGTCGGCACCAAAATTTGACACTGATTTCTGTCAATTTTTGTCGATTGAATTTCAAGTGAATATATTTTTTTCTGTCAACTTTTCATTCTCCTTTCAGTAATGTTCCAAATCCTTCATGAACCTTTCAATAAGTCCATTGAAATTCAACTAATATTATCAAGAGACCTTTTTACTTGTTCGACAATATCATAGATTATCAATTTATTGATTGTAACTATTTTTAAAACAAATACTACGAAACAATTTATGATGTAATGCTACAGGAAATTTCACCAGAATGAGGTTAAAAAGACTGAAAAGTTTCAGTGCTAATTTGTTGTTTTCCATTAATTCTGAGATCCAAGTCATGGGTGTATTTTGTTCAGTAAAGAAGCTTACATGATAGAGATCATCATGGTGGAAAAAAATAAAGTAAAGTAATAGAAAGAAAGTTAAAAGAATTGCAATTGAGAAAAATAATTCCATCATTTTCAGAAGTCGATTCCATGATTAAGCCAATTGAAGGGAGTTAAAAATCAATATCCAACTATCGTGTTGTTGTTTTCTGATATTCACTAAGTTTCACTGACCAAGAGAACTAGAAAAAGGAACCATTTAGTTTTATCATCTCATTGAAATAAAATTGATTGTTGGTCAAGACCTTATAATAAATTATCGAAACAATCAAACGATTGACAATCTAAATGTTATATATTAGTTTCCGTTCTTTCATGGTTATCATTTAAATCATCATGACTTTTTTACTTCATCTTTTATCATTCCGTTTCTCTCCTCTTATTGTTGCCAATATATAAATGATTTCCAATAGTTTTCCATGTTAATGGCGAAAAAAAAATTCTTTTTCAGATAAAAAGTGAATATAATATAAGTGAAAGTAGGAATCAACTGCGAAGCCCATGGAATGTTCAGAAAAAGAGACTCTCTCTCTCTCTCTCTCTCTCTCTCTCATCTGCTTCCATCTCTCTCACTCCTCTTTGACTTTTCTCTCTCTCTTTTCTCTTCTTTCGATTTCCTTTTCCAACTTAACGTTCGTGTTTGATTCTATCTTCTCTACGCTCTTGCGTGAAAATCGTACTAACGATCGATAATATTTTAGTACAAAATATTTCTCATCCTCATCCACCCTCATTGGAACCATGTTATCACTCTCAGCTGAATCTTCCAACTCTTTTTTTCCTCAGTAAAGTAGAAAAGGTTTACCATTATCATCCTGATTCTCTCCTTTCATTTCATCTTCATCATTTTCATCCCGAATTCTATTTTATTAATATTTTGCTCGATTCTCTCTTTTTTCCATCATCTATCTCATCATCTCATCTCTTCTTGTATAACTTCATATCTGTGAATTTTTGTTATTAGAATTGTTTTCATTCTGTTTCCAACATCATGTTATCCCAATCATCATTATCTTCATCATCTAATTACCCTTGGCTCATAGTTCCAATAAAATAGTGCTAATAATTAATTATAATTGATACTCATCTTCTTCTCATCAGTTAAACTTTGTTTATATTCATAAGAAATTGAAAGATGATGAGAGAGAAAAATATTCAATTGTTCATCTTTCTCATCTCCATGAACCACAACATGAGACACACATGACATTGTGTTGAAATTGAGCCTTTTATATCATCCTGATTATCGTTAAATTGTCACTTCATTTGATTTAAATAATTGATGAACACAAATGAACCAATCTGATGGTCACTTTGAATAGTAAATTGGTCATGTTAATAATAATCAGTGTCCATTATCAAAATAATCAGCTCTTTATGGATCAATCATCATTATCATCTTGACATCTAATCTGATCAATTGTAGAATCAAATATAATGATTGTTTCCAATCAAAGTTAATTTTTGTGTCCAAAAAATCAATTGTTTGTCAATTTGAATCTTCCAAGATAATGATTAGTTTACTTACAAGTTTTCTAATCATAATTGTCTTCCAATAAACAATCAATCACTTGGACTAATTGTTTCTCTGTGTAAATTAACCCATCACAATAACTATTCACTTCCAATATTAGTTTATTTAATTGCTGAAATTAGACAACAATCATCTTAATCAATCGATCAATCAAATCATGTTTACTTACGGATTAGCTCACCTTGAATGTCAAAGTAAGATTATCAACATTTTAATTTAACTTAACCACAATTAAGACTCAATTAGTGTGTTTAAATTGTTGAACACAATCAACGAATTGAATGAAATTCATTCTTCAAATTTGTTTGATAAATTTCAAGCGATTTCATGATAACTAACTGACTAATTGCTGGTAGAAGATTAATTGTTATGATTAGTTTTAATTCAACAAATATCATAACACAAATTATTAATCTCGTTTGTTTGTCTCGTTATAATTGTGAATTGTTTATGGAGTACAATCAACTGAATTAAGTAAACACTGAATTTATTATAATCATTATCAATGATATACTATCATGATTATCATACGATAACAATACAAATGTAATATATTATCATGTTTGATTAGAAATGGAAATGATTTATTCTGAGTCTCATTTGTAATCAGATCTGAGAATCAGATTAGTCTTGGAAACAAATTGCTGACCAATAATTGGTAACGATAAATCATTATTGATATAATCGCTTTTCCATCGTGAAAATTAATGATTGATTATCGTTATTAATCAGATAGAAATTAATTATTGGTTGGAAAAGTGAACAATCTTCATCAGTTCATATTAATAATTAAATGGAAAAAATTTTGGAAAAAGTTTTCATATTGAACTTTTTTTTCTTAATAATGTAAATTGAATCAAAAATCTGATGAAAATTGAACAATCTAATTGTTAATATTATACAATATGAATTGTGAATTGTTTAGTTAATATCATATGAGGTTATTATTGTCACTTTCAATTCCCGATTGTGGATTCAAAATTCAACCAGAATGTCAAGGTTATTATCTGATGAGATTATTTTTCATGATAAAGTTTTTCTCAATTCATTTCAACCTTGGCAAACAATTTAATTTAACTGTCACTTTTTGCTAAATTAAATTATATTGTAGTTTGTAAAGTAAACATTCAAGGAAAAGTGTTAATTGTTGTTTCTTAATTTTTAATCTCATTAGGTGATCATAATTCAACTACGGAAGAGGAAGCGAATGATAATCCCAATAAGTGTTCAAATCGAGCTCGAAAATGGAGTCGAGGAATATTATTAACCTTGATCATATCGTTTTCATGGGTTGGCACTTTTCACCTGATTCGACTTTGTTATGAACGAGGATCGGCACGAAGTGCGACCATTACCAGCACCCATCCCAGCAATACTGATAATCACAATCGTCTAGTTAATCACCTTAATAATGAAACTGCAACAATTAGTCCTTCCAAAGAAAGTGATAAGGTAAAAGTTTCATTTTTTTTACTGATTGTTTGTTGATAATTGACAGAAATTTATTCTTCTTGTTAATAATAAGAGTTTTTCTTGTTTCAAGTTCCCAATTTAAATGATTACATGCAAATGGAAACACAGAAAAGAGATACAATTAAGTAGAGAGAGAGAGAGAGGAAACGATTCCATGAAAAGTTCAGTCAGATTCAGGGCAATGTGAGTGTTTGCTATTGATTATCATTGATTCTGAATTAAAGTGGATCGATAATTCAGGTTTAACTGATTTACCATCACTTGAGATGATAAACTTTATGAATATAAGATTTTCTTTCTCATGAAGCTCATAAAAATACACCAAGAACGTCACCATAATAACAGAATGATTAACTTAACCATTCCATGATTTTTAACGATTATTTCATGATAATATGAGAAGATTTTCGTTTCAAATCAATAGATGAGATGACAATATCCCTTTGATAGAAATACAAGTTTTATCTGATCAATTTTGTTTCGAATTTGATTTTGTGATTACAGTTACAATTAGCACGGAATAAAAATGTTAATCCAATTGAATCGACGTTCGATGCTCCGTTTTTCATGGCCTGGTACGCGTCTCTCTGGAACGTACTTTTCCTACCGATATTTGCTTCATTCAAAGTCTGTTGTTTCAATAAAGATAAAACATCAACCAAGAAGATGATTGTGTAAGTTGAAAGGTTCAATTCGATTAACTGATTGTTGGCTAATTGTTTGTGTTCTATGGGTTCATTAATGTTTTTCTTTATATTAATTCAGTGAATCTATTCAACAATTCATGGAAAGAGGTTTTCTTTATTACAATTTTTCACTCGATGTGGCTTATTCTGTATTCTATGGATTCTATCTAATTATCTTCTAATTTATACCATTCGAAAATTGGACACTACGGTTGTCGTGGCTCTTTTTGCTTGTTCCGTTTCCTTTGTCTATTTACTTTCATGGGTTGTACTTCATCAGCAGTTTGTTGGAATCAGGGTAAGTTTCAATTTCTCTTAATTTTCATCTAATCATCAAGAGTTAATTGTCTATCGTCACTTTGTTCATGATCAGATCGTTGGGTTCATACTTTGTAACACTGGAACTGCCTTGTTGGCTTATATGGATGGTGTTAACCGAACGACTCTTTCCAATGTTTTAATTGCGATGATTGCTTGTTGTGCTGCAGCAATTTACAAGGTAATTAATTGTTAGTTCGATTATTATCTGGGTACAATTGATTGATTGTTTCATTTTCTTTCGGAAGGTTTTTTACAAACGAACCTTAGGTTATACCACTTTCGCTCAAACTTCACTATTTTTCACTCTGGTGGGTTTTATGAATGCCTTTCTTATCTGGCCCATGGTATTGTTGCTTTATTTCACTGGGGCGGAAGTGATGTCCTGGTCACAAATTCCCTGGCTTCCGCTTTCAGGGGCAGCAGCCTTAAGTTTAAATGCTAACCTATTGGGAAGCTTTGGTCTCTGTTGGACTTATGAAATGTTTCTCACCCTCGGGCTTTTATTTGCAATACCTTTTTCAGCTGGTAAGTGGCCAAAGATCATCATAATTAACCAATTATCTATTGGTTATCATTGATTAATTTGATAGTTTCCATGGTGAAATCCAATCATGAACAACTCATACTTTTCAACATTCATCTGTGATTAATATTAATATTAATATTTAGTTGTTTGGTTATCACCAAATAATCAATCATGTTAGAAAACTTAATCAATGATTTAATCAATATAAAAGTGAATCAATCAAAAAAACATTATGATACAATAATCATAATCCGATTGATGAATTAATGATTAACCAATAATAATAATCGGATAAATAATATGAGTAATTCATCATGAAAAACAATGATGATGAAAATAAAAAGTATTTCAAGTTATAATTGATTGGAAATGAATTGAATCTATTATATGAATTAATGATTGGTGTTAATTGTTTGCTGTTTCAGTGATCGATGCTACAATTTACAAGGTCAGTTTCAAGGAGATGAAACTTGGAGGTATCTTGTTAATTATGTTTGGTTTTATAATTGTCTTATTACCCGACAATTGGAATCAATATTTGGCCAATATACTGAGGTCACGATTAGCTAAATGGAAACGAAATGAACAATTGAAAAAAAACGGATCAAGGGTCCAGGATACAACGACGGCTCAACTGTCACGACTAAGAACACCGAGCGGAAGAGTCAAATGATGATGATTAAAGGTAATAATAGTGATTACAATCAATCAGCTGCTAATGGTAAACGATTATCATCTTCATCATCGACATCGTCAACAATCAAATTACCTTATCATTGATTGTTACGGAAGCCGAAACGGACTATCCTGAGACCCGAAAAAAAAACAACACCGATAACGAAACTTGTATACAAATGTTGTCCCTTGTTCATAATTGAATCAACATTTAATTGCTGAATCAAATTTAAATCAACTCGCAATAATCAATCATTTTTGGTAATCATCACATGGAATCAATGACACAATCAATGCTAATGCAATTTAATTTTCAATTTTTCATTATTTTGCTCATTGATTGTCATTAACAATCTAATCCTGTTGGCACAATTAACTAATTTTATTTTCTATTTTGTTTTGTTATTATCCCCAATTGTTATCAATTGATTACCTATTATGTTAGTTAATTGATTGTAATCAATTTCGGTTTATTTAATATTATGGTTTTGTGTTTTAGTTACAATCAATAAATTGTGGTTTATTGTTATTATTAATATAATATTATAAGTTTAATTGGTAGTACTCTTGACAATCACAATTAGATTGTTATAAAATAAATTTGCTATTGGTTAATTGTTACAAATATTTATTTTTCTGCTCTTTGCTTAATTGCAAATGATTAATTAATTATAAATATATCACTGATGGCAATCAAATAATATTAATTATAATTGTATTTACCTTTTTGTTTCTTAAATTTGATTAAATTAAGTTTTCTTACCACAATTAGTAGTATTGTAAGAATCAACTAAAAGTCAAAGTGTATTTATATTAATTATTATGATTATATAATAATAATTAATTGTTATTAGAAGTGGTTAATAATAATAACCAATAACTGCTCATTTTTAAATTGCTACAATCCTGTGATTAAATTATGATTAAAATCTAATTATATGATTACAATCGAGAATCATTTTATTTGAGAAACTTTTTCTCTTTAAGTGGAAACAAAAATATAAACCAAACAATTAGTTAATTGCATGGAAATGTTTAAATTTATCGTAAAAGGTGAAAGAGAAATTAAACTTAATTAAGATCTGTTTGTGATTAATTCCATCCAAGGCAAGTAATTGATTAGATTGTTACTGAGATTGTTAATGAATTAGATTTTTGGAAAATTTTTAGTTTTAAAAAGTAGTGAGATTGTGAATCTCTGTTAAATAGTCATTAGTTAATTAGTGTTTTAAAAGATTAGTTGAGACAATTTAATCTTCATTAAGTGCAGATTATAATTAATGAAGGAGAAAAAAACGTTCAAATAGTTAATTGGATAGTTACCCCCAGTTGAGAATTGATATAAAGGTAAAGATAATCAGTTAATTCCAGAGTTTTTTTAGATTAGATTCATTCAACAAAATCTACTCCGACTTGTTTGAGAATCTCATCACTAATTTCACGAATGGTTAATATATCGTCGAGTGGTAAAATTGGACTTTCGGTTAGACCTTTGACCAAACATTCGTGGACATGTTGAGCTTCAAAGGTCAAAAGCCGCTGTTGGCGAAATTGTAACTTGCAACAGTTTCGGGAACTTGGAATTCAAAGTTTTCCTCCGTGGAAAGATTTTCACCAGTTAACATGACCACTTTTGTTGGACACCAGAAAGGAGATAATATTTTCAGAATTCCTTTGGTACCAATAATGTGAGCTTCATTGGACATTTGTCCTCGAATAGTATTGGACATAGAGGCTACTTGACCATCAGAATATTTGAAAGCAACGGAGATTGACTCATCGATACCTATCAATGGAAATGGATTCAATTGAATATTAATTGTTTCTTTTAAATTGTAGAAATATTGAGAGAAATAGTTGACAAACTGACCATCTTCATTGAGATGTCCGGTTGCCATTATTTGTGTTGGTTTCTTGTTACCAATACACATTTGGATGACATTAATTGTGTAAACACCGAGATCAAGAACGGTTCCACCACCAGAAGCTTTTTTGGTTAACCTTTCAACTTTGGTTAAATCATAGCCAAAAGTTGCATTGACCGAGACAATATCACCAATCGCCTTTGATTTAATTTTATCCATAACTAAAGCATAGGCAGGATTAAATCGAGACCAAATTGCTTCCATTAAGAACAAATTTTTGGATTTAGCGAGAGCGATCAACTCTTTCGTTCCTTTCACAGTCATGGTGATTGATTTTTCCATGAGAACATGTTTACCAGCCTCTAGCATGAGTCTTCCAGTCCACAAATGATGGGACATAACAGTTCCTATGTAAACAACCTGGACTTCAGGATCTTTGGCAAGCTCTTCATAGGAACCATAAGCTCGGGCGATATTGTGAGTGGAAGCAAATTTCTTGGCATCTTCAAGGTTACGAGCAGCAACAGCAACTACCTGTTAAAATCAACAAGATAATCAAATTAAAAGGTAATCGTCAAAATTTCCATGGCCACTTTTCCTAAAGACTTTACCTGATGTTCCTTTGGGTTTAAACTACGGACACAAACGGTAAAATCGTGAGAGATTAAACCAGCGCTTAAGATTCCCCACTTGGTGGTCATTTTGTTTAATCGGAAAGAAGAAGAAAAAAAATTAGAAACAATTTAATCTCACAGGTTAAGACTTCAACTGATTCTCAGAGAGCAGAGAATAATCTTCACTCTTAAATACATGGAGATAATGATAACGAATCTAAGATATTCCAGAATCTACCAAACAGGTGGTTGGAATGATTAGTTAATCAAAAAAGTTAATTGTCTACAAAACAAGCGACACGTCGATGAATCGATAAAAAGTATCGATGACGTTACCATGGAAACGATGATTTCTCATCACATGTTAACTTGTATCACGTTTTTAACTCAAATTATTTTTTATTTTCGTCTCTCAAATTAATCAATTTTTCATTCGTTTCTAATTAATTGTTGATTATTTTTGTTCAGTTTTTCTAATTCTTAAATTGGCTGTTGAAGTTTTGTATAATTTCTTCCTCTTCTTTTTCATATTCTTTTTGGTTTTCTTTCTCTTTTCTTTTCTTTTCCTCCAATGGCCTCTTTTGGAGATGTTGCAACTATAAGAACTTTCATTGATCCATTTACCTTTGTATCTCCATGTGTTACACCTTATGGATCAGATAAAATAATTCTCAGTGAAAGTAAACATCTTGCTGTTCTTTACGATCTAAACACTTGCCTGCCCACTAAATGTTGGACTTTCTCAGAATTAGATCCACTGGTTTCGCCCTTTATATATGACCACGTGAATGAGAAATTTATTGCTGTTAAACAGTTGAAAGTAGCTTTGTTTAAATGTGATTCGGAAGATGATCTTATCCAGATTAAATTGGGAAAGTTGGTTCACTGTTTGATTACCAATCCTATTAAAGAGTCTTTGGTACTATTTAAAAATGGTTATATTCGACCCTTGAGCTGGGTGATTGGTGACAAAGGTAAAACCACTGGACCAGATATCATTCCAAAGAATGAGGAGATTCTTAAAACTATCATCAATCAATTCAGTCCGGAATTTTCTTGGGTTGCACTTTTAACCAAAACCCAAAACTGTTTCAATAAGCTCTATATGATTAAGGCCAATTTAGCTGAAGAAAAAGGTGAATTGGAGGCCAAGTATACTGTTAAACAACAGTACAAATGTCTTACTATGAGGAAAAATGGTCAACCAATTGGTTTAACTGAAACTGGACAAATTAATCTTCTATTGGTAGAAGGAGAACAACAATTGGTAAGAATTTTTTTCCACGCTAATTATTGAGATCATCAAATTAATCACATCTCTCTCTCTCTCTCTCTCTCTCTCTCTCTCTCACTCACTCACAGATAACTCTTTACAATTGTTCAGTGGTTAGTGCCTTATGTTTACCGGAAGAAGACACTTTAGCTGTTGTCGTAAAAGAAGACCAATCATATACACTGAAGATAATCAACCTTAAATATAAGGTGATCACCAGCCAGCTTTCCCTTGAAATTGAACCACTTGCTGATTTCATATCACAATCAAATGGCAATATTTTCATCGCCAGTCGTAAAGCAATGTTGTCCATTCAATATGAGATCAAACCGGCATCATTGGCCAGTGTGATGGGCAAAAATTTACTTGCCAGAGAATCAACAACCTTAAACATAACCTCAACCACCAGTCCTCTCAAAAGAAAAGCTTCTTCTTCACCAGATCACATTTTCCTCGATTCATCAACCGACATCAAATTAACATCATCATCATTGAATGAAAATATTTCTCTCAATGATCTAAAAAAGCTATTACCCAAATCTGGTGAACTATTATCCGAAAAGGCCATTTTTTCCGCTTTAGCAACTATTCTTAAGTCAAAGTGTTTCTCACCATTGGATGATTCGTCCAAGCAAATATTAGATACAATTATCTCTCGACCATTTAATCATCAATTTATGGTAAACGTTGTTAAATCAGCAAACCTTACGGTCGATCAATTTATTCAAATAAGTGATATTCTAATTGAAATGCTTTCTATTGATAATGGTTATATTATCGATTGGTTAATCGTTATACTGGATGCGTGTTTAAAATTGTTACTATTCACAAGGACTGATGTGATTAAAAATACTCTTAAAAAATTAGGAAATAAATTACAATTAATGGACGAATCATTGGAAAAATGTCAAACAATATCAAATCTATTAGATGATCTATTAACATCTAAGACGAAATTATCTATCAATCAAATGTATAATGGTGTAAAACATGATAAATATTGTATCGAGATTCTTGAATTATAAATATAAATTTTTCATTTTCATTAATCTAATTAATCAAATCTCAACTTTTCTTCCACTTTGGCTTAATGGAAAATTAAATCATGGAGAGTGCAATGATTAACAGATAGTTTTGACAAGTGGTTTATTATTATTTAGATGTTTAGTTTAATAATTAATTAAGCAACCAACTCATAAGCTAATGGAGATAAACTGACAGGCTTGTTTACACGAGTGACCCTAACAAAATGTCCTTCTCTGGGTCCAATCGGTTGTCGCTTAAGGTTTGGTCGTTTAACTCCTTTTTCCTTGGCGAACTTTTTGAGTTCCTCGTTTTCCTTAACACGTGTTAGAAAATCTTGTCGACACTTGGAATGAGAAACATGTTCAATCCTAATGTTAATCTTTTTAGGGATAATTCGATTGCGAACTCGCTTGTTAACAACCACACCAAGAGCATGTTGAGTTACATTGAAAACACGTCCAGTTTTCCCATGGTAAAATTTGAAAGGCATTCCCTTGTGGAAAGCACCATTACCTTTGATATCGACAATGTCACCTCGCTTGTAAACCTTCAAAAAGGTTGAAAGATGTTCAGCTCCTCGCCTTCTGAATTTACGGGCAAAAGTGTACCTGGTACCACGGCGATAACCCTTAGTGTTAGTCATCTATAAAGAAGAGAAGAAAAAATATCCAATAGAACAAAAATTAAACACAAAGAACAAAAAACAACCAAACAAAGTGATTAACCTGCTGATAGAAATTAAATCACAACTAAAACTCACCTTTGAATTTAATCAATTATTAAATTAACAGTAATTAAAACAAAACACAATTTGTTAAGCCAGAAAATGTAAAGTAACAAAAACACAAAATCCAATCGGAAACGGAAAAGAATAAAATGGAAAAAGTTAATTCTCTCAACTATAGATGTCGCTATGAGTCGAATTTTTGGAGAAAAATTAATTCAAATTTTTAATTCTCGATAAATGAAGATGAATATTGATTGTTAATCAACAGTTAAATTTCTACTTTAATTACATGAAATATTTGATTATCTTCTAATTACAATGATTAGATGACTCTCTGTGTGGGCCATCAACTTATTCTTTCAATGTTTTCGTCCATTTGTCATCTAGACTGTTTTCCTTTTAAATCCAATCAAATTAACCGAAGCCTTAATTTTTTCTGATAATTTCAATTCTAGTCATAAGAATAATCAAATTTTCTTGAGTATTAATTATTATCATTTTGATGTTACGAGATTAAGCTTTGGATCTTTGTCTCATCAAATGAAACACGTTAATCTTATTTTCAACTTAAATGTATAACTAATTCAATTTTATTTACTCTCGTTTAAAAAGTAAACCAGAGTTAAACAGTTAAAAGCACTTTTAGTGAGAGATTAAATCTAATCATGATTGATTAGAACCATTTGAGAATCGATCAACTTTTAACAGCCAGTGACTGGATCACTATATGATCAACTGAGTTGTCGAGCTTTCGACTGATACTTCAGAAAGCTCACTAACTCGCTTGCATCGGCTAAGCTTCGGAGTCCATTTTATTTGGTGATCTTTCTTCGAGCCCATTTCAGATCGGTAATTTATTCAAGAAAAATGTCTCACTTCTGATGAAAGTTTTAATTCCACTTTCTTTTTTTTGAATACTTATGAAAGTTTAAAATCTCATCCCGAAATAAATGGCGAAACTTTAATCCAATTCAATGTTGTTGAAAAGCATCTTCACCGGTCAATTGATGTGCCCATAGATTGGGAAATGGTCAAGGAAGATCTTAAGATAGTGGTTCATCAATCATACAATCAAATTCTATCGAAAGTCAGGAGGTTTGTTCTGGTGATCGGCTTTTTCAAAGTCGATGTTCAATTGAAAATTTAAATTTGAATTTACTCTCGATGTTTTCATTTCTTTTTCCAGATACTAGATGGAGACACTTGTTCGAATTAAATGTACAGTCAGACCTCTCATATTTTAACACTTTCATTTATTTGTAACACCCTGGTGGGTGCAATGATTTAACATTCTAACTACAGTTTATGTGCTGTAGCTCCTCCTGGGGAGGAAAGTTGTTCCAGACAACTTCAGGGAGGTAATTACAATAGATTTGGTTTACAAATTATTAGGTAAAAACAAAAGAAAATTTACAAATTATATTAATTGACTGGTGGTTAGTTTGATTGTCCAAAGGTCCAATTTGATGATTGTAAATAAGTACCAAGGGTTGAGGTGGAAGTGGAGATGAGGTCCAAATAAGTTTAACTCATTAGGTATGATACAAAGAAAGGGAGAAAATAAAATTAGAATTTAAATCTTTTAAGATGTGAAAACAATTATTTTGATTATAAATGTTTTAATCAATTTGTTTAACTGTATTTAAAGTATAAAGTTTAAAGTATAAAGTTTAAAGTATGAGTTAGAGAAAAGAAAGTTGTATCAAATTACCAACAAAACTTACCAAGAGAACAAAAATGGTTGAAGTTATTACGACGCAATAAGAGTCTCAGTTTTAAGAGTAACAAAAAACAACTGAAGTAACTGTTGAACTATCGTGATTTCGGTACCAACTTGATCCGTGTGACAAGATAAACAATAATAACATGAAATTAAATTTTAAATTCACAGGTAGAGTTAATTAAATTAAAGTTTATCAGGAGCGATAAAAAATTTCATATTTTAACAAAATCGCTCCATCTATTGGGTTTTAGGTTTGTCCTCAATCTTTTTCCATGGGAAATTAAATAACACATATTCTCAATCAATTTCAGCCAATCACATCTCTTCATAGACTAGTGACATCTACTGGATTTACCTACCCGTTTTGTTAAAATATGAGAGGTCTGACTGTAGTATCTCTTAGTTACTTTTTGTTTGTTTATTTGATTCCTTTGGATGCCAGGATATTACTCATCACCTGAGTTAATATTTGATCATTTTGTATGTTACAAACCATCTTAATCGTTAATTTTATTGTGTTAAATCAATTAATTAATTACAATGATCAGAAGACTCTCTGTGTCTAGTTGGCCATCAACTCATTCTTTCAATGTTTCCGTCCATTTTCATCTAGACTGTTTTCCTTATAAATCCAATATTGACCAATGTAATTAACCAAAGCCTTAATTTTTTTTTTCTGACAATTTCAATTCTAGTTACAAGAATTATCAACTTCAGTATTAATCATTATCCCTTTTGCTGTTACGAAATTAAGCTTTGGATCTTTGTCTCTCATCAAATGAAACACGTTAATCTTATTTTCAACTTACATGTATAACTAATTCAATTTTATTTACTCTCGTTCAAAAAAGTAAACTAGAGAAATGTCATCTTTACATTTGAAACAGTTAAAAGCTCTTTTCGTGAAAGATTGGCTCATCCGTCGAAGACACTGGGTTTTAACAATATTGGAGTTGTTTTTGCCTCTATTGTTAACATGTATTATGCTAAGCAGCTTAAAATCTACTCAGCTAAATGAAAATTCAACCCAAGAAATCAAAGTGGTTCCTCAAGTAGCGTCAACTGTCAGTCCCACCGAGGCCAAATTTCTTTGCCGTTTAGTTGGAGATATAGCTTTGTTTACTCCTGAAAGATCAGATATTATAGAGTTTATGAATAACCTCGCCAGCACTTGTGAGATTAAAGTTCGGTCATATCCTGATGAAAATACGATAATAGAGCTTTTAAAAAGGGGAGAGTTGTTCAATACGTTAATTGGTGTTTCATTTCATTCTTTCGATGCTGATTTACGGAGAGCCAATTACTCAATCATCTCACCTAGTCTTGGTTACGATGAACCTTGGAGTGACTCATACCAACCAATTTCCGACTTCTTTTCATTACAAGCAGCGATCAACCTTTTGATGGCTTCAGTTACTCCAATTGAATTCAACTACACCAAAGAATTATTACCCGAGAATATTTCTACAATTGAACCTCCACAATCACAATCTGAGTTGGCCAAATTATCAAACATCGACTTTTTTGTAACTTTTACGTTCATAGAATTCATGTTCTTATTCACGGTCGCAATCATGATCCGTCATATTGTCAAAGAAAAGTCAACAAATTCGAAAGAGTTTCTTCTCATCATGGGAATGAGTAATAACGTATATTGGATATCACATTTCATCAATTATTTTACAATTTCTATTTTTCATGGTATCACAATCACGTCAGCATTTTACTTTTCCGATGTGCATCCTTTCGGTAATTGGACACCAAGCCTATTCTTTATATTTTACTTGATGACCAGTATTTCTGTGATTTTGTCAACCTTTGTCCTTTCGACCGTAATCAATAGACCAGTTATCGCTGTTTTAGTCGCAATTGTACTAAGATCTTTGTTGGGTTATATCGCTGTCAGTATGAATTCATCAGTTTCGTCTTTTCTTCTAGTATCGGTCAGAACATGGTCTTGTTTACTTCCTGACGGTGGATTATATTATTCATTGCAAGACTTAGCTATTCTAGGAAATTCTAACAGGTCGGCCTGGAACCACTTGTTAACTCAAATCAAAGGCTCTATTCCATTGGGTTATGTTTTCCTCCTCATGTTAATCTCCTGGTTCATTTATGGATTTTTGACTTGGTATCTTGATGCAGTTTTTCCCTGGCAACCAGGAATTCATAAGCCCTGGTATTTCATTTTCAATAAATTCTTGAATAATAACACAGATGAAACTAAAATAATCGATATTGAAGCTCGAAATCAATCTGGTCTTCATGAATCCATGTCATTTCGATCTGAAGCAAATATTAGATGTATAAATCTCCACCGTTCGTTTGGTTCTTTGGGTTTTAGATCAATGGTTGTTAACGGAATCAACTTAGAGATAATGAAAGGTCAAATAACAGTATTACTGGGTCATAATGGTGCCGGTAAAACCACTACAATGAATATGATTACCGGTATTTTACCTCCTACGTCTGGGACTGTTTTAATAAATGGAATCGATATTCGTAAACATGTGATTGCTGCTCGACGAGCTCTTGCTTTATGTCCACAAACATCATTATTTTTCGAGGAATTGACTGTCACTGAGAATTTAAATCTTTGTGCTGGACTCAGAGGATTAGAAGAACCTGTTAAACGCCAATTGATTCCCCTCAACATTTCTCGAGTTAATTTACAAGAAAAAACAAACACTTTAGCATGTAAGCTCTCAGGTGGAATGAAACGCCGACTACAATTAGCACTCGCTCTTACAACTTCTTCAGAAATTCTTATTCTCGATGAACCGACTTCGGGTCTTGATCCAGAATCACGAAGACAAATTTGGAATCTCTTGTTGGAAATGAGAAAGAATCTCACCATTTTATTAACTACTCATTTCATGGAAGAAGCCGATGCTCTCGGTGATCGTATTATTATCATGGACTCAGGTCAAATCAAATGTTCAGGGAGTCCAATGTTCCTTAAAAATAAACTGGGTGCTGGTTATTTATTGAGAATCGCTAAGAACTCAGACACTTTCGATTTCGAGAACACAAATACTCTAATCAAATCCTTCTTTCCAAACTGTGCAATAATTAATGATACAAATGAAGAAATTGTCATTCGATTAGCTAATGAAGACTCTCGACAAATTCCTGCAAGTAATTTACCGGATCTTTGTGATCAGCTGGATGAGGACAAAGAATCTCTCGGAATAATAACCTATGGTATTGATGTTTCGACCCTGGAAGATGTTTTTCTACGAGTTTCTATGGCAAACAACGATCTAAATCCAATCAACATTAGTACTGACGATTCAATGTTCAACGTCGATCAAATTTTTGCGTACAATGCTCTCAGTGGATGGGCCTTGACACTTCAGCGTTTCAAAGGACTAGTTTACAAACGTTATCATCACGTCAAAAGACACAAAAAGACTCTAATTTTCACTTTCCTTCTTCCAATCTTGGGCTTTTGCTTCACTTTCTTTTCTGTTCTAGGTGCTGTTAAGGTGTTTGATCTTGTCCATCAAGAGAAATCTGAACTCATAGAGATCAATGCTCGATCAATTTACGGAAATGTACAAAGTGTCATATTAACAGATTCAACGGAAAACCTATCCCCTTTGCTCAGAAATTACGTTGAAATAAATCGTGAAATGGGAATAGAAACAAAAATAATCAACTCATCATGGTCAAGTTTTTCGGATTATCTGACTAAAAATAATGAAGATCGAGCGACATTTCTCCGTAAATATGTGTTTGGGCTCATTGAAATCAGAGGGAATATCAAACTTTGGCATAATCCAAAAGCCGTTCTTGGTTTGCAATTATCAATCGATGCTTATAGTAATGCTCTCGTTCGTTTGAGAACAGGTCAAATTTACTCAAGAATGACCACAATTTATAAATCAGTCCCTCCGAAAAACTTTGCTGACAAAATTTTGAAAAGCACAATCGTTGTAGCCTTGGTATCGATCTTCGCTCCCTTTGGTATTTGTTTCATCGCTTCATCTTACTTTTTGTTCCCATCTGATGAATATAATTCAAAGGTAAATTGTAAGCCAACTTGTAGATCGTTTGAGTAATTCATTTTTCTTTTCCTCAGGCTGCATTAATACAAAGAATGAGTGGAATCGAAACCCTATTATTCTGGACAAGTCATTATTTTTTCGATATAATTTATCATTCAATTGTTTCCATACTAATTTTCTCGGTGATTTGTTATGTTGATCCATTTTTCTTCTGGAACCACAAATTCTTTGGTAAAGTTTCCATGTAACAATTTTCAATTTCCTTATTCTAACCAATATTTTTTTCTTCTTTAGTTGCTACACTTTCACTTCTCCTTCTGTTTGGATTTTCGTCAATTCCTTTGACCTATTTACTTACCTATTTACCAATAACTTCTGATGGAGGATTTGTATTTATCGTTGTGATTTCTCTCATCGCCTCTTTAGTCGGAACTGTTACTTTCTTCTTATTCAACTTTTTCTTTGGAGTTGCCTATTCGGAGGTTATGCTTGGATTCCTTTTTCCTCCATTTACGATGACCACAGCACTGGCTATTCTTTATTCGAAAGTAGTTCTATTTCGCCATTGTACGGAAAACAACGAAAAATGTGATACATTTCCTCTATTCGGTATTACCAGTTGTTGTAGCGATAAAGAAATCGAAATCTACTCAAACCCTTTTGATGTCGAAACCGGAGTATATTACCACACAATTATGCTCTCAATTGCTCCGTTTATCTACTTCTTTTTACTCATCATTTTGGATATGAATCTGAATCAATTGGGTTATTGGTACGAAACTTTATTGAATTTTATTCTTGGAAAAACAACTCATCCAGTTACAAGAGAAGATGATGATGTTGCAATTGAAAGAGATCGTGTTCACGATTTACTCAAGAAACCAAGTTATCCCGATTCTTTGATTGTTTATAATTTGACAAAAGATTTTCGATCTTTTCGAGCTGTTGATAATTTGAACTTTACAGTTCGACAGAAAGAATGTTTCGGTTTACTGGGAGTAAATGGAGCAGGAAAAACAACCACTTTTCGAATGTTGACTGGAGATCTTTTAGTTACTTCCGGTGATGCTTTTATTCGAAAAATTAGTCTTCGTAATGATATAAACAAGTTCCAGAAATCGATCAGTTATTGTCCACAATTCGATGCACTTTTAAATAATCTTAATCCTCGGGAAACTTTGGCTCTTTTTGCAAGACTAAGAGGTAATTACGATTTGTTTCTGATTCTTTACTTGATTTATTTCATTGTTCCGAAAATTACTAATTGTAATAACTCTCTTCTTTTGATATGACAGGTATGCCTGAGTATAAGATACGAGAAAATGTCGATTACATGATAAAATCACTCGATCTTAGTAAATTCGAATGTACATTAAATTGTCATCTAAGTGGAGGAAACAAAAGGAAACTTTCATTAGCAATCGCATCAATTGGTAAACCTGATTTAATGTTTCTCGATGAACCAACGACCGGTGTCGATCCTGTTGCTCGTCGTAAGATTTGGTCTTCGTTAGTTTATCTTCGAGACTTTAGTGGTTCATCAATTATACTAACCAGTCATTCGATGGACGAATGTGAAGCTCTTTGCTCTCGAATCGGTATAATGGCCCGAGGGAAATTACGATGCCTTGGATCAGCTCAATATTTGAAAGAGAAGTTTGGTCAAGGATTTTCTCTGTTAATTAAAATGAATCATGAAGCAATTAAAGATCCAGGGAAAGTGGAACAGATCAACTCTTATATTTCCGATAATTTCCCAAGTTGTGACCTTCGAGATAATCATCAGACTATTTTACATTATCACATAACCGATACTTCATCTCGTTGGGGAGACATGTTGAGGAAAATGGAAGCAGCAAGTCACAATTACCAATTGAAGATTATACATTAACCGGAACAACATTGGAACAAGTTTTTCTCTCATTTGCTAAGAACACATGATCATCATCTCTCAATCAGTCATCAATTATTGATCATCGTCAATCTAATAATAGAAATATTAACACTCGAATCAATTTAAATTAACTTTTCTATTAGGATTATAATTACAAATCTCTAATTATTATTATATTTATTAATCTCTCTGGCCTAGTCATATGCTGACATTTTAATTTTATAACTTTGAATTCCCAAACAAGATCAAGCCTTTAATCAATTCAATCAACATGCATTAATCAAATTCTCGTCCAAATTTTGAAATCTCATGAATTGTCCAATTCAAAGTCTCATGCGAACTCAATTATTAAAATAAAAACACTCATTTATTAATATTATCTGAAGATTGACTTAATCATTTTACATTCATTTTTCTATGTATCGATTGAGTTTAACCCTTCGAACTTTGAATCCAAATAGATTTTAATTGCTACTCATTCAGTTTCTTTGTGCGATATTTTCATCCTTATTCCAATTAACTGATACTTTGAACTTTAATTTCGCAATTTAAGTTCGAGAAAAACTAAAAACTTATTGCGGATCTAATTGATTTGATCTTATTGATGGTTCTTACCAAATGATCTTAATTTATTTATAAATTGGTTTGAGATTGTTGTTTATCATTGATGTGGACCAATAATAATCAATTACAAAATTAGTCTTAAATTGTCTCAATGAGAGTAAAATTTGATTAATGAAATTCAATTCGTTCTAATTTACTTGAGATTCATGGTGAACATTTTCATCTTTTGATTTTTCACTCATTCTTATAATCTCCTAACACTAATTACATATCTGATTATAACTCCAAATTACAACTATCCTTAATTGTATCTCGCAAAATTAATCCACTAATTTGGTCTTGGATTAATGGCACTTTTAATCAACTTCCAACTGATTAGATGAAATTATCAAATAGTATTTGTTTTTTGTTTATTCGATTCGAATCAAATTTCCTTTGGTCATTAATGTGAATATTTTAGTCTCGATATTATTTGGTCGCTCGAAATGTGGTCCTCACAATTTAACCAGTTGAAAGCTCTTTTCGTGAAAGATTGGCTCATCCGTCGAAGATACTGGCCTGTTACTATACTCGAATTGGCCTTACCACCTCTTTTGATCGCCGTTCTCCTAACAAGTCTTCCTTACACGAAAGAACTTCTTAGAGAATATTCTGATTTAGATTCGCGCCAAAGCCAACCCGTTCTTCCCTCTTCACGTTTCGATATCAACATTAGCTGCGATCTCGCACAAGAGGGAAGTCTGATTTACGCTCCAAACCACGAAAGAATCGTAGAATTTTTGGTCCAATTAAATTTCCTTTGTCAACTTCCAATCGAATCTTATTTTAATGAAAGTTCTCTTTTTGAATACTTTGAGAGAGAAAATCTCGCAGTTGGAATCAGCGTCACTCAATTGGATGTTGATGAACGTAAGGCTAGTTACTCTTTGCTCATTCCATCCTTTTTCTACCCGAAACCTTGGGCAGGTCCAATCGAAATCTCTCAGCATTTGATGATCGCGCTCGTTACTCAGATCAACATCAATCTCTTGATGTCTTACTACCCTGAATTGGCTTTTTCGGAAGAGTTAAAATTCACTGAGCAATTGTTCACCAGATTCGATCTTCCTCCACAAATCGCCCCCAAATTATCAATGATAGACTTTCAATTGACTCATTTTTTCCTTTCGATTTGTTTCCTTTTAATGGGCGCACTTATGATCCGTCGTATTGTCAAAGAAAAGTCAACAAATTCGAAAGAGTTTCTTCGGATTATGGGAATGAGTAATAACATCTATTGGATATCACATTTTATCAATTACTTTATGATTTCTATTTACCATGCGATCACAATCACTGCGGTCTTTTATTTTTCCGCTCGAAATCCCTTTGGTGCTTGGACATCAAGCCTCTTCCTCATTTCTTATTTGATGACCAGCATTTCAATAATTTTGTCAACTTTCGCTCTTTCAACCATAATCACCAGGCCGATTGTCGCAGTTTTGTTTTATATACTTTCGAGAGCTACAATAAGTTATAGTTCTATCAGTTCGAATTTATCTGGTCCATCATTTCTTGGGATCTCAACTGAAATTTGGTCGTGTTTTCTTCCTGAAGGTGCATTTTATTGGTCACTATACGATTTAGCTGAACTTGGAATATCAGGAAGGTCAGCTTGGGATAATTTATTTACTCAAATTAGAGATTCTATTCCACTGGGTTATGTTTTCCTCCTCATGCTGATCTCATGGCTCATTTATGGATTTTTGACTTGGTATCTTGATGCAGTTTTTCCCTGGCAACCAGGAATTCCTAAGCCCTGGTATTTCATTTTCGATAAATTCTTGAACAAAAATACCGATAAAACTAAAATAATCGATTACGATGCTCTGAATCGTCCTGGTCTTCATGAACCAATGTCATTTCAATCTGAGGCAAGCATTAGATGCATCAATCTCCGCCGTTCATTTGGCTCCTCGTGTACTTTAACTATGGCTGTTAACGGAATCAACTTAGAGATAATGAAAGGCCAAATAACCGTGCTGTTGGGTCATAATGGTGCCGGTAAAACCACTACAATGAATATGATTACCGGTATTTTACCTCCTTCTTCTGGAACTGTTTTAATAAATGGAATCGATATTCGTAAACATGTGATTGCTGCTCGACGAGCTCTTGCTTTATGTCCACAAACATCATTATTTTTCGAGGAATTGACTGTCACTGAGAATTTAAATCTTTGTGCTGGACTCAGAGGATTAGAAGAACCTGTTAAACGCCAATTGATTCCCCTCAACATTTCTCGAGTTAATTTAAAAGAGAAAACAAACACTTTAGCATGTAAGCTCTCAGGTGGAATGAAACGCCGACTACAATTAGCACTCGCTCTTACAACTTCTTCGGAGATTCTTATTCTCGATGAACCGACTTCGGGTCTTGATCCAGAATCACGAAGACAAATTTGGAATCTCTTGTTGGAAATGAGAAAGAATCTCACCATTTTATTAACTACTCATTTCATGGAAGAAGCCGATGCTCTCGGTGATCGTATTATTATCATGGACTCAGGTCAAATCAAATGTTCAGGGAGTCCAATGTTCCTTAAAAATAAACTGGGTGCTGGTTATTTATTGAGAATCGCTAAGAACTCAGAAACTTTCAACTTCGAGAACACAAATACTCTAATCAAATCTTTCTTCCCAAACTGTGCAATAATTAATGATACAAATGAAGAAATTGTCATTCGATTAGCTAATGAAGACTCGACAAATTCCTGCAAGTAATTTACCGGATCTTTGTGATCATTTGGACGAGGACAAAGAATCTCTCGGAATAATAACCTATGGTATTAACAATTCGACAATCGAAGATGTTTTCCTTCGAGTTTGCATGTCTGAGAACGAATGGAATCTAAGCCAAAAATCAAACATGATCGTTGATGGGAAAGATTCAATATTCAACACGAATCAAACTTCGAGTTTCAATACTCTCACTGGATATCGATTGACCTTCCAACGTTTTAAAGGACTAATTTACAAGCGATTTCACTTCGCTAGAAGATCTCAAAAGATTCTTTTATTCACTTTCATTCTTCCCGTTTTAGTTTTTTTCTTCACTTTCAAAGCCTCTTCCTATTCTGCATTCATTATCGATGGAAATTATCAGTTCACCCTCCGATCGAAGTGAATGTTCAAAAAATGTACGGAGATGTTTACGCTGTGATTCGAACCGATTCTCCTTACAACTTGACTCCCTTTCAGGAAATTTATACCAATATAAATCGTGAGATGGGCATCGAAACGAAAATAATCGACGCGTCATTGAGCTTAAATGATTATCTTGTCCAAAGTGGTCAAGATTATTACACATTCACTCGTAAACACTTGTTCGGTATTGTCCAAATTGGCGAAGAAACAAAACTTTGGTACAATAAATTAGCGAGTTTAAGTGTACCAGCCACGATTGATGCTTATTCCAATGCTCAGATACGGTTGAATCGTCCTAACACCCATTCGAGAGTAGTGACAACTTTCAGATCGGCTTCGAATCGAAAAGTTTATTTTGATCCCGGCCCGTTAAAAATCAGCTCGATATCGATTCTATCGGCATTCATCCCTTTCGCTGTTTGTGCGATAAGTGGATCTTATTTCCTATTTCCATCAATAGAATATAATTCAAAGGTGAATAATCAATCATTCGAATGTTCAAATTCAAATTTCGTTCATTTTTCGTTGCTTTAGTCTCCATTGATTCAAAGAATTAGCGGAATTGGAACATTAACTTACTGGTCAAGTAATTATTTATTCGATATGATCTATCATTTGATTGTTTCCTTTTGCATAATCGCTGTAATTTATCTCGCTGATCCATTGATACTTCAAGACGTGGGATCGAACAGTATGATTGAGACTCTCGTAGAAATTTCGAGATTTAATTCCAACTTTTTTCTTCTTTTCATTTTCTAATAGTTTTAACCCTTATTTTATTGTTCGGATGCTCTACGATTCCATTTGCATATTTGCTATCATATTTCCGAGTTTCTTCTGATGGTGGATTCGTTCTCGTTATTTCTATTCAGTTGATTCTCTGTTTAATTGGTTCCGTTCTGTACTTTTTATCTATCTTTATTACCGACGCAAATGCTGCTGATTATTTATTGATCTTTCTCTTTCCTCCGCTCGCGATAACTACGGCTTTGGCCACAGTCTATTCAAAGACAATTTCATTTCGACATTGTGAATACTTTGGAATATGTAATCGTACCAATTTATGCTGTTCTACCAAAGAAATTGATGAGTTTGCAAACAATTTCGACGACAAATTTGGATACAAGCATCAGTTGATTATGCTCTCAATTGCTCCGTTTATATATTTCTTTTTACTCATCATTTTGGATATGAATCTGAACCAATTGGGTTATTGGTATGAAACTTTATTGAATTTTATTCTAAGAAAAACAACTCATCCAGTTACAAGAGAAGATGATGATGTTGCAATTGAAAGAGATCGTGTTCATGATTTACTCAAGAAACCAAGTTATCCCGATTCTTTGATTGTTTATAATTTGACAAAAGATTTTCGATCTTTCCGAGCTGTTGATAATTTGAACTTTACTGTTCGACAGAAAGAATGTTTCGGTTTACTGGGAGTAAATGGAGCAGGAAAAACAACTACTTTTCGAATGTTGACTGGAGATCTTTTAGTTACTTCCGGTGATGCTTTTATTCGAAAAATTAGTCTTCGTAATGATATAAACAAGTTCCAGAAATCGATCAGTTATTGTCCACAATTCGATGCACTTTTAAATAATCTTAATCCTCGGGAAACTTTGGCTCTTTTTGCAAGACTAAGAGGTAATTACGATTTGTTTCTGATTCTTTCATTGATTTATTTCATTGTTCCAAACATTACTAATTGTAATAACTCTCTTCTTTTGATATGACAGGTATGCCTGAGTATAAGATACGAGAAAATGTGGATTACATGATAAAATCACTCGATCTTAGTAAATTCGAATGTACATTAAATTGTCATCTAAGTGGAGGAAACAAAAGGAAACTTTCATTAGCAATCGCATCAATTGGTAAACCTGATTTAATGTTTCTCGATGAACCAACGACTGGTGTCGATCCTGTTGCTCGTCGTAAGATTTGGTCTTCGTTAGTTTATCTTCGAGACTTTAGTGGTTCATCAATTATACTAACCAGTCATTCGATGGACGAATGTGAAGCTCTTTGCTCTCGAATCGGTATAATGGCCCGAGGGAAATTACGATGCCTTGGATCAGCTCAATATTTGAAAGAAAATTTGGTCAAGGATTTTCTCTGTTAATTAAAATGAATCATGAAGCAATTAAAGATCCAGGGAAAGTGGAACAGATCAACTCTTATATTTCCGATAATTTCCCAAGTTGTGACCTTCGAGATAATCATCAGACTATTTTACATTATCACATAACCGATACTTCATCTCGTTGGGGGGACATGTTGAGGAAAATGGAAGCAGCAAGTCACAATTACCAATTGAAGATTATACATTAACCGGAACAACATTGGAACAAGTTTTTCTCTCATTTGCTAAGAACACATAATCATCATCATGCATTCATCTAATTGTTGATTCTAAATTAAATCTCGATTCTCTGATCTGGAATATAACAATGGATTTACTTCTATTATCTCTAATAATCCAAAATAAAAAGATTGATCTTTCCACTAAAACCTTTCAAGTAACTTAAGGAATTGGATAGAAAATGAATATCTTTGACTGAAAAGAAATTCAGCAATCCAAATTGCTAAACGGACAGAAATAAATTGACAATTATATTTAGTACTTCAGTTAAATTATTTACTTCTGAAGATTAAACCTTTACAAAAAATGAAATCTTCATTGAATAGTGATTCCACCAGATTGTTGTTGTTGAAGTTCCTTGGCTTTAGCTTTTTCAAGTTTGGCCATCTTAGCTCTAGATCTAAAACTAAGAACACCACCACCCCAAGTTTTTCTCATTTCGTCGTATCTTTCATTGAAGTTGGTCTTAATGGTTTCACAAAGTTTAGCCAAGTTGTTCTAAAATAAGAGAAAAAGGTTGAAGGTTAGCTGATGGTACAATAGATAAAGATCACAAATAAATTCAAATAGACAAGTAACTTACTTTATCCTCAGGGTTTACATTAACAAGTGCAAGACAAGCAATGCTCTTTCGTCGTACAATATAACCCAAACGTGATCGACCACCTTTAACGATACAATAAGGAATACCCATTTTTCTGCAAAGGGTAGGGAGATGTAAAACAATTTCAATAGGGTCAACGTCAGCAGCGATAACAACCAGAGAGGCTTTCTTTTGTTCAACTAGAGATGTAACCTTGTTGCAACCTGAAGTTTAAGAAATAAACAAAGGAATGACATTGTAAGTATGTAAAAATCTATTGACGGTGTATTTTAAAACGTGGTTCAAAAATGTTACTTACCATATCGGACGGTTGGTGGTCGTTTTTGTGGTGTAACCTTCTTTCCACCTACTTTAGAACCTTGGGCCATTTCCTTAGCGATTGCCTTTAACCTAAGTTTCTTAGCTTTTTTATCTTCTGGTCGATATTTTTCCAATAAACGGAACAATTGAACAGCAGTTTGTTTATCAAGATTACATGCTCTGAATTGGTTCACTGGAGGTGGAACTTTAATTCTCTGGTTAAGAATTGCTCGCTTACGTTGGAGCAAAATATACCTTGGCCATCGAACAAACCTAGTAAGATCTCGTTTAGGTTGAATATCTTGACCAATTCCAAAGTTTTTAGGCTTCTTTTGAATCAATGGATTCTTTTTCTTCTCCTTTACTGGTGGGGCCACGGGCTTTTTAGGAGCAATAACTACCGGTGGTGGTGGAGGGGGAACCTTTTTCCTCCTGATAATTTTAACCTACAACACAAAATCACCAACGTTAAACATTTGAAAAAACATATTCACAGTACACAGAATAACAATAAAATTCTTACCTTTTTAACAACCATATTGTCTTGATTAAACTAATTAAATTTAAATTGATTAACTAACAAAATATCAACTTGAAATTAAAAAGTGTTGCTGTTGATAAGACGGAAGAGGAAATGAAGACCAGGGGGAAGCTACTGGCCTCTGGTGGATTCGAAAATTAGTGGCGCGCATTTTGAGTTGTAGAATTTTTCTTTTCTATTGTGTTTTATTCATTTAACACTTTTGTGTTTTTTTTGCGAGTTAATTGTAATTGGTTTTAAATTTTCGATTGAAAATTGATTTGAATTGTTTCATCAATTGTTTCAATTGAATTTCATTCAGATAATCAGAAGTATTGAAGTTTTCAGAGTTGAGAAAATGTTTGACTAAACTAATTCAGTTTAAATTTGAATTCGTTTTTTTTGTTAATTTTTTCTCGACTTTGATTTTATTTTGAGATTGAATGTGATTTGAATTAAATGGTAATTGGTTAATTTATTTTCTAAATATATTGACTGGATTTGAACGAGACAAAATGAACTCTAAAAAAAAGAGTCACAGTTTGTGTACCAAAGATTTACAATTGACAATTTGTCCATTTTAGTGTTTTGCTAAAAAGGATAAGATAATCAGGACTCTAGATGATCAGTTGAATTTAATTACTTGTTTCCAAGTTGATTAGTTATTATGTTCGTCCGGGAAAAGGTTCAACTCGATTTTTTCTCATTAGAAAAGCGATTTTCCTTGACATATCTTCCTCATAAATGGCTTTACATCTTTCAAAGTTAAATCTTCTCCTCGCAAGAAAAGGCTTCTCATATCGCATGTTACGCCTGAAGTTTTCAAAACATCCTTCACTTGCAAGTATCCTAGAAGACAAAAAAAACAAATCATAACAATTAACAATCAAATCAGAAAATAAATTGAAAATCAAAGAAAAAATTGAAAAAAAAATACTTACTTATTCATCACCTTAAAAGCAGCTTCAACTTTACCTTCTTTGACCAAAACCGTACGACCAAGATACTTGATGTGTCTCATGTTGATATGAGATGATTAAAATTAAAGAAAAACAATTAAATTAAGTGAAACAATTAACAAAACAATTAATTAGAGGAAAACCAATAACAAGTGAAGAAACATAAACAACTACTGAAGCGCCACCTGAACAACATGTGATTAGAATTAAATTTTTTTCTTTCTCATGTTGATTAGTTAATTGATTGTTGATTTTCTCGATTTAATTGTTTCATTTTCTAACCAATTTTATGTCATCTTTTGTTACAACGAAACTTGTATCTTTTAATTGTTTAACTGTTGGTCGTAATTTGTTTTGTTATCGTTCCTTTTATGGGAACCGAAAACATGTCATCAAAAACTCAACTGCTGGAGGAACTGAGAGAATCCATTTAGTTGATGCTGAAGCAATTAAATTTACTGTTGATTCGATTTCAAATGATTGGTCCAAGGAAACAGCAGTGGTCATTGATACTTCACCTGGACCTGGTTTACTTTTAGAATCATTACTTAAAGCCGGTGCTCCAAAAGTCAGAGGATTTCTACATGGATCTAGTCCTTACAGATCAGTTTTACAGGTAAACAAAATTGATTTGGATTCTTTTCTCTCTCTCTCTCAAATTGTGTTTAATTTTCTTTGTTTTCTTGTAATTTAGTCATTGAAGGAAGCGTGGCCTGATAGACTTGAATTGTGTGATTTTGATTTCACCAATTTCAGGAGTAACTTTGTCTCTACCATTGGTGTTGAGCAGATTAAAAATGTTCTTGACTCTGCCTTGGAAACTCAATCTGCCAGTTGGACTGAAGATCCTCCAATTAAATTGATTGTTACTTTAGCTCCAAGCACAGAGAGAAGAGTATTACGTCGATTAATTACCGAATTAACTTTACAGGGTGGTATCTATGCACCCGGACGATCTCAAATATTTACCTTCATCAGTGATCAAGAATATGGTTTCATGAGGGTCAAGAGCGATGTGAAACCAGCCCATAATCAGGCCTCGCACATTTTGTATAAAACTTTCTTCGAAATCAATCATCTTAGAACATTTAATTGGGACTGTCTTCATCCAACAATCAACGTGCATAAGGTAATTCAACTCGAAAGATAATACATGAATATTAGAAGTTTAATTCTCGATTTTCATTTTTCTTTCTTCAGTCAAAAGCCTCTTCAAAAGTACATTTAGTTTCCCTAATTCCTAAATTAGAATTACCTGATTTAATATCGTCAAAGGATTGGCCTGATTACAATTATTTCGTCAAACAAACTATGGCTCGGAAAAAGAATAGAATAATTCCTTTCATGGAGTAAGTGATGAAAATACAATCGAGTGAAACAGAAAATTGATTGTTTTTGCTTTTACTTTTTCTATTTCACAGAAAATTAGTTCCTGATTGTGGCCTTAAATTAGTAAAAACTGGAATAAGTGTTCATAAAACTTTCGGTGAACTTGATCCAGAAGAGTTTATCAAATTGTTCGTTGAGATCAAAAGTTGGCCGGAATTGGAAATGTCAAATTTAGCAAATGTCACCAAAGAGTATCTTTCATCAAGTGATCATTACATTTTGCAAGAAGATTTAATCAACAAGAGAGAGTTAATCAGTTCGACCAATCAAGACTAATTAGATCGATTTTTCTACAATTTTGATAAAAAATCACCATAAGTGCCATTTATCTATTAATACTTCCACACATTAAAGAGTTTTGTCAAACAATTACGACATTTATTTCGGTCTCGATGTAAATAGAAAAGGAAAATTAAATCATCTCAGTTTCCAATCGAATCTGAACTGAGCTTTGTTTTCATTTGAATCTGTTCTGTTTCTATGGATTCGGTTGCTTTTTCTATTCTAATTACAAAATAAGACAATTTGTTTTCCAAACAAAAAAATGTTCATTTGATTGCAATCAACCTGGAAAATGGATCCTTTGTTTTTGGCCTTGTCATTGTACCGACGTCGGCAACTCGATGAGTGTATTAAACTGTGCTCTCAAGCCTTGGATAAAACTCCTTTGGATCAGGTAATTTGTTTTTTTTTTGAGTTGAAAATTAACTTAATTAGTTGTTGTTACAGGCATTTTGGTTATTAAAGATGCGTTCACTGACCAGTCAAGTTTATGTCGATGATGTTGAGGCCGATGAAGAGGGAATCGCTGAACTATTAATGGACGACAATGTCATTTCCTCTGTACCCCGACCTGGAACCTCACTTCGAGCACCACCGACGGCAATAAGTTCGCAGTCGATTGACCATCCGTTGGTCACTTCAACACCTTTCTCAGCAAACAGGCCACTTACCCAATCGGGTCGTCCGATAACCGGAATGATAAGACCTGGAACTCAAAGTAACACTTCACGACTTGGAACTATGGAGAATACGCTGAAAACACCTCGAACCTCTCGAACAGCTCGACCAATGACCTCAGCTTCTGGACGTTATGTGAGACTTGGAACAGCGTCGATTTTATCTGCTGGTGGATCGGCTGGTGGGCAGGCTGATAGTCCATTTATTAACTTAGCGCGTTTAAATATTTCTAAATACGCGACCCTGTCGACTTTATCGAAATCACTTTTCGAGTACATTTTATTTAGAGAAGGTGATACTCGACATGCTCTTGATTTAGCCGCTCAATCGTCGCAAGTTTTAATGTTCAATGATTGGTACTGGAAGTTGGGCTTAGGTAAATGTTACTTTAAAGTGGGTCTATTAAGAGACGCTGAGACTCAATTCAGATCAGCACTGAAACACTCAGAGGCCCCGATTGATGTTTACCTTTGGCTGGGAAAAGTTTACCTGCGTCTTGATCAACCTTTGGCCGCCCTTAATGTTTACAAATTGGGTTTGATTAAATTTCCAGGGGAAACTTTTCTCCTTGCTTATTGTGCTCGAGTCCACGAAGCGTTGGTACAATTAGATGAATCAGTAACCATCTACAAAGAGATATTAACTTACGAAGCGATAAATGTCGAAGCGATCGCTTGTATTGCGATGCACCATTTTTACTGTGATCAACCAGAAATTGGACTCCGTTACTATCGACGACTCCTTCAAATGGGAACCAAAAATGCTCAAATCTACAACAATTTAGGTTTGTGTTGTTATTACTCACAACAATTTGATATGGCGATCACTTGTTTCGAAAAGGCTTTGAATAGCGCTCAAGACGATGAATTGGTCGCTGATGTTTGGTACAACATCGGCCTCATTGCAATTGGATCGGGTGATAAACAGTTAGCCGGTCAAGCATTTAGATTGGCTCTTGTGGCCGATAACACTCACCCAGAGGCCTACAACAATTTAGGAGTCCTCGAAATGACCAAAAGCAATCCAACAACTCACAATCTCCATCAAGCCAAAGCCTTTTTTCAGGCCTCAGCAGCGACTTCAGAATCAAATGGCTCACCAATTTACGAACCTCATTACAATTTAGCTTTGATTGGTGAGAAAACAGGTCACTTTGATTTATCGTATCAATCAATTAAAAAGGCTCTAATTATTTACCCTGAATTTTACGCAGCCAAAACAATTTACGAGAGAATCAAAAAAGAGTACGAAAATGTTTAACCAAGACAATTAAACTAATTGCGATTACAATTAAGCTCAAACAGTCACCACCAAGTAAATCATCAGACAATCAACAAATAGTAAACCAAATGATTGAATTATAATCAATTATTTCAGTTGTGTAAAAAATTTCTCGCTTAATTGTAATACTAAGAAATTGAATGAAATAAAGTTTTAAATTGAAAAGAAAATAGTAAAATTGTTGTTGATTAATGATTTAATCATTCTAATTATACAATTTAGACGATTATTAAACTTGAAAAGTACAAAAACATCGATAAAATTTTAAAACATTATCTACAATTGCGATTTAAAAAATAACAATCAATAAATTGTTACGATTACTATTAGATGATATGAATTTTATGATCAATTTTGTCTCAGATTAACGGGAACGCTGAATCCTGTGACCATTGAATTTACATTGTTAACAATACCAAAAACTTCATCAGTTAATTTAGTTACACCAACTGATCCATCTCCAGATGAAATCATAGTTATCTTTTTACAATTAGCCAATGGAGCAGCTACTTCAGCAGTTAACTATTGAAAGATTATCAAACATAATTAGTGTTCAGTTGATTAGTAGCAAATTATGAAAATCTTACCTTCGGAAGTGTTTCCAGAATCATATCGATTTTGGCAGCGTCGTTGTATTCCTTGTAAGCGTTGGCCTTTCGAGCTAATTGTTCAGTGTCCGCCTTAGCTTTGACCTCAATCGAATATGATTCAGCGGCTCCAAGTAATTTAATCGACTGAGATTGAGCTGATGCCTCGGCGATCATTTTCTTCCTATGAGCTTCGGCAAGTTTTTCAATCTTGTATTTTTCGGCTTCGGCGATTTTTTTAACGGATGATTCGAGTTCCTTTTCCCGTCGCTTCGTTTCTTGATCTTGTAGTTCGATTTGTTGACTTCGGTCAATTAATTCAATGGTCATCTGTTCGTCTTTAATTAGTCGTTTCATCTTGGCTGTTTGTATATGGAATGAAGAATCAGCTTCAGCTTTTTTAGCTTGAATTTCGATATCAAAGATGGCCTTTTTTAGAGAAAACTCGCATTCGGCCTTGGCTATTTCAGCGTCCATTGTGTATTTTACGATCATCTTTTCCTGTTCCGCTAACGCTTCTTTGATCAGCGAATCTCGTTGAGCCTCAGCTTCACCGATTCGAGCGTCTCTTTTTACCTCAGCTATACGGGCGACTCCTAATGCTTTAAGGTAACCTTGCTCATCGGTTATATCTTTAATCTTATAAGAGATGACAGTAAGACCCATATCAGCGAGATCCGATGAGGCCATTTCGAACATTTTTCGTGAAAATCTCTTACGATTCTTGTAAATATCTTCCACCGTCATAGAGGAAATTATTGCTCGCTGATGTCCCTCCAAGGTTTCTCGGGCTATGGTCATTATTTGCTCCTCAGTTTTACCAAGAAACTGTTCACATGCCGCTCTCAACATATCGGCATTTTGACCTTGTATCTTTACCAAAGCAACACCAGTAACTGATATGAGAACACCTTGTTGAGTATAAACTTGAGGACTTTCAATCATCAATGTCATTGAATTAAGAGATATTCTGTTTACAAAAAAAAACGAGAGCCAGAACAATTGACAAGAATGATCGACAATTAACCAGAACAACTTAATTACCTTTGTACTTTGTGAATTAAAGGCCAAGCAAATACCCAACCACCCGCAACCATATGAGGCCTCGAATGGCAACAACCTTAACATAGATTGGCAAATAATCAATCACCTTAATTTGGTTTAGAAAATCAACTTACCTGAGACAATTAAAGCTTCATTTGGACCACAAGTATGGAAACTCATGACAAACAGTTAAATTGATTACATTGATTATGATTAAACAATCGAATAGAAAAAATTAACTTTTGGATTAACATTGAAATAACCCAAAAATCACATCGAAATGATTATTAAAAAGGATATTTGGTTCATCAGCAAAATCCATTTTTGCAATCTCACCAACGATTGATTAACAACAGACATTATTAACAATAATCCATCTTTATGATTACCCTTAATTACCATAAACAATTGTAAAATCAACAGTCACAATCTAAAGGGAAAACAATAATAACAAACAATTAGCAATGTCCATTTGTCAATTGGATTTGAAGAGACTCGAAAACACAAACATTGATTCATATCGATTTCGAGCTGTTAATTGTTTCAGAAATAGATTTAACCAATATTATTGGAAGCAATTATCATCTATTCTCAGCTGATTCAGATTAAAATACAACAATTAATAAATTACTCGTGAAAATAAGGAAATATTATAATGGCGGGTTTACTATGGGTGTTGCTCTCGAAAATGATTTACGAGTTTCTGAGTCTTTAAGGTAATTAACTTACGTTTTTTGATTGTGGATTCATCGTTGGGTGTTGTTGATTGTGTGACAAATTAAAAAGGTTAATTTTTAAATTCGAGTGATTTGTAAAGGCCAAATAAACAATTAACTGAATTAACTGATAATCGTGAGAGTTGAAAGGTTAATCCAAAGCAACAGTAAACATGAAAAAAGCGCAAGCGCTGGAAATTAAATTACAATGAATTTGGAATCATTTGAATATTAATTGAAATTAGAGAGATTAGTTGATTGAATAAAGAATTAAACAAATTAATGTTAATTAATCAATAGAAAAGTTTTCATGGGCTAATTATAATCAAGTTGTTAAAGTTGAATTCTTGTTGATTAAACTTAAACATTGCAAGGAAACAATTAGAATATGATCTCAGAGCAATTGCATTTTGATTTGCTTCATTTTTCATTAATCAAACAATTGAATTTTGAGCACAAATCACTGAAATATTTCAACGATTCAAATTCTTAATTGTTGATTATTTTCATCGTTTTAGTTAATCGACTTTGGAAATTGAATTAGAGAAATTGAAGCTCACCAGGTGGAGCCAAAATTCGATCATGTGTTTGTTTGTTTTGATTTTGATTCCAAAACTGTTTTGTTAATTATTACGTTTGTATTTGATTGTTAATGTGATCTTATAATTAGTAAATTGTTCGGAAATCGATAAATGATTGCAAATTAGAAGAAGGTAAAAGAATTTTATTTGAAAGGAAGAATTGATGTTAAAAGAAACTCTTTAAATTCTATTTACTAACCAATGTTTTTTTCTATTCTTTTCTGTTTCGTTTTATCATCTTGACTAAATCCTTCATCCATTGGCAATGGTAATGTTTCAATGGATTGAATTTAGATTCGTTCACCTGTCGCCTGTTTAATTGTTATCTAATTTATATGAAACAGAAAGAAATCTCGAGTAAATAGAATTGTAATCTTTTCTGGTTAAAGAGACTTTGATAGTTTCTTTTAACAGGCCGAATAATCTTGGTAAATCTATTCGACTGGAAATCTTTTCTCTCATGGACAAGGTATAGTATTTAAACAAATTTCGAGTTGAAATTTATTGTCTTGAGGTGAATTCGCACAAGGGGTAATTGAAGTGTCCCTGGGAAGGTCTGAGAATGTCACTTAAGGTTCTAGCCGAACCTCTCCTTAATTAGGAGATCGGGTACTTAGAAACCAACCTGATTTCTTCATGGTTATGGGCATGTGAGACTAATTAACTAGTTGATGCCTTTACATGGGAATTCAGTTGAAATCGATCCGAGACTAGCTCATTCTGATTAAGCTCAATGTGCGAAGTGGTTAGAGTTAAATCCTAACCATTACTCAATTCAGACTATTACATCTCAAGACAATTTTTCTTTTACCAATTAGTTGATTGATTTTTTTTCCTCCTCAATTGTAGATCATTTCAGCTTTATCTTGATTGTTGATCTTTTCCATGTGCACCTTATGAAGATACCATTGGATATAAAGGTCCAAGTGAATTAGTTTCAATTTGTTGGTTAACTTATCGATTAGTTTTACAGTTGATTGATTGACCATTTTATTTTTAATTTTTTTTTCTGTTTGGAATCGTAACCTAATCAAACTAAAGTGATTTGAAGATGATCTTCAAAAATTCATTCAAAGTGATCGTACCAATAATCAAAAGGTTTCATCAACAAATTTCAGTGTTCCGATGTTACTCAAGTAAAACTAATTTATTGGAAATACCAATTCCAAAGGTATTAATTAGCAAAGCCAATGGAGCTCAAACCAGTCGATATGAAGCCTTAATTGATGAATTAAATCAACTTCATGAGATTTTAAATGATACAGAATCTAATTTAGAGGAACTGGTTAAAGAGGATCTTCGTAAATTACATGGAAAGTTTTTAGATCTTCAAAATGATATTGTTGATACTTTAGTTCGAGATGAATATTCAAACGTCAACGAATGTCTATTGGAAATCAAAGCGGGAGTCGGTGGTCAAGAGGCCATGTTGTTTGCCGCTGAATTGTTACAAGTGTATCTTAAGTATATCAAATGGCATGGATGGTTAATATCAAGTGTCGAAGATGATTTAAGTGAATTGGGTGGATTGAAACACGCGGCATTAACTGTAAAAGGTTTTCAAGCGTTTACATTTCTCCGTCATGAGGCCGGTGTCCATCGGGTCCAAAGAGTCCCACAAACTGAAAGAAGTGGACGTATTCATACATCAACAGCTTCTATCGGCATTTTACCATTTCGTCAGCTTGGTAAAATCGAGCTCAAGGATAGTGATTTAAAATTTGATGCAACAACTTCATCTGGTCCAGGAGGCCAATTTACGAATAAAATTGAAACCTGTTGCCGAGTTACCCATTTACCGACAAATCTTCAAGTTGTTTGCCAAGAAACAAGATCATTTTTGGAAAACAAGGGACGAGCCTTACAGCGATTGAAAAACCTTTTGGCTCGAAGGGAAAACGAACTTCATTACGCCAATTATCAGAAACTAAGGAAAGATCAATATGGTGACTCGGGTCGAAGTGAAAAAATTCGAACCTACAATATTGTTCAAGATCGAGTTACTGATCATCGGTTGGGGGAAAATTTATACAACATAAAGGATTTTATGAAAGGTGAACCGGATAGATTACATAATTTAGTTGTTAAATTAGAGGAAATGAGAAAACAAACTATTTTGAAACGTCTTCTTGTAGATTGTAAATAGGAAATTGAATCCAACCGTCGAAAATTGTAAAAAAAAGAGATGCTAATTCTATAATAAATATATACCTTTCAATAAGGAATATGTAAGAAGCGTATCACTTTTTTTGACTCTTTTTTTTTTAATTTACTTTAGATATTTGAAAAACAGTTTGATACTAGCTGAGTAACCATTGGAAAGGTTATTCAGCTGGCACTTCCACCTCTTTGTTATTAATCTTTTCGATCAGGGCATGTGGATTGATACCTTCAACTGTACATCCTACACTTTGACAGGTACCGAGAATTTCTTTCACTGTTCCTTCCAATTGTTTGGCCATACTTCGTGGTCGCATTGCTCGAGCTACCGACAAGATATCATCGAAAGAAAGATTTCCATTGTGTTTAACATTTTTAACCTTTTTACGATCTCTTGGTGGTTCTTTGAGTGCTCGAATAACTAAACTAGCAGCACTTGGTACGACATCAATGGTAGCCTGTCTGTTTTGAATGGTTAATTTAACAGTAACTTTAAGTCCTTTCCATTCAGATGTTGCTTTAGCAATATCGTCACCAACTTTTTTTGGTGATAAACCAAGAGGACCAATTTTAGGAGCAAGTGATGAGGTAGCACCAACTTCACCACCAACAGCTCTAAGGTAAACTGTAGAATAAAATTAAGACAAAGACAAAAATTAAAACAAAATCCAAAAAGACACAATTAACTTAAGCCGATTGCATTAGAAAACACGTTCAATCAAAAATCAACAAGAATCATTTATATATAAAGTGTACATACCAATTTTGATTTCCGATGGATCGGCTTTTGGTGGCATGATTGTTTAATTTAAATAAACTAAATTAATAGCAAATTAATAAAAATACAACAAGAAAATACAATTAAATGTGATTTTCTCAAAACTCAACTCAACAAACGGAAGAGGAAACCAAATGTTGGTAAAGTAAAAACCTTAAGCTTGAAGCCGAGAAAAAAAGAGCGCGTGTTTTGAATTTCTTTTAATTCTTTTCAATTTAATTAACCATTTTTCTGATTAAATAATTGGAAGAAACTCGCAAAAAATTACTAATTGTAAACAGTGGCGATGAAAAAAATTTCTAATTAAATGCAAAGAAAATGATATGAAGAGGGAAAAGATATTAATTCAATTGAATGGCTGGAAAATAATTTGAAGTGATCAAGTAAATTGTGACTCTTAATCACCAACAATCAACTTTTAATCATTTGAGTCATTTGAAATTTTGTAATTTTAGAAATGAAATAAAATGAGAGATATATAATTAACTAATACGACTAATAAAGAGATCAAATTGATTAGAGATGGCTAGTTAATTGTGATTCCATAATTAACCTGATAATTTTGTTTCCAAGATCAATTTACAAGTTTCGTTAGACAAGGTCAATCAAATCATAGGAATTATGATTAATTTGATTAGATTTAAAAAATTCTCTCTACTTTCTATCTGTTGATCTGTAAACAATTAAGATTAAAATGAAAAGAAGATTATAATTGACAAGATTGTTTGTTGGATAAACAAGAAAAACGATTAATTGAAATTGAAGTTTTTCTTCATCTTTTGTTTCTGTTTTTTAATACTCTTCTTGACATTGATATGGTTAATTAACTATTGATTGTATTGTCAATCAATGGAAAGGTAAACCTTTGATTCTTTGTGATTGGAGACAATTGATGAAAGAGAGTAAAGTTGTTCACTCGATTTTCTAAATAGTGAATTAGGTTAAAAGTTGATTAGATTCAATTGAATATCAAGAAACTTGTACTTTGTTATTCAAATGTCATAGTTTTTGCTTTTTTCATGAAATACAATTTGATATATACAATATTTTTTTTGTTTTTTGAAGATTATAAAAAAAACAATTTGATTTGTTGAGATAAATTGTTCAGTGGGTTGATTAAAACATTTGTTTTCATTTCTCCCTTTCTCTTCATCTGACTAATTACTATTAAGTGAGTTTAAGCTGCAAAAGATGTGAAGACCATTTGAAGTAATATAAGTATTACAGAGAATCAGAGGAAGGCAAAAAAAGAGAAATTTTTTTTTAGATAGAAAAAGAGAGGAAGAGATGAAGAGAGAGACGAAAATATGAAGAATATGAAAAAGATTATGTATAAACAATAAAAGAGATTTTGTTGAGTAGAAAATAAAACTTTTTCAACAGTCAAAGTAATTTTTGGTTTTTGTTGTTGGAATAGTTGGATTGAAACTTTTTTGGTAATTTGGTGGTAAATTGGATGGAATCAGTGGTAACCAATCTTGATTTCTTTCTTTATGGAAGCTTTTTCTTTTCTTTCACAGATCTGTAACAGGAACTGGGCTCCTTGATTGGCAGAAAAATCTCATTTCTTGGTTACAAGTTGCAGTTATATTGGTTCGACTTTGACGATATGTATGATTACCAAAATATCTTTTCCAATACTGTTTCTCGAGATGCCTCTGGCGAAGACGGTGTAAGATGATTGATAAAACAAGAAGAATAAAAAATAATACAACAAATAGTACAGTTCCTAAAACGGTGAGCTGATTAGATGATGAGGTGGATGTTGATCGTGTTAATGAATAATACTCGTGTAAGGCACATCGAGGCTTTTGGGAAGTCCAATTACCATGTCGACAGCGAATGTAAGGAGCACCATCACGATAGTAATTTGGATTACACATGAAGGTTATTAAAGTTCCATCAGGATAACCGGTAACTTTGGAAGATCCATTGTGACGACCATTTTCTAATGGAGTAACAATAGGGCACAGTTTGGGTAATGGTTCAGGGCAGTAGAAATCATCCACAGACCAAGTACCTTGAGAAGTACAAGTAATAGTTTTAATGGTTTTGTCATGACAACTAGCCACAACTCTTTCATTAGGTTTGAATTTAGACTTTAGTCTCCCTCGGATTGAGACACCGGAATGAGGTTTGAATGGAGGACAAGTGATCTCGACACATTCTGATAAATCTCCGATCCATTTTTTATCATGAGAACATGTTAATACTGATTGACTTTTTACACGAAATCCATAGTCACAGCGAAGCGAAGCAGTGGAATTGTAACGAAGTTCATTACTGTAGATAATAACACCATTGGCTGGCTTTGGTAAATCTGGACAAGTTTTGGCTAGAAAAAAAAAATAGAACAAAACAAAAACCAGATTAGACCAGAGTGAAAAAGATTGTAAAAAGGGAGAATGAGAAACTTACGTTGACATTTAGGTCGATCTCTATTCCAGTGACCATTTACACTGCATAATAGGAATGGTGGACCTTTCATCTCGTAACCTTTATTACAAGTATAATTAACCATGGAATTGTAGGTGAACACCGATCCAGTTCTTATGGCGTTTTCTACATATCCTGGGTCAGCACAAATCACAACTAAAAGAAAAAAGAAACAAGAAATGAATAGAAAAAGATGGCATAAGAATAAAGAGAAGACAACAAAAGCAAATAGATTAACAATAAAGTTATTGTTGTTTCAATTTTTTAACAATCTATGACAATCTTACCTTGACATTTCATGGATGTGTAGGTCCAAAAAGCTTCTTGAGATGAATTAGCTCCATAACGAACCAAACATTGAATTGTATTGGGTTCACCAGTTTGTCTATAACCATTTTCACAGGAATAGCTAACCTTTGATCCTGGTGCGTATTTAGCATAAGAAGCAGCAGCGCTATTAGCATGTGTAATATTAGGTATTGGTGGGCAAGTAACTGGCTTACTAACTGGCGGAGTTTTCTGAGTATAAACTATTGAAGTGTTATTATCAGCGTTTAGATCATTAACATTATATGAATAGGCACTGGTATCAGTGATATGATTATCAGTTGGAAAATGGAAATTATTTGAGCACAAAGTTGTGTTGAACAGAGTAAAAAAGAGTATAATAAATAAACTGGTACAATTGAATATTCTTTTCCGTTTATATTGATAATTATTAAACCATCCGGGGGAAAGAAAATCAAAGAAAAATGAACAAATTAAACACATCATTTATAGTAAATAGATTGTCCCACAATTTTATACATCTGAGATTCTATCTCTACATCTGTCAACACCAAAATAGAACCATAAATATTGACCCGTAATTTTAACCAAAGAAACAAAGATTCAAACAAAACAAAAAACAAGGAAACAATTTGATGAAATGATGATACACAACAAGAATAAACCAAATATAAAAGGGAAATTAAACAAATTAATCAATATTAATTGGAAAAGAAAAGAAAAACTAAATCTAGAGCATAAGTTTCATTTAGAAAATGTAACAATCAAGTATTTTCCATCATTAAGATTCTCCCTTCAGGATCTTTAAGATTTTTTTCTTTTGTTTTCTTCGAATTCAACGCCATCTACCGATACATTCTTTCTCTTTTTCGCATTTAGGATCAGCTGACGATCTAAAAGAGAATTTTTTTTCCATTTTTCTTTTTTTCTTTTTCCAGTTAAGAGAATTGTTCTTGTTTAATGGGACGTTTTTGAAGAATTTGTTAATTGGATGTTGATTTTAAGTTTAATATGAATGATGAATTTTGATTAACTTCTGTTTTTCTAATTAATTGGTTTAATTCTATTGAAAAAGGCGGTCGAAATTCCCAACAGGGGCAGCACTTTGGTTGTTATGGTTACGACGCGGAAACGGAAAGTGGAAAACTGATCGGTGAATGTTTGTTTAGACAAAAATTATCCAAGTTTTAAATTGGTTTTTGTAATTTAATTTGACTTGTGTTACTTTAATTAATTAAACAATGGCTAGATATTCAACTGACCCAGACAATCCTACTAAATGTGAGTTAGTTTTTTGTTTAAACTGTTTGAGTTCTGTGATTTTAATGTTTTAATTTTGTCTTCTCTTTTATTATCATGTAGCATGTAAAGCAAGAGGATCTAATTTAAGGGTTCACTTCAAGGTAGGTTTTTTTTATTATGAATCTTTGGTATTTGTTTTCTCTGACACTTGATTAATTTGTGGTTATTTCTTTTTTGTTTAATTTTGTAGAACACCAGAGAAACTGCTGCTGTTTTAAGGAAAATGCCTTTACGAAGAGCTCAACGATTCCTTAAGAATGTCATCGTCAAGAAGGAAATTGTCCCATTCCGTCGTTTCAATGGTGCTGTTGGAAGACATGCTCAGGTGTGAATTTTTCTTCTATTTGAATCTAATGCCATTACGATTGTGATATTTAATGTCTTTGTTTTTGTAATTTTTTTGTCTGTGTTATTAGGCTAAGGCATGGGGAGCTGTTCAAGGTAGATGGCCTAAGAAATCAGCTGAATTTTTGTTGCAACTTCTTCGTAATGCTGAAAGTAATGCTGATCTTAAAGGTTTAGATGGCGACAAATTGGTTATTGAACATATTCAAGTTAACAGAGCTCCAAAAATGAGGAGAAGGACATACCGTGCTCACGGTAGAATCAATCGTAAGTATAAACATCACATGTGGTTAATTTAGTTTAAAATTTGGCTAAACGTGTAAATTTTATTCTTTTTTACCAATTTTATAATATAATTTATTATTTCGACATCCAATTAACCTTATTTCTTTTTCTCTTCTTCAGCTTACATGAGCAGCCCTTGTCACATTGAGGTAATTCTTTCTGAAAAAGAGGAAGTAGTCGCTAAACCAGCTGGTGGCGAAGAAGCTCCCAAGAAGAAAGTATCCAAGAAAAAGTTGGCTCGTCAAAAATTGATGAACCGAGAATAGACCAACAAGTTTGTTTAAATATTTAAAAACAATAAATGTTCATCAACAGTAAATCTGGTGTATACAATAGTTATCGAAAAACATTTAATTTTATCACACCGATAATCGGTAATTCAACTTTAAAGTCAAATTAGCGAGAAAAACCTTTCGCGTTTTTCAACATATCAAGAAAATTGATCTTTGTTGATATAATTATATCTACTTTCATCAAGAACAAGTCGGCAATGTTGATAGTTATAATGACCATGATGATGATAATGATGATGATGAGAGATGATGGTGATGAAAAATCTAAAGGTGGGCTTCGCTTTACCTTGAAAGTGAGATGCTTTTTCACACATATTTGCCGGTTCATTTAAAAAGGTGAGATAAAAATGATCAACATGATAGAGAGATGAAGATAAATGAAATTTTCTTCCAAGAGAAAAGATTGAAAATCAGTCAAGTTGAAGAGAAATTGTTCTTCTGTGTTAACCTTCATCTCTCTCTCTCTCTTCCATAGATCAAATATTCCATTTTCTAGTCGCAATTATATTTCTTGTTCCCCTTCTTCTTATGTACATTTTCACCCCATTACCCCCGACCCTCGGCTTCTCCCTCTTTCTCCTCCAACGAACCAATCGGGAGGTTATAGTTAACCGCATCAAAGAAAAGCCGACAGGTCTTACGTTACGTTCTAACATGAGCTTTGAAGTTGCCGACAATCAACAAAACACAAAAAAAGGTCCACAAGAAACAAGCAAAAGAGAAAATAACATCAAACAGTCAACAGTTAGAAAAGAGAAGAAACAAAAATATCCATAAGATAAAAGAGACTTTTCATCTCTCTCATTTTCTTCTCTTCTGTGTATTTATCCCTTTCTCTCTCTCTCTCTCTCTCTCTCTTTCTCTTCTCTGTTTCTCTCTCTCTTCATGAATACGAATCATTCTCACTCACTTGCTGCTTCTTCTTCTTCTTCTCCATCCTCATCTTTTCTTCTCTTTCCACCTTAACTGATCTTCTTTTTGTTTCTTCTTATGTTCTAATCTTTTAATTGTTCTTGGACATTTTTCCTTAATTTACTTTCGTATTTACAGTTGATTATCTTCCATTTCTATTAGTAGCTTATTAATGTTCTTCTGTGAACCAAGTGGATTATCATCTCATCTCATTCTCTTCACTCTCTCTCTCTCCAATCTTAACCTTGTTCTAAACTCCCTGTTGCTTTATTTTCATATTCTCTCAGTTGTTCTGTTCTCTTACTCGTTGATTGTTTAAGTTGATCAAATTTTCTCTCGATCCATTTTTCCTCTTCGGTGGTTTACCAATACAATTTAGAGAAAACTCCATTTGCCTCTCTCTCTTAATTTCGTCCAATGTCTTAATTGTTCGCGATTCTCTCATCTTGATTCTCTTCATCACCTGTGGATCTGTGATTTATCTCATCTTCTTTTCTACATTTGTTTACATTCATTTGCTCTCTCATCTTGGAGCAATCACACGACATGGTGAAGAATAAGTTAATTTTATCTCTTTCCATGTATCCCCATTTAATTGTCACAATTTCAATCAATCTTTTTGTATCATGTTTACTTTTGTTGATCAGTTTAAATTGTTACATTTATCCAATGAGAATCTCTCATATTTCTAACCAACATCAAAGTCTCGGTAAATTATCACAAGTGATTCGTTTCAATCCATCAAATTGGTCACCATCGCCATTAAATTCACCTTCATCCTCATCATCTTCCAATTCTACATTATCTTCATCGGTGTTTTCATCTTTTTTACCGTTAGGATCATCGCCAGTGTCTTTCGAGCAACAACATGACACTGATGATACTCTTTTCTTCACCAAAAATCCTCCAGAATTATCCTCATCCTCCTCTAAATCCACTAAAGATTTTCCCACCTCCCACCCGAACAATCATCGTCATCACAATCACAACCACAATCATCATCACCAACATTCATCTTCATCATCTCAGAAATTTTTCTACGAATCTCTTCCGTTAAAAAGGTTCATGTTACGGAATAAAAGTGTCACTTGTAACGACGGAACCAAAGCGGGCTACTATTTCCGTTCGGCTCCTGGTCCATCTAAACGTTGGATCGTTTTTCTTGAGGGTGGTTGGTACTGTTTCTCTCCGGCCACTTGCCATCAACGTTGGCTTGGGATGCGCAACCTGATGACCTCCGCTCACTGGCCTCAATCACGATCAGTCGGTGGAATCCTTTCTCCAAACCAAAGTGATAATCCATTTTTTTATAATGCAAATCATGTTTTTGTACCTTACTGTTCATCCGATTCCTGGTCAGGTGATTCACCTGCAGCCACATCGGCTGATTTATCTTTCCTCGGCTCTCGTATAATCACCGAGGTAATTAGTGAATTGTTACACATGAAAGGCTTATCCGATGGTAAAACCCTTCTTTTGGCGGGAAGCTCTGCAGGCGCTGGTGGTGTTCTTGTTAATCTTGATCGTGTTGCCGATTTAATCTCATCAACAGGATCTAAAATTGAGGTGCGAGGCTTAATGGACTCTGGTTGGTTCCTTGATAATCAACCTTTTGATTTTAAATCTTCTCCATCATCTTTTCAAAACAATTACAACAATGAAGATCCTTTAGATCTCGATAACATGGATGAAGATAAAGAGATCGATGATCAAGATAATCTTAAAAAGTTCACCTTCAAATCTCAATACTCATCATCGCCATCATCATCATCATCATCATCATCTTCCCCTTCATCAACCTGTACAAGTGCAATAAATTGTTCACCAATTGAATCAATCAAACTGGGAATGAAACTTTGGAACGGTCAAGTTCCCGATAATTGCCGATCAAGATTCCCAAAGGATCCATGGAGATGTTATTTCGGTTATCGTTTATATCCAACGCTGAAAACTCCGCTTTTTGTTTTCCAATGGATTTACGATGAAGCTCAAATGATCGCTGATAATGTTGGTGCTCCAATAACCAAAGCTCAATGGAATTACATCCATCAAATGGGTCAAGAATTAAGAAATTCTTTATCCAATGTATCGTAAGTTGATTGACATTTTCTTCTCTCTTTCTCTCTCTCTCTCTCAAAAAAATCATCTAAGTGACCATCAAACCACTTAAGTGACCACCACAAAATCCTAACCATCTGTTTAAACGCAAATCAACAACTACGATTATCTCTACCATGAGGCGATCCTTTAATCTGTAGCAAAGTAAAGCTTTCAACCCACGAAATCAGCGTTAATCTAAACCAGATTCTGTGCGGATTTTAACACTTTAGTGAAAATTTTTCGCTTCTTTTAACTTCCAAGTTGTAATAATGTCAATTTCCTCTAAATCATCAATCCACAGGAATAAGAATCTAAATGTTAAACTTACTCTAAGTTCACACTTGGAGTTTTCTCATTGAACTGAACCAAATTATCAGCTATTAACAACTAAATTATCACATTTACTATTCTAATAACTTTGCAAAATTATCAAAAATCAATAATAAATTGTTTCCATATTTGATTGATAACATAATTATTAGAATCTACAACCAAAATGAGCAACAAACAAAACAATAAACCATTTCATTGGTTTGCTGTTTATTCAGAGACAATAATTAGTCTGAGAAAGTCTGAAAAGGATTCACAGTTTAATTAACGTCAACCCAAGACAATTAAGAATACAACCAGTTAGTATGAATGAATAGCTTTTAATTCATAGTATATTATCTGGGAAAAGAATTGAATCCCTTGCGAAATGCGAATGACTTGGAAACAGTTTTTAGAGCGTAACAGTTTCTAAAATTACAGAGAGAAAGTCAAAGAGCTTAGCCCATGATAATAAAGATGATGATGATGCTCAAGTCTTAACAATGTCTATCATCCTCATCTTCATCTTCATCCTCATCTTCATCCTCATCATCATCTTTCAACACTCGACTTTTCCTATGTAATTTTAGCACCAGTTGAAAAGGATGTTTGTCTTTCATTTCATTTTGCCAACATCGCTAAAATTGGTAACAAAAAGATTGCTCATTTTTTGTTCGTTATTTATAAATATTGTCATCATCAACAATTAACAACAATATTAACCTTTAACCAGTCTAAACCTAATTAACTTGGCGCGAAACCAAAGTACAACATTTTGTACAATTTACAATCTCTCATAATCGTCAAGAAAACATAATAACAATTGAATCAATTGTCGTGTAACATTATGAAACTTGTTGAGTTGATCTCTGAAATTAATGTTGCTGTTTTCAATTAAATTAACAGTTAAATGGTTGATTTTCTGGTTGATTATCATGTTGCATTTTCACACAATTTACAGGGCAAATGTTAATACTATTCATATATTTCTCGTTTACTATTAACGGTCAATTTAATCAGTGAATCATTTGAGTTAATTAAATTTTTTTTCTCTCCTAATTTACAGCGCATATTTTGCTCCATCATGTATATCTCACATCGTTCTAACTAAATCAAGTTGGAATAGCATTAAGATCAATAATATAAGTCTTCCGCATGCGATTCGTTGTTGGGAATTATCCTCATCTTCAAATGGTTCATCGTATTCATCATCTCGACGAGATGTTACCAGTCGAACTCATAAGAATCAATACTCATCTCGATCACAAGTTTCTACTTCTTCATTTGTTGCTGATGAATTTCGTCCAAATCATGAGAATCAATCATCATTTAATCAACAACCTCTTCCAATATCATCATCATCCAATCGTCAACAAAACACAAAACGATCGCCGTCAACAGTTTCACCTCAAATTGTTCCTAATTCACATTCAATCCAATCGTTAGCTTACCTAAGTGATAATACTAATCGAACTGTAAATTCTGATGTTAATCTTAATATACTGAGTAATTCAAGTTATAGTAAGAAAAAAAATGGTAAACGTCGACATAACAAGAAACACAAAAAACGTCAACAACAGTCACAAGAAACGATTCGTTCTAAGCGACTTGCCGCTCGAAATGAGCGTCGCTTGAGACTTTCAAAACTCGAAAACAAATCTCAATGTCGATTCAATCATATCGACTCATGTTCGTGGCCTCAGTGTAATTCAGGGTGTCCAAAACTCCACAATCCATTCACAGGTAACATTTGAATTTCCTTTACAATTGTAAAAACTCAATTTCTTCTGATTTACTAATGATCGTGATTAATTTTTCTCTGTTAATTGTTAGGCGAGGAAGTTAATTTCCTGGAGCTCTTAAAGTCCTATGGTTTCAATTTAATGGCAGTCGCTCAAGCTCTTGGATTGGAACCCAAAGCTCTCAATGAGATGGACGATGGAGCTTTACTCCAATTATTTCATCGAAAGGTGTCTTAATTGTTAACCATTTTTTATTCGAGATTAATGATTGTTAATTTAATTCTAATGGTCAATCTTACGAAATTGTTAAATTATTTGAGAAAACACACAATTCAACAAAACCAAGTTAATGGAATGATAATTGTTATCATAATTTTAACTCCTTAATTATTGAAACTAATTGCGAATTATAATTATTTTGTAATCGACAACTTTTAATTATCTCACTTTAATTGTAAATATTGTTCATTTGTAGAAAGCATCACAAATCAAGATCTAAAATTAAATTAATCAGTTTTAAAAAGTTTTACCCAATTGTCTGTTTCTAAATGGTGTCGGTTCAATATCGTCAAAGATAAACAATTAAGCCTCGAATCTTAATTGTTACAATTTAACCGAGAGAAAGAAGAAAAAAAGTCTCAATGATCTTCAATTAACCGGAAAACAATAAACTAAATTACAAAGTGAGGGAACAATTATCTTCCATTGGATCTCTATCCAAATGGTTAATCATCAGAAAGATTGTCATCAGATTTGATTGTTGGAGGGAAAATTGTGCTTCTAATTACAGCGAGACAAACAGATGATTATGATGATTGCGATGATGATAAAGGTGATGATAAGTTGGGAGTGATAATCATAAAAGAAGAAGAAGAAAAAAATAATCACTTTGCTTGGAAGATGAAGTTTACCGGTGGATATCTCGACGCCATGGGATGACCCTCACTCCACCCAAAATCACCACCTTTTACCCTTTCAAGGTAGAAAAGAAGAGGTCAAAAGTGGGTGGGGAACAGGTGATTAGAGAAGAAGAAGAAGAAAAAAGTTGAAGACAAACAAACAAAGTGACCAATGGTCAATGTTTGTGTATTTAACTAACCTTTATTATGATTATTCTTGTTAACTACAGACTCCATTAACACTTTTTTTCACCATTAAGGTAATAATAACAATCAACTTTTCTCATCCTCATCCTCAAATTTACTTCAATTCTTCAATGTCAAAGGTTAATTGTTACCTTTTTTTCTTGACCCTTTTTCTTGTCCCGTTTCTTGTTTGTTACCTTTGCGATTATTTTGTTTCTTTAATAGCATTTTTCTCAACACAATTTAGTTATTTACTCAACAAACACACTACGATTGATCACTTTTCATCAATTCATTGATGAATTTATCACGTTGTTGTTATTGTAATATGATGACAAATTAGTGAACATAAATTATATTTCAATTTGTATTATTATTTATATCAAAACACAACACAATCATCATGGTGATTATTATAAAAATTCATGTAACATTTTAAAATGGATGAGATTTTTGTTTTTTTCTGGTAAATTATATTGATTAACAAACAACGGCTTTTTAATTTAGTTTCATAACAATCAATCAATTTTTTTTTAATTCTTCTCGATAATATGTAACTTTGTTACTGATCCATTCGAGAGGCTAAAAGTGTCCCCTCGGAGGGTCGATCGAGGGTCTCACAATTAGTTCCTGAAATGTCACATTCAAATGTCTCTTGATAGGTAATCACGTAAATCTTTTTATTAACCGAATCAAGGGTTAAATTAATTGTGTACCAATTTTCTAGGGGACCAGTGAAAGGTGTCCACTCGTGTCCACTACCATCAAGGTTAATACGATGAAGGCTTATCTTGGTTCCGGTGAGATGGTCATCAACTGAAGGTGGACAAATCTCAATCCAGAATACTCTGGGTTCAGTTGAGTCAATTGTCGCTGCTTTAATTTGACATTGAGTTCGAGTGATTAAGAAACATTTATCCAATTTAGGATAATAACCAATCATTAATTGTTCATCCTGAGCCTTGGAAAATGATCTCATCGCCATTGGTTGGGAGGACAAGTATCGGTAAAATAGTAACAGTGGACCGGCCACTCTTGGGACACAAATCGATCCGCCTCGAGTTACCATTCCAGCGGCTGAACAGTCTTCTCGAACCGTGTTGTCCATCAAACTTTGAATATCTTCACATCCAGCAGCGGAAACATGATGGTCACTTCGAGTCCAGGTAACAATTAACAAGAGAATGACAGAAATTGTAATCATGATTATCTATCGAATATCAAACTGGACTAATAGAGAATCGAGAAAATAAAATTGGTTTCTCGAGAAAAAGAAACACAAACGAAATCAGCTGATGTTTTACTTCTCAACACCAATGGAATTGTGATTGTCTCTTTAATCAGTTTCGAAGTTGTTAATCAATTGATTCTTTTCTTCTTCTTCTTCTTCTTCTAATCATCAACAATTAAGGTTATGACCAAACAATCAATTTTAATCATCGTTCTCTTGGCAGTAAAAAAGTAAATGGAAATTTACCAATTTTTTCATATGGATAAGTTTCAGTTGGAAATTAAATTGTTAACTGATTGTTTTAATGATTAATTTTTGGCAATTTTCAACTTTAATTTCAAGTTAATTGTTTGATTATTTGACAAGGTTTTGTTCACCTCTTTATTCAGATGAATATTTTAATGAGAGTTGATAACAATATTTAAATGATGAGAGTTAATTTACATAATGAATTTTTTTTTTCTTCTCGATTGAATTGATTGTTTTTCCCTTTCCAATATTATGGTTTATATCCTTGCGATTATTTATCAGTGTCATTATCGTTCGCAAACCAGCCTCGAACTCCTCGACCACCGGCACGAACAATATCCCAAAACTCTGTGAAACTATTTCGAAAATTGTTCCAACGATTTCTACCATAGGTACTGACCGCATCTCTGAATGTCGGATCTTCATCTTCATCGGACTGTCGACTTGTGTAACCATTTCGGCTAATCGGTGCCATTTGACCTGGAATATCGGCAAGATTGAAAGACCAAACAATCGGTTCTGATCTTGATTCCATTGGCGGTGCTCCTAATTTCGGAGGGAACAATTAACATCAAACATATCAATCAATCACAGAAATCTTTTCACTGGAAAACTTTCATCTCACAATCAAATTTACTCTGCAACAATTAAATTAGGATACTTACCAAGAGTGGAAAGAAAACAATTAATCAAAACAATTATGGTTAGAATTCCAAAAACAATTAACTTCATATTTGATGATTTCTTCCTTTAATTTGTTGCGATTGAAAATCAATGAAAATTATATTATGATTCTGATGATTAACACTTTCCAAACCTGAGAAACAGTTAAGAGGCGATAATCAATTAATTGATTTAATCCAAAACCACTGAATATTAATAGTAATTATCCAGGTAAAAGAGTAAATTACAATTGATTGTCCGTTGGAATTAACTAATCACAACGTCACTTTGTATCTTTAGTTGCAGAGAAACACCAATAACAATAATAAAAAGATCACCAATCAATGAGCAAAGTTGATCAACTTAATCCAGTTTGGAGATTTTAACTTGATTTAGTTTGTGAAAGTAACAATTTGCCAATAAGTAACGGCAACAATATACCCGAAAAATTAAGTTTAACTTTAGCAATTGGAAAATAAGTTAATAATAATCAATCTTGATTCTCGCGAACTGACAACAATCAGTGTACTTGTTTCAAAGATCACAATTTACAGTCGCAAACGGAATCGGCTCACTCATTCACTCATTCACCCTTCATCATCGTCATTATCGTCATTAACTTAATCATAATCAATTGGTTAATTTACACCATCAACGACACGATTTGCATTTTGTTCAACAATTAACAAGCTGATCAATGATTTGGAAAAACATTTGAAGATTAATGAGAGAAGAGAAATTTTCAAATTCTCCCAAAAATCTTAATCATCATCTTCGCTAAACTAAACAGTACCAATTGTTTAGAATTAGCAAATTGTGATTAGTGGAAATGATTAACAATTTATCCCCATTTTTAGACAACTAATTCAGCGGTTGGTTGATTGTGAATATAATTAATTTCAATTGTTTCCTTACTCTCATTCTCATCTTTAATAAGCAGAAAATTATTTAATCACCAATCTCTTAATTACAGTTACAATTTCATTAACCAATTCATTCATTTGAACTAATTAAATATTCACCTAAATTTCAATTAACTTAAAAAAATGATGATCTGAATGTTAACTACTTTCTAATATTAAGCTTGTAATTAAAGTTAACAATTAAAAAGCAAATCAGTGGTGACATTTAAGGGAAATCACTAATCAATTTTTAATTAATTTCCTTGATTACAATTTAATATTGATGAAAATCATGTGAATAACTTTCTGACAATTAATCAATCCCTTGAAAGGTAAATTTTCATTAAACTTCAATTAATTTTACTTTAATTGTTAATTGATCAAACAAATCTAAATAAATATTCAATTTTAATTTAGTTAATCAGTTGATTTACATGAACAAGTTAATTATTCAACTTATTGATTACAATCAGCTACTAATTATTGTTTATTTTAGTTCCTTATTTGTTAATTGTTGATTTTTATCAATCCCTACAAATACATTAGTTGATTTAAATTAATTGTAATCACTAAATATGAGGATCCAACCTGAGGAAGTAAACAATTGTCACCAAATTATTGTTACAATTTTGTTAATCTTACAATTTATGCTTCAATGATTAACTTTCATGATTAACTTTCACTTTGTAAAAGACAATCAATTGGTAACAATTTATTAATAAAACAATTAACACCAAAATCCAACTATTAATGGTGAAGGTTTTAATATAACTAAATCAATTGAACGACTATTGACTTTCTAAATTAGCTAATCACGACTAAATAATCAACAAAAAGAGATGATTTAGTTTAAAACAATCAATCAAATACAAGGAACAATCAATTGTGAAATTGTCTCAACAATCATTAAATTGTAATCATAAGGATATCATTTGATAATTCAAAAGTAATTCCTCTAATTGACTATTGAATAAAACGATAACAATCAAATTCAATCAGATTCAATTAACAATCTAATTTCCATCACAGTTAAATCCTCAATCTTTTCTATGGTCAATCATTAATCATTTGGTGTTTTTAATTCACAATTAACTCGTAATAATCAAAAACCGCCAATTCTTACAAGTCTAACGTTCAACAACATGATCACTTTATGGATAACAGCCAACTAATCAGTCAATCAGACTCTTAATTGTTTCAGTTCAATTTACGTTTATTTCCAGTGTTAATTAAGTTAACTATTATATCCTCTCAAGATAATCATCGTTTTGATTACTGTAATTTACCCAAGGTAATATTCAATTGATCAACAAAGGTAAACAGGTTCGGTGATTAATAAACAGAAACTCAAACATTTAGCTTGAGGCTTTTTCTTGTAGTTTATATTATTTATATCACTTTAATAATGATAATAATAGAGTTTAATTTAATTGTTGAAGGACATTGGATTAATTTAGCGAATTTCAATCTTCGTATAATTTGATTGGATTTAATTGTTGAAGGACAAAAGATGAGAAAAAATCTAATCAATTTTTAACATGTCACATTGTGTTTGTATGACTTTCCAATTGAAAAATTAGATTAGATTTTAACAGTTTAATGATTTAACTTTTACCTAATTGTGATTAACTTTGTAATCTTCAAGGATTAACTTGAGATTATCTTTGATTTTGTTTGGAAATCATTTTCCTGGTTCATTCATAATCTTTCAGCTGATGAACACATCAATGTTTGATTTAGTTTCTGTTCAATTTTGGAAATGACTTTAAGTCAATCAAACAATCAAAAAAAGTGAACTTTGTAATTGATTGTTTTTCAATAACAATTAAAAGATGATTGTGAACAAGGTGCTTCAGTTTAATTAATTCGTAAAGAATTAAATGATTAACACGATTTTCGGCATTTCTTACATCATAAATTTCAACCGATTCATTGACAATCATCAACAATCAACTTTCTTAGAAGACTGTGTATTCTTGCAATTAATTCATTGATCGAATCAAGTTAATCAATTAAATCAGGAGAGAGAGAGAGAGAGTAGAATGATTTCTCTCTCATCTGTAGTTTTTTCCTTATAATCTACTAAATTGTTATGTCATTAACTATCTCTTCACAATCATCAGAACTTTCATCAATTATAATCATCTTTGCCTCATTCACAATTTACTAATCATCCAACTCTGTTACCAACAACATCAAAGTCATTTAATTGTCAACTCTTGTGAATAACTGATTGACCACAATGGTGAAAAAGATCTGTGTGATCGGCGCTGGAGCCTCGGGCTTAGCTGGAATTAAGGTTTGTCTTGAAGAAGGATTCGAAGTGACTTGTTACGAACAATCAAATTTCGTCGGTGGTTTATGGAAGTATCGAGATGACGACGAAGATGGTTTGGCCTCAGTGGCTCGAACCACAATCATCAATTCATCAAAGGAAATGTCAGCCTACTCTGATTTCCCACCGCCGCCCGAAGTTGCCAACTACATGCACAACACAGCCATGGTAAGAATCCAATTATTAACCATTGTTTTCATTGTTCCAATACATTAAAATCAATCAACTAATTGTTTGTTTCCATTGATTCACCCAACACACATTAAGCATGCTTATTTTGAATCTTATGCTGATCATTTCAATTTAAAAGTTCACATTCAATTTAAACACAAAGTGATCAAGGTTGAACAATCATCTGAAAAGACTGGTCAGTGGATGGTCACTACCCTTAATTTAGATACAAACAAAGAGTCATCATCAATTTTTGATGGTGTCTTGGTTTGTACGGGTCATCATGTTAAACCTTTGGTGCCCAAATTCAGAGGACAAGAAAAATTCAAAGGTACAAATGAGGAAAAGATTGAGAAAAAAAAAATCAATCTAATTGCAATTAATATTAATAGTTACAACTAAATGATCACATGTTTCATTGACAGGGAAAATCATTCATACTCATTCATATAAAAAGCCTCAACCCTTTGAAGATGAACGAGTTGTCGTGGTGGGAATCGGTAATTCTGGTGGAGATGCTGCCGTTGAATTGTCAATGTTTGCGAAGAAGGTAATTAACAATTAATCGAGCAATTTGATTGTTCTAATGGATGTGATTCTTTCCCTCTTCTTTCATATCGATATCATGATAGTAACTTGAGTTGATTTTATCTTTCAGGGTGATTATTGAAAATCACTTTTAATTATCATTTAAAAGAAAAGTTATTCAATTGTAATAACCTTCATAAAGTTTGTTAGTTAATCAAATGTATACTGATTATGATGTGATAATTAGTAGTTATTGTATTACGATGGTATCGGTCATTAGTTCTGGATGGGCAGATAGTTCAACCTCGAACCCATGATCGGCTTGATTTGGTTAATTTAAATTTTACAACTTTAATCTTCAATTAATTTAGGTTAACACTCAATTAACATTTGATCTACAAGCTCATTTGGGTCATGAGATATTTATGAGAGGCATTTAATTTTTGTTGTTTAACAACAATCAATTAATAGATTGACAGCCCAACAATATAATCATAATAATATTCACGAAAACAATCAACTAGTTTTAATAACTATTGTAACACAATCAAAAATCATCATCTTGTTGTCTACTAATTAACTTGTTACCAAGTTTTAAACATCATCATCATCATCATCATCACCATTTAACCATCACCATCATCTTAAATTGTTCACTCGGTTTTCCGTGATTAAAACCGTGAACCCAATTTAAAAGCTTATGATTATCTTACCCAATCAATTGATTTTTAATTTTGAAATTTATCGGAAAAAAAAATAATAACATTTAATAACAATACGATCAAGACCAGAAATGAAGGTCATTTATCACGCTAACGTTACATAATATTCAAGTGTTGAATGAGTTTACTGATTGTCGTTGATAATTTGATATCATGATGTGACAATTAAAAGAAGTTGACAATAATCTAATTGATGGAGTTAATCAAGTATCATTATCGTTAATTGTATTTTCCTTTTTCTTTTTCAGGTCTATCTTGCCATTCGTAGAGGTAGTTGGGTTTTATGGAGAGTCGGAACTAAAGGTCAACCCATGGATTCTCAATTTATACGAAGATTTTACTCTCTACTTAATTATTACGCGGGTTACAAACTGGCCTCACGATTGTTAGAGTATTTAGCTAATCTTCGCTTTGACCATGAAACTTTTCATCTTAAACCAGAACATTGTGCCTTCGGTCAACATCCAACGGTCAATGATACCTTGAGTAATCGCATCATTTCCGGAACCGTTATTGCCAAGAATAATATCAAAGAGTTTACAGAAAATGGAGTTATCTTTGAAGAAGATGATAACAAGGAAACTCCGATCGATTCTGTTGTTTTGGCCACAGGCTATGAGATTTCATTCCCTTTTCTTGATAAATCATTGGTTTGGTCGACCAACGATAAAATTGATCTGTTTAAATCCACCTTCCAACCCCGATTAACTCACCCTCACACTTTGGCGATCATTGGTTTAATCCAACCTTTTGGACCATTAATACCAATCAGTGAGATGCAATGTCGCTGGTTCGCTCAATTAATGGCCGGTTAGTGACAATCAACCATGAAAAGTATAATCGCAACGACAATTAATCCAAACCATTTATTTACTTTTACCTTTTAGGAAAACAAAAGTTACCATCTCGAGAGGTGATGGCGAAAGATATTGAGCAAAGACGCGCTGAACACGAAGAGCGTTACTATTCTAGTCCAAGGCATCAGATTCAAGTCGATTATTCGACCTTCATGGACGAATTAGGTGAACAATTTGGAGTTCGACCCAATTTGACCAAACTGTTTTTCTCGGACCCTGTTCTTTGGTATCACGTTTACTTCGGACCTTTGCTCCCTTATCATTTTCGAATCCATGGGACAAACTCTTGGTCAGGAGCTCGAAAGGCCATTATGACCGTCGAAGATCGGATTCAAGCTCCATATCGAACTCGAAAATTGAATCAAATATCCAATACAAAAAAGAGCAATTTTAACTTGATTGGTCTAATTGTCTTGTTTTGTGCTATTTTTTTCTGTTTCTTTTAAATTGTCATCTACTTTAATGATAAATTGCTCAACAGATCCTTTAATTTGTATAATTTTCACTAATCAACACTTAATTGTTACCCTTTTAACATTTTAATCAACTTTCCTCATCCCATATTCTTACAATATAAAGAGAGTAATATCTCCAATCAAATTAAGCTTTTAATTGTAACAACTAATAAACTAAATTCTCAAATTTTCCCAGTTAATCAACAATTTAAAATTGTGTACAATTAATAATAGAATGATTAACGAAAAAAGCAATGGAAATTAATCCAGTTCGTTAATCGGAATAATAAACAATATCAATTCATTAAAATCCATGAGAAACTTAAATGATGATGATTGTTACTTATTTGTGTCAACAATTAATCAGTCCTTAAAGTATTATTAGTATCAGGGCAGTTAAATTGTTCACACGATTTAGTTAACAATGAATCTTTGGACTTGCAATTTAGATCCAAGTATTTAGATTAAGATTTAATCAATCGGAAAATTGATTTAAAACGAAGATAAATTAATCTTATTGTGACAATTGGTGAATAAATAAATTGAGATAATTGTTGTTGTGTTTAAACATTAATTTTATTGGATCAGCAATTTAAATCAATACCAGCGACGATTAAAGTTATTGACAGTTTGATGGTTGGTTGTTTACTCGGCGGTTTCATTGAAATTAAGGTGACAATTAATGGTCTCTAATCAAAAGGACAATATTTTATTTAGTGGACGGTCTTAATTAGATTTAATTATCTTACAATATTCTTTAATTTTTGTTTGCTTATCATCAGGTATTAACAGAATAAGATGAGAATGGATTATCGTTCATAGACCATTGATTAAATGAGAGAGAGAGAGAGAGTGACCATCAATTGTCGTTAATTGTTGTTGATTAAGTGGCGACAAAAATAATCTAGAAAATAAAATGATTTATCCCTTGATGATGATGAAGTTTGAGACACAATAATCACAACGATAGAAACCATTGGGTATGAGAGTAATGATAATGATAATCAAACAGTGAGGGTTGTAAAGGTTGATGAAGATGATTAATTATATGAATGATGTTAATTGTGGTTTGTAAATGATGAAAGAGAGACAACAAAATCATCAACAGAATTGATTTGTTTTTGTTTGTTCCGATGTGGTTGAAAAATGAAATTGAGCTGGAAAATCAATAATCAATAATTGATGAAGAAAAACAAAGATATTTATAACATAGTATCCAAAGTGATTTAGCTTAATTGTTTGTTTGTTTGTTTGGTTGGTTTTTTTGGTCACAATCAAGATACTTTTACTTGACTCTTTTCTGTAATTGTCTTGTCCGGTAAATATCAAAAGCTGGTGGATTAGCTGGATTAGAGTTATCATTTTCTGCATCTTCTTCATCGTCATCATGTCCACCTAAACTCATATCTCCACCTCTCTCCCTGTTCCCACCACCAGGACCACCGTAGGGCCTTTTAACTCCTCCAGGTCCACCACCGCCCATACCAGAATCGCCACCACGACCCTCACCACCTCGACCTCCTCCTCTTTCACTTCGTTCACCTTTTTCTGGATTGTTCACAATTGAGTTAAATGTTTTAGAAGCGTTAATAGCGGTGTCAAACAATTTAAGATTATGGTGATTATTGGTGTCCGGTTTGTAGATCGGTTTATCCAGGTTAATCTCAATTTTAACGGCGGTTCGGAAAAGGTTCATCAATTCATCGACCATTATGAAGGGGCCATGGAAAGAGGTGGGATGAGGTAATTGAGCTAGTAAATGTCCAACGGCCGGGGGTGGAGGGAATATGCCACCGGGAACAGCGTGTGATCCAGGAACTAGAACTGAAATGAATTACAAAGAAAGAAATACAAATAGTTTGACAGAGTTATAATTAAGATTAAAGGATGAGGAAAATTTGGAAAAGGATACGAAACAATTACGAGGGAGAAAAGGGTTAACCATCGGTTTTTGTTTTCGATTTTGTCGATATGACAAACATTGTACAGAGAATTCGCGGTTTTCATGGTATTAGAAAGAGACGAAATTTTCGGTGTTACAAAAGACACAGAAAATTGCGGATAGAAAATCGAGAGAAGAAAAAAAGAAAAAGAGATAGAAATAAAAGAGAATTCGTGTTAACATGTAAGTTAATACTTTTATTATCAAATAGACAGGTAATTGTGCAAAGAGATAGAATAAGAAATAAAGAAAAGAAAGAAAAACTTAATAATATTAGTAACTGCTCACCGGAAGTCATGACTGGTTTGTAGGGGATCATCTGATTAAGATCTGGATTAACTTGATGAGTTGAACTTGTCTCGGAGCTTGTGGGTATTGTTGATGAATTTGCGGATTGACCATTGGTTGATGTTGGATTGTTAGTGTTTATCGAGGCTGCAGCAGCCGCTGCGGGTCCTAATAGGTTACCCAATGATTGTGATAGTCCATTAGGTAGGGATGATTTAAATGTATAACCAATTGATTTTAATTCGGGTGTTGAACAAGGCATCAGATCTGCAAATTTATATCTATCAACCAGATAGGCCGTTTCAGAGGTCGTTTTGGTTATCTCTTGGATTACTAGGGCTCGACGTTTTTCAACCTTAATTACCGATGAAAGGTCACCAATATTTGACTCGAAGGAGAGAAAACGGTTCCATATTTTCAACGAATCAGTTTGATCCAAGGTGTGTGAGGTTAAAACGCGTTCGAAAAGGACTCTCGCGTTGTTTTCTTCATTCTGGGCTGCTAGAAAGTCGATATAAGATGATATATAATCGGCATTATTACCATACCGTTTAAGGCCCAATTCGAATATTTTACAGGCCACATTTTTATCCTTTGAACAATAATATTCCATGAGAGCGGCACAGGTAAATACTTGATGACCACATCGAGTATCTTCTCGGGCTCGTTTAAAAACCGTTCGAGCGGCTTTGATTCCTTCTGATCGACGGGAAAATTTCATAAATTGAATATAGACTAGGGTAGGATCAAAGTTATCTTCTTTTACATCTAAAAGTCTGTTATAAATGTCAACAGCTTTACTTTTATTATTTCGACCTTCTTCAAAATCAGCATATGCAAAATGAATCAACATGCTTGTCTTGAGTAGAGTTGTTGAAGCTTTATCAAAAACCGCCGCTGAATCATCTTGTAAAAGCTTAAATTGATTAATATCTCCCTTGTCATTCATTATTCTTGAATTTTCTTCTAGGTAGGCTGCATATTCATACCAAGTATCGGGATAATGACCTAAACAAAGTAAACAGGTCTCATAGGCAAAAACAACTCTCTTGATTACTAAACCCATATCTTCACTTCGAAGAGGATTATTTTTCTCCCATGCAATGTATTTCCGCCAAAGATCAACTTGTTTTAAATCTTCAGGTCGACAGGAAGGTGGAAGGGCTGGAGCTGAACGATTTAAACCTCGAGTAGTGGCTTCATATTCCTTTGCTACTCGACGGGCATTCATATAGTCTCTACTTCTATCAGCGATCATTTTCTCGGCAATCATTTGGTTAATACCTTGTTCATAGGCAATATAATCACGCCAAAATTGATCAACGCTCATCATTGGGTTAATTACTCCTCGTTGATAGACACGGCGAACTGCTGTGATCTTTTGATTTTCTGCATAACTACCAACCGCTTCAACATTTTTCAAGAAAGAAACATAATCATTCCAAATGGGATACGAATGGTTATCAATTCCAATCTTTTCAAGAGCAAAATCATAAGCTTGAGCCATTTTTTCACGGAAAGATGTGGAAAGAGCTTTGGTCTCCTAAAAAAAAAAAAATAAAAAAGCGAGAGGAAAAAAAGAACGTAAAGCAAAAAGAAAGCCAAATAAGAAGAAACAAATAAAAAGGTTAAAATAATCATCAAAGAAAATAGATTAACATTGATACAAATATTAAAAGATAAATAAACTTACTTTAATATAGTTGAGATAACATCTCCACAGGTCAATATGAAGTACTTTAATTAGACATCTTTGAAACAATTTTTCCACTCTATCATAGTTTCTAGATTTCATTTCATGATCAATGTATAGTTTCCAATATCTACCAGTGAGAGGGAATTGGGTAACCAGCCTTTCATAGAAAGGCCTTGCTTCTTCCAGCTTTTTGGCTCCATATTCTTTGATTAAAATTTGCCAAGCTTCAGTATCCCATGGATTATCCTGTAGCCGAGCTTCGGCCTTTTGTCCTCTTTCGGTTGTCATCAGGGTAATCAAGATGTTACAACTATGGTAGATATAAGATTAGAAGAATATGTTTTCAGAGTTACAGAGAAAAAAGATGAAGAGAAAAAATGTTTAAGGGGAGACAGAGAATCAATTATAATAACAGATGATACTGATGAAGAAGACAGAAAGAGAGAAAGAGAAAGAAAAAAAGAGCGAAAGAGAGATAGAGAAAAAAGAAAAAGGGACCAAGAATAGAAGAGAAAAGAACAAAAAAAAGAAGAACAATTTTACAGAGTTAAGACCAGAACAATCAGATGAACCAAAAATAATAAAAAAAAATACAAAAATCAAGGAGTAATTAATGATAAATAGACTAAATTAATTGTTCTTATCGAAATAAAATAAACAGAAAATTTTGAGAAAAAAAATTCAACTAATCAGCTGTTCCTTTAAAGTGCTTCCATCTAGTGGAATAAAAGTGAACCGAAATTCGAAAAAAAAATCAAATTGTCAAATGTTCACTTAATTTATTCGGACAGTTAATTGTCTTTAAATGTTAGCAAATTCTATTTGTAATCATTATGAAACCAATCAATCAATTAATGTATTTAAAAGTAGTTTAACTAAATTAGAGTTGTAACATAATCTTAACCTGAGAAACAATGAGAAATTAATATTGGTATCAAAATTCAATTACGAAATTAAATTAATCGAAAGAGGATAAAAAAATTATTGATTGTTGAAGTTGATTAAATTTCCATGGAGATACTTGAGGAAGAAGATGGAGAAGAGAAAAAAAATGAGTGGAAAATAGTAATTGTAACAATAAACAAACTGAATTAACATCTATTAATATATCAACAACTATTAACCAATTGAGTTGAAAATGATGATAATCAAATTATTAGATTAAATTGTCAAGCGATCGAGTAGATTAATATATTAACTATGATGATTACCTTTTTCATCAATTATCACAATCAATCAATAGTCTCATAGGTGTAACAATGAATAGTAAACATAATAATCAAATTAACTCATCATCAAAGTTAATTTAGTTGTACAGGTACCAAAATAATCACAGGAAATTGGCAATCAAGGTGATTATTATTAAATTGTAATTCCATTGATTGTTATGATAATAATAGTAAACCAAATAATACAAGATAAACATAAAGATTGTATAAAAATCATCAACAAGTAATAATAATAAAAAAAAAGTTATTTTTTGTCAATGCAACAATTTGATTCATCAAATTGGATTATTTAAATTGCCATTCAATCATATCAACTTTTTATTAATGTATTTTGATTAACTCAATTACTGATCGGGATTAATTTATAATTGCTATTGAAATTATTGGTATAGAAATGAGAAATTATTTAGTTACAATAATAATAATAGTGAATTAATCTAATCACAATGAGTATTGATCATGAAAATGTGAATATAAATCATGAATATATGATGATGAAAGTGTAGGCGATGATGATAATATTAATATTATCATTAATGAAAATGATAACATAAACAGATCTTGATAATATTTATAATATCAACAGATAATCAACAATTAAGTATTAATATAATGAGAGTTGATGATTAAATATGACTGGTTGATGATCATCAAATATTAACCAAATCCTTGGCTTTAGATTAATGTTGTAGGTCAGAAAATGATATTACATTTATTTCAATTAAGTTTCTCTCTCAAGGTAACTACAATTTACTGAAATAACCCTGAGCCTTTTCATTCATTGATCTTGATCATGAATAACAAAAAAATTGATTCAAAATGTTGATTACATTTTGATTATTGCCTCAGACTATCAAATGTTTGATTGCCTCTGATTTTTTATCCTCTCATGGTTATCATTGGACTCATTTTGATTGGGAAAAGCAGACTGGATCCAGACAGAGTTTACAATCAATTTAATCATCATCTTCATCCTCATCTTCATCCTCATCTTCATCTTCATCTTCATCTTCATCTTCATCTTCATCCTCATCATCTCCTTTTCCATCATCATCGTTTGAATGATCAGCTTTTAATGAGACTTGATTAACCATCAAGGTGACAGTTAAAAGCTTGAGGGTTTTCACCAATTTCTGATCAATTGAATTTTCTTACCAATTGTAATTAAGTAAATCGGATTGGGCGTAACTTTATCTCATTATTATCACTTCTTATTTCTCATCTTCCCTCCTCCTTGTCATCATTTTTTTCTTGATAATCTCAAAGTTTAATTAACTTTAATTAGTCTCACTGTTTAACTTTTCCTTCAAATTGTCATTGATACTATTTCACCTTGATAATGGGAAACTCAGCTTTTCATTTGATTCATTTTGATTGTCATATTGACAATTAAAGGTTCACAAGTAATCACATTGAAGATTATCAAATAATCAATTCTAATTTCTTTCTGTATTATCAAACTAATTGAAGAAAAATATGAGAAAAAAAGTTTCATCGTCAATATATAATTATCGATAATTTGTCAAACAATTTACCTAACGAAAGTAACAGTTTCTTAACGAGATGAAAATAACGACAATGATCATAATTATCTTACTTAATCAACACACAATCATTACCGTGTTAACAATTTACCCTAAAGGGTCTGGGCCAAGTTTGTGATGCAAATGATGATAAAGATGAAGATGAAAGTTTATAGAAGAAAAAAAAAGTTACTAAATTAATTTTGATTGAAAAGAAAAAAAAATCGTACGATAATAAATCTAGTAACTCATTCCATAGATAATTAGTACTCTGTGTGTAAGAGAGAGAGAGAGAGAGAGATGATAATGAAGATAATTATGATGACTGATTTACCTGAAAGGATGTAAAGGTATTCCAGCAATTTAGCTGGAATAAAATTATTCCTTTAACAGTTACCTGTTAATGGATAACAATTTAATAGCTACTTTTGTGAAGATAATTTTATTTACATTGGATAATAAGACAACGAGCCGTAATTGTAACTTTTGCTGTAGGCTTTGTAGCAATTATCATCCCTATCACCATCATCAATTAATATGCCCTCCGGTCATTTTAATCCACCGGTGGTGGAGACTGTGGGCCTCTTGAATCATTCTTGGAATTGATTATCTCACCTTTGTAAACCATTTTCTTATAGTCTGTCTACAAATTATTAAGACAAAAACGGAACAAGAAAAAGCCAGGAAGAAGCTGAATAAAAATGATGAAATAATGAAGATGAAGATGAAGATGAATAGGATGATGATGATGATGATGAAATAGAGAGCTCAGCTCAGCTCAGATGAGCTGAGAAAAGTGGATTAGTTATTGAAGACACAAAAGGGCAACGATCTTAATATAATATAATTAATTCAAGATAACTGATAATCTCAATTTGTCTTTTTTTCCCTTTAATCTCCCATTCTCATCATTACCTTGGTTATTAGCCAAAAACTCAATGGAAATAAAAAAATTGAAAGATAATATTTGATTAATCTTAAAAGTAAAGATCTTTCCCAATCATCATTCAAGATCATTCATGATAATTAATTACAATCATGTGGTACATGATGATGATTATCATCTTAGACAACTTGACGCCATGGGAATAGTAATTAGCTGATGATGAATGAGAGAGAGAGAGAGAGATGATTAAGATTATGATTAGGATGAAGGTGGTTTACCTAAAATGCTGTTACCTTGATTTCGGGAGCCTTATGATTTTCCAATGGAGAGAGAAAGAGATAAATATTCACCTTGTTAATCTCCCCTCTTCATGAGTGAGTTCAATGAATTTCCTAGGAAGATGAAGATGAAAGAATGACTGGAAAAAGACCGATGGGAAATATAGTTCACCAAGATGACGATAATCTTAATTAGTTTTCATCATTTTCACCTGAAAACTAAGGACAAAGTTAAATTTTCACTAATCAATTTGTCAACAATTAGTTTGTGTCTATCAAAATTATCAATTCTTTCAATTGTATTATCCTAAGATTAGATTGTTAATATTTACTCATCTTCATCTTTATCTTAATACTTATCGATATCATGAGATTTGGGCGGGGATGAGGAGATGCTCATGATGATGATGATGATCATCATCATCATCATGGCCTCTTACCAACTGAACCCCGGAGGTTCATTGGGTCACCGAACCCTAAGGCTTTGATAATCCACCTTGACGAGCCTCCAACAACTTTGATTGAAAAACTTTTACACAGAATTAAGTTAATCACTTTTTAATCAACTTATCGATAGATTATCATGAAAGTATAACTGTTATCACTTTTGCTTCCCAATCAACAACAATCAAATCAATCTACAATTAAGGAAGCTGATAACTTAGACTCTCTTTTTTTCATTGATTGTTGTTCACAATTTACAATTAGACAATTTAATTTATTCACTAATTTGTTAATCATATTGAGGCCATTTGGAAACAACAAAAATAATAATCAGATTTAATTACTAATCATTTGAATTTATCTAATCAAAGTTAATAACGAAAGAAATTAAATTGTGATTAGTCAGTTTGATTAACTAAATCTAACCAAATTAAATTGAATCAATCAAATGTTGTCAAAAAATTTACTAATTGTAAGCTTAATCATTTGGATTTTACTTTGATTGTGATTGGAAATTGTAATTTACAATTAAACAAAATTTACCTTTTACTTTTCTTTATCCCTTAAATTGTTAATTAGTGTGAAGAAAAATTAAAATCAACTAATCAAGTTAAGGAAACTTTTTCTCCTTTTGATTACAATTAAAACAGTGATGATCATAATTAGATTGATTAAAGATGATGATAACAATTAGTGTCTTTTATGTACTTTTAATTGCTGATTTAACTAATTACTCATTTAAATAATGATGACAATCAACCTTCATCAATGTCTAGGGCAACTTTTAATTTCCAATTACAAGTCAAGGTTATTTGAATGTTAATTTCACCATTTTTCATCATGATTATCAATCAATTTAATTCATGATAATCAATTCCAGTTGATTGTTGATTGTTAATCATCATGAAAATCAAAAGAAAGAAGAAGAAAAAAAATTCGAGGAGAAACTTTTTAATTGTAACCAATCAACATACTAAATTAACTAATATGACGATTGAACAATTAACCAGAAACTATTAATAATTATAAATATTAGTTGATTTAATTGTGAAATCTAAACAATTACACAATCATTTAGCTTGATTATTATTAATTTAGATAAAGGTTACAATCGAAACGTATTTTAATTATAATTGCGACGAGAAAATTAAATTGCTACCTAATCAATTTTATTTTACATTTTAAATTAATTGTGATTCTAGTTATCAAATCGCAATTATCGTCATCACAATTATCTTAATTATCATAATTAAACCAACATTTATATCTGATGAAAATGTTTCAAATTGCTAAGCCCTAAGGCTTTTTCAATGATGATTACATTTAATCAACATGATTAACTATCACTTTAATTGCTATTAGGATAATATTGGTTAACCCTACAAACAATTAGATTAGATTAATTTAATCGCCTACACTATTACAACTGATCAAGATTAATTTGATTTAGTTTAGTTTTTTTTCGTCTACAATTTAATTTGATTATTTTCTCATCTTGATGATTATTTTACCTCACGATTGGAGTCTAATCCTTGATTGTCATATAATTATCATGACTATTATTAGATTTAATCAAACAATTAACTTAATCACAATTACATTTGATCTCTTGTTCCTTGTTAATTGTTCAATTAGCCAACGAAATCAATACAACAATAGATTTGATAATCAAATACAAATGACAATTTAGGTCTTGATCAATAAATCAAGTTACCAATTAATTGTTGATGATTATTTAATTCACTTTACACTGTGACAGTTAATTGTCAACCGATTTTAAAATTTACTTCACCAATATTGTCATAATTAAACTAATTAACCAACAATTATCTCGATTATTTATCATTTGAATTGTAAATTTAAACGCGACGATTATCAACTGATTATGATGAGGAAAATGATTTAACTTGCTAATTATGATCAGAGTTTTATCAATCAACTTGATAATTAAATAGTATAATTAGTAATCATTAACAATTTGAAAATCGACAATTTTTTTTCAATTGCTAATTTTCTTGATTAGTTTGTGTTTCCAACGATAATTAAGGCATTTATGAGTAGGGTTTGATATATTGTTTATTTTTAATTAAAGTTAATTATTTGGCCATTTCGCTGAGTTTCATTTGATTAATTTGATAATCAATCTTAAAATTGATATTATGGTGTTAATTTTTTTTCTTCATTTCTTTTCAACACTTTGTTTTTCTCGTTGTTTTTGACATATTCCAGGTTGTTCCAAATATTATTATTACCACTTTCGGCTTTGGTAATAGCACCATCACCAAAACATGAAAGTTTCTTTTAAAGTGAATTAGATTCACATGGTGATTTGATTATCATCGGATCAGTTGTTAAGTTATGAATACATGATGCGATTATAATATTTTATGGATCTATTGTGCGTCCTTGGCGGTTTTGGCAAAACACATTGAGATTAAAGTTGATTATTGTTGATTAACAAAAGAGTTAGAGGGATAAGTTCACAATTTTGAGATAAAGGGGAAAAGCAAAGAACAATTAATTTAGGTAATTCAACAGTTAGAATGATGTGACAAAACTTCAACTTTGGGAAATTAATAGCATGATATATCTCAGAGTTTTGAGAGTTTATCAAGTAGAGAGAGAGAGAGAGAGAGAGAGAGAGAGAGAGAGAGAGAGAGAGAGCAGCAATAGCATTGAAGCTGCAAAGTTACAGCAAAAAAATAGGAGGGAAAACAAGCAAAAAAGTTGATAGCTTTGGATTACAATTAAAAATAAAAATAGATGGCAATTAAGTATTGGTTGTGTAAAGAGAGAAAAATAGAACAAGTGAGTGTGAAATGATTAAGATGATAGAATAATAAATAAAATGGATTGGATGTAAAAAGAGAAGAGATAAAGATATTCGAAAAAAACAAGGAGGGGTAATGATGATGATTAAAACTGGAAAAAGATGTAAAATCACACAATCAGTGTTTTTTTGAATTACACAGTTGACGTCGGTGGTTAATTGGTTTTGATCTTTGCTAATCAATCTGTGTTAATTTATGCACCATGGTGAGAGTTGTTGGACTGAGAGAGATAGAAATGTTTGGTGCATGAATGATGTAAGTAAACTTTTTCAATGTTCATTTCCGAGCTTTAATCCTCTTTGGATGTGGTTGTTTCTCCTTTAGCTTTTTTTGTTTACGATAAATATAACATATATTTCATTTAATATATAGGGAAAGCTTGAGTGAGATAAAGAGAGATTGACTTCATTCAAATTAATCAAATTAAATAAAAACCTAAATTAATCTAATAGCTAATGTCATTGTTTATCAGGCTATAAGAGAGAGAGAAAAGAAAAAGAAAAAAGAAAAGAACAGTTAGTTTTAATTTGAGTCTTAGGAAGATTAGAGTTGACAGATTGTTAATTGTTTCAGGGATTAATTGCTTTGGGTGGATTAGTTAATTAGTATTCTTACCTGTGCTGGATATAAGAATGACTCGATTTTATCTTGGCCATATTGATTTTCAGCGACACAAAAATAACTTCCCATATCATCCCAAGATACTTTTCGTATTAATAAATCACCAGTTGAAAGAAGATCGTATTTACCGTCAGCTGTGAATGCATTTAATTCTCTACCATCTGAGTTAATCCATTTGATTGAAGAATCTGTTCTACCATCGGTTCGACAGTAAAGAATAACGGGAAAATCTAATTTCTCTAGACGTGTATGTGTCCACATAGAAATTGATGGTTTCTTTGATTCGTGTAGGGAACACTCGGTGTATGATGAAAAAGGTGACGATTCTATTGAAGGTAATACCTTAATCTGACTTTCAGCAGCGATTTTTTCATGATTATTTTCAGCAACACAAGTGTACAATCCAGTATCCTCTGGTTTAACACAACCCAAACTAAGCTTAGATTTAGTTAAACTTAATCCAAGTTCTGGACTTTCAGATGAATCAACTATTTCAGAGTTACCATAAATAGCTTGACCACTCTGATTATGAAACGATGAAAATAATGAGAAATATGATATTAGATTTCGACAATCGAAGAGATAGAAATTCTATTTTTTTAAAGTTTTAAATCTAAAGAAAGATAATTGAAAATATTTAGTTACCTGATCAATTCGACGTCCATTTTTAAGCCAATGTATTTTGGGTGGAGGACTTCCAGCAGCTTCGCATTCAATTGTGTGTCTCTGACCAGCAATTAGGATTAAATTACTTGCAGGCTCATGCTGCCAACGTACATAAGGCTCACGACGGTTTTTAGCGACATGTTTTGGACGAGTTTCCTGTTAATCATGAAATAAGAATAAGAAAGTTATATATTATCTAATCATTAAAATTGACAAGATTAACAGTTCAAGTTGTAAGCTTCTTGATGTTCAATGTTTCACTTATCAACAGTTGAGGATTATGTTGATAGATTAATTGGTGAAAAAAATCAACAAGGAAATTAAACTTACCGAAGATGATGTTGAATCCAATTTTGGGTTGAAAGGTTTAGCGGATGCTAAACTTATCACTATTAATACTAATAATCCGATAAACATTGTTAGTTGACTTGTTCGTTTTTTTGTATGTTGAGTGAACTTGAATCACAATAATATGTGTGTCAAAGAGATAAACAGTTTTAGTGGATAAGAGAAGTCCAGGTAATAGAAGCAGAAGATTAGAAAGTTGTTTAAAAGTCCAGTCACTAAGTCAAAAAATGATCAACGTTTGAAAATAAATCAACAGAAAAAGGCGAGATAAAAGAGGGAAAAAATCAATAGATTTTTTTTCTTCAAACTTTATCAACAGGTTAAAAGTGAAACAATTAACGGTTAACGGTCAATAGACTTTAACAAATTTGCTGAGAAAGCAAACAAATTGAGCAATGGAAAGATAAAGAGGTGAATAAAAAATTAAAACAAAAAATTAATATGTGATAATGCTTACAGGTTGAAGAGAATCGTCAAAGTGATTCCGTTTGCGAGAAATCATCTCCCTTTAAACATCCCTAGGGGAAGGGAGAAAGAAGAGAGGGAGAAGGAGAGAAAGAGAGAAGAAAGATGAAGATAGATAGGGAGAGAGAGAGAGAGAGAAAAAGGTGATGGTGATGATGATAGAAAATTCATCAAAACCACGTGGATTAAAGGGAGCAAGAGAGAGGCCGGTTTATAAGAGAGATGAAGTAATATCAGAAGATAGAGAGATGGATGATTGAGAGAGATGATTGCGCGAAAAAAAGATAGCGAAGACGAATGAGCATGATGATGATGATGATGATGAAAAGAGAAACAAAAAAAGAAAGGTAAACTTGATAAAGAAAAAAAAAGATATAGAGAAACGAATGAGTGAAAAAAAGCATCACAAGAAAGAGATAAAGAGAGAGCAAATTTAACTCGTCAGTGTCTTTACTTATCCAACATGAGTAAAAAAAAGGGAAACGATAAGATGATGAAAAAGATGATGATTATTACTCGTGTTGAAAATATTCACAGAATTGAAATGAAACAGGAAAAAGAAAACAAGTTTCATGATGGAAAATGTTGAGAGAGAAATGATGTTGATTGATTAATTTTCAATTTCTTTTCTTTTCTCTTTTTCTGTCTGGTCAATTACCATAGAAAAGAAAAGAAATTAAAGCGTAACCATGGAAACGAAGAAAAAGAGACAGAAAAATAGACAGAGAAAAGAAAAGAACTTTTTTCTTCCCTCCAAATGTTCGCTTCCATTTTCTTGTTCTTTTCATTGGGACAAATTAACTTGTTAATTAATTATTCTTTCAATTGTGATCACTTTTATTACGATTTATTCAACTGTTTACACATATGTAATTCTGTTAATATTGAACAAAGATATTCATTTACCCTTAGGCTGTGATAGTTCATCAATTTGATTATTTCTTCATTTTCTCTCTCTCCTCCAGGCATAACTCGTGCACTGGTTTATTCTTGCTTCTCATCAAACATGTATGTTACTAACCATTTACTTGTGATTATCTTTATTAATATTAATCATCTTTCATTTTTCTTTCTTTACATTAGTGATTTTCATCATCACCGTCATCGTCTTGCACTCAACATCATTTTTGGCCCTTTTTTTTATATCTTACACTCAACAGGTAAGTAAACACATGGAAATGATCAAAATATGAAGAAAAGAAGGATACAAATTGAGATCTTTTTTCTTCTTCTTTTGCTTAAAAGAGAATAAAAGTAAAACTTTTCACTTTCTCTCATCATCATCGTCAACAAAATCAGGTCAGTTAATCGTCATCATCATGAGTAACCTTAACACTTAACTTTTCAATCTTCATTTATCTTCCTTAGATTAATCAGATTGTGTGTTTATTGCATTGTCATCAGGCAACCAGGAGAAAGTAAAAGAACCAACAATTTGCTTGGATTTCATGCCTTTTTTCAATTCTTTTTTCTTATTAATTTCTCTTCTCTTTCATACAGTGATGACAAATACTCAAAGGAGGTCATTGAATCTCGTGATTTTTTATCCTGTGTGTTGATTAAACGAGTTGAAACATGATTTCAAGATTACCACCGCCACCACGGAAAATCAAGTCCCATAGACAGTTAAACTGTCAAATGAATTTAATCATAATAACTTCAAGGGCCATTTTTTGACTGTTCAATACCACCGATGAAATTTCAAGATTTTCCAATCCAAGATCATTTTTTTTTCATACAAGAGAATATGATAAACAATTAATTGTCTCTATCACTATAAGTATCAGTCAACTGATTATATTGTCATATGAGAAGATTGATTTACTTTCTTAATCCGGTTATTAACCAATTGAATTTGCCAATTTCATGTAATAACACAATCTAATTGTAGCTGACTCTCTGACCATTGTAATTATATTGTCACTTGATTGTCAGCAATTAACCTGATATTAACTATAACTACTTTTCTCTGGCAATGTTATATAACAAATCATGTGAGGATTAACATCACATTTCCTGTTCATCTATTAATCAATATAATCTTTATCCTCAGAATCAGAGTTATTAATGGAATCGTTTTAATGAAGGGAAAAAAATTTCCCATTAGAATGTTAATATTTCCTAATCAATTGATTTACTATTGAAGGAAACTAATTAACTAATCAGATCGGTTACTTTATGATCAGTTGATCTAATTGTTTAATTAGTGAATTAAACATCAGGTAATCATTTGGTATGAAGAGTAAAACTTTTAATTAGTTAATAACTAATCATTTCAGTTGATCAACTTATCCTTTCAAAGTTTGAGAAGATTTTAATTGTTGTTAATTAGTTTCCTTCCGTTAGTTGATTATTATGAATAATTTTAAATCAATTTTAATCCTAGTTGATTGGGAAATCGTTAAGATTAGTTGATTGATTTAATTATAAAAATCGTTAACATTTTTTAAGATTAACTGGGAAAAATTTCATCTCCTTGATTGTAATTGGTGGTTTTTTTTTTGTTAATTGTGATTAGTATCTAAATGCTTGATACTAGATGATTTATTAATTACACTAAATGATAATACAATTGGCAGCTATTGATTTATCAATTGATTACAATTAAGTGTATCTGCATAAAAATGATGATTAACTTGAGAGTGAAGGAAAAGCCCAAGTTAATCATGATCTTGATTACAGTTTTAACAATTGTAGATTAAATTGTTCAATCATTTCAAGTGATTATTTCAAGTAAATCACAGGTAGTTAATTAGTAAATTAATGTCAATTACAATTAATTATAATCATAAAAGGGAAAAATGAGGAAAAAAAAGGGAAAATCTTAATTTGATTGTTTCAAATATATTAAATTGCTATCAAAATGTAACTTTTTTTCCCCATTTCTTGAGTGTTAATCTTAATTGTTTAACATCTTTAATCAGCTGATAGTTAATTAACTCTAAATTGTCATTGTTATCTTGCAGTCAATATCATTTAATCTGATTGAGTTGATTAAATGATGACAGGAAAAAAGTTTTTCAACAATTATTGGAAAAGAGAAGCAAAAAATTGAAATATTATTCTTGGAATATTAATATTTGTTAATTGTGATTTGTTTCCAGCAATTAGTTAATCTTGAATAATGTTAACTAATTGTTTGTTCAATATACACTCGGGGAATATCACAAATTAAATACACCAATTGGAAATTGTCAAGTGATTTAAACAATTTATATAGTTGATTACACTTAGTGTTTAGTACAAAAATTGATTGTGATTTGATTTGATTACAAACGAATTGATTTAAGTAGTGGTTAAGAACACTTTTACTTTGCAAGTATATTTAATTAATCAGTAGTTAATTGTAGAGAATCAATTGTTAATCATATTTTCCATTCTGATTAGATCAATAGTATATTGGAAATTAATTGTTGACAATTTAATTGCTCAATTTGAAATCAATTGATGATATTACATTAACATGTAGTTAACAATATTTAATTGTTACTCTCATTTTACAATTAAATTGTAATCTCAAATAACTGAATTAAAATTGATTGTCTCAAGGTCTTCAATGTTATATTTATAATAATTATTAACTTTTCAAACAATTTAAAATTAGCAAAAGTTATTGATCACAATTAAGTTTAGTTTGCTTTTAATTCCTAATGAAAATTAAACTTTTAATTTGATTGTTGATCAACGTAATCGTTTAATTATTTTTAAACTCTTTTAATTAGCAATTAATTATTTGATTATTATGAAATTTAACTGATTTCAATTAATGATTAACAAAATTTTCCCGCCTTTTAATCAATTGATACAATTAGTTAATTATTGTCATCAAAATTAGCAAACAATTATATTTAATATGTTCAAAGTTAATTATATTTCCTCGTCGTGATGTAAATTGATTAACTGATTTCATCAACTATGGTTAATTACAATTTAATGTAATCAGCAAATGATATTGGATAAAAATGAACAATTTTTAATTGTTTGCCAAACCAAACTGATTAATACCGGTTAATTTGAGATTACAATTAATTAGATAATGAAAACAAAACAAAAGACTAACCAATTAACCATAATTTCAACAATTAGCAAATTGATTACGCTTAGATTATGATACTAATCACAATCAAATCAAGATGATTATCATAATATTATGTTTAGATTAACTCTCGGTAACAATAATCTTGTTGGTAACAATTAGAATTAAAAAATTTAATCACAATTAATGATCAACTAATTGATCACTGATCATGATTAGATTAATTATAAAATCCAATTAAATGTTTGTTTGGATTATTTTTCCAGCCAAAATTAGTTAATCAGTTGAATCTAAATCATGATTACATATAAAATTTACTAATCAATGGAATCAAATATCTTGATTGTTATTGTAAGAATCAATTGTCACAATCACATGGATTAAAAGTTAAATTGTTACAATTTAACTGGTAAATCTTTCAAATGAATCAATTGTTGAGTAAATTAAATCAATCACAAGTCACAAATATAATCATCAAGATTAATGATTAACTAAATGTCTAATTTAATACCATAATCTTAACCATTAAATTGCTCACAATAACAAATTAACTCTAATTAATCAAATCAAATTAAGTTGACATTTAAATTTAAATCTTGGCAGAGTAACAATTTCAATCCTTTTCCCTGAATAACAACAATTAAACTAATCATTACCTATAAAAAAGCTTACAACAATTAACATAATCAAGTAATAACATTAATTACAATCAAAATAAAATGAAACTTTAATCACAATTAGATTTATAGTAAACACAACAATTAATTTAAAAGTTAAAAGTAAAAGTTTAAGTAAACAACTTTAATCTGTAACATTTACCTTTTAATTGTGAGCAATTAAAGATGAGTCTTGTGATCACAATCAAATTTACAAGTTAATCATGTTGATGATTTAGAAAGTGATTGATTGAAATGTTGTTAATCAACTTTGTTGTTGATTAATTTTGGTTACTATTAATATAACAACAAAATAAAGTTAATCTTATTTTTACAATTTCTCGTGATTAAATTTAAACAACAACAACAACAACAACAACGATCATCACAATTAAATCAATAACTAGTTTACAATTAAGGTAAACCTGTAAATCTATTGATTGATTAAAACAATTAATCAATGTTAGGTCTGTTGGGTGATGAGTTAAATATCCTTGAGACATAATCAATGATGTCAATCAATTGTTTACAATTAAAACCTTGAATTAAAGTGGTAACATTAGTAAATTGATTACATTTAATCAATTTATCATTTGTTAATTGAACGAGTAATTAACTTTAATATTGAAAGGTTTTAATGATGAAATTATTGTACCAAACAATTAACAAGCTTCACCCTAATTGTTATATAATATAAACAGTTAATTATATCTTGATACACTAGAAATCAATTTCAAGTTTCCTTCAGCTATAATTAGATTAATCAACAACTGAATTAAATACATATTCAAACAATTAAATCAGTTAATTTACTCTTATCAATGGTTTTCAATTAGTTTACCTTTCATTTTCTCAATTAAATCAATTGATTTTCATTCTGATATTCATTTAATTGTGAGCGATTAAATTTAATCGTTAATCAGTTAATTTCATTTGTTTGGTTTTTGTTAAATTATCCAAATTTAATCAAATGGTTTTGATTTCATGTTGTGTTTACAAGGTTGATTTGGGGAAAATCAAATTAATCATTGTAAAATTGTTCACATTTATAATCATCAACAATTAAAAAGTTTTCATCACAATCATATTATCATGTATTCAATGTTACAAAAGTGATTAGTGATTAATGAAGAGGGATAGATAATCAAATGATAATAATCAACGAAAATGATGATTAGTAGAAAAGGTTTTAACTCAAATTATCTGTTTGTTAATTAAATCAACTAATTGAGTCCTTGGAGGTTTAATTAAAGATGAGGCTACAAAACAAGAATCAAGAATAATCAAATTGATTGAAATTCAGTGAAAATTTGAAGCCGAGTTATTGATGTTTCCATGTTAATTGTGATTCGTTATTGTTGTTATTACGAAACAATTTGTTTCAATTAAAGAAAATTGCCTAATAGTTGATTGACAATTTAAGGTTTCAATTTCTTTTCCCCGTCAAGCCATGGCCTCGAAATCGGAAGAGTCGACGGATAGTGAGTTCCTTTTCGCCTTGACAATGTGCCATCTTTGTTTCGCAACGGGTAAGTTGCCAACATGATCGGAAGTTGCAGTTTAATTGGTTTACTTCCTTTACCATCAACGATAAACTGTTAAAATAATAAGAGAACAACAATTAAGATAACTAATCATGATGATGGAAACATTAACTTACATAGACATCATATTGAATTTTAATTAGGTGGCAACCACGAAGATTTGTCGGTGGTAACGGTGGTATGTAGAGTAGTTCACCTCTCCATTGATCGGAGGCTTTGGGAACGATTTTGCCTCTTTCGATGGACGCAAGTTCCCGTGACTCGGAATGGGCCAGTTTATTTTTCGCTGTATATTGAATTGTCTGTAATTAGAAAAGGAAAACAATTATTGAGTTGACAACTTTTCGATTGTATAATAAAATCAAGTCAAATATTAAATGGACTGACCTCTGTTAGAATGGCTTTGGTCTTTTTAATTGTAACTTTACTATTGTTTTCGATGTGAGCATAGATTTTGATACTTTCTCCTGGAACGTAACCTCCACGGTCAAGACGAACACGGCAACTGACCAATCCTCGGGTTATACAGTTTATCCCAATTTTATCTTCAACTTCACAATGAAAAGGTTGCTGAATTAGGAGAGAATCAAGAAGAAATAAAAAATTAGATGAAAAAAGGGCTTGGTAACAATAAAATTATCTAATGACGAAAGGTAAAGTATCACACTTAGGAGTGGCCATTAGACGGGAATGGGGCTATAAATAAAAAGGTCAACAGATAAGAAAGGCTGAAAACTAGTGCGAGGACAAAGGGTCAAGAAATGTAAGAGTAACTACTAATCGCCATTGGTGCTTGTGCTGGTGTCTAATTGTCATTAGCGATCGTTATACAAATCGGTTTACCGTCAATAAAGTTGGTTCCAAGTTAAGGTCAATCGGGTTCATCACAATGAAAACTTGCTGGTTCTTATGAAGTACATTATGAGGATCCTTTAGAACGGCTTTACAATAGTATTGGACCCAACCGTGTTTACCTAGAAATGTTGACGGAAGACCCAAAGGAAGGCCTAATTTAAAGGGAAAAGTGTGAACTCCAGGGGACAAAATGAGCACTCGATTACTGGCCACAGATCCGTTCGCAGTGCTACCGATATCTTTTCAATGGGGAAAAAAAGAAAAACATAACAATTAGTGAAGAGAAGGAAAAAAAAGTTCTAACGGATTGAATGATGGAAAAGAAGAGACAAAAAGGAGGAAGAGATTAACCAGAGCATAGAAACAAAAGACTTGATGGTCAGAAACGGTGAGATGACCATCTTGATGATGAATTTTCAAGGAACAATTTGTCACATAATAAACTGTAATTCCACCAATTGAGTAAAAAGCCCTCAAGGTAAATGAACATGAAAACTTTTCCCATCTCCAAACAAAAAGAGTGGGAATATTTTCCCATTCACTTGTTGTTGTTTCTTCGTCATCTCTTCCTCCTCTCTTTTCACTTAATTAATCACTTAATCTTCATTATCACTTTTCAAGGTATTCACTCGAGTTTCCAGATTAATCAATGATAGAACAATGAATCACAATAGCATTTAAATTATCCATCAAAACGATATAATAATAAGAAATAGACAAGAAAACAACTTAACCAAAAATGAAAGAAAAAAAAACAATAACATTTACCACTTTTGGTTTCACCTTCGCCAAGAAGCCTCATCCGAAAATCGATGTAATTTTCTTTATCCGTTTGGATTATCCTTCCTTTATCCGACAGATTAACAACACCTTCACCAATGATGTGAAAATAAAGGCCTGAAGACGATTGAAAGCAAAACACAGTTGAAGATTATCTCAGATTGTGAATGAAAACAAGAACCAAGAGCAAAGGCCCAAAGAGACAAACTGATCCCAATTGATCACAATTAACCAATTTACTTTGGATTAAATCACAATAAACACTTACCTATGGCTGGTGTTGATTCCTCGAGTTCCAATAAAACTTTACCTGAAAGAAATGAACCAGGGAAATAGAGGAGACTTTCATCGTCCAATAGAATTAGAAATTTCTTCAATTTTCTGGTCGCCATTTTGTTTGAAAATGAAACAAGAAGAAGATAACAGTCAACACTATGGAATAGAAACAATAAACAATAACTAAATTAAATAGAGAAAATTAACAAAATTAAAAGACAAAATGATCAGGCTAAAGATTGAAATTACCTGAAATTTTATCTTCTATTTGATAATCATCATTATATTAAATTGTCTTCAATGTGAAGACTTCAATTGGAAACACCAAATAAGGTCAAGCAACAAGATTAAGAAACAACAATCAAGAAAACTTGAAAAACCAGCCTTGAGAAAATTAAGTTGGCAGAGTTAATCAACAATTACAATCAACTACGCATTTTCATTCACACAATTTACTAGGCGATTCCAATGGTCACTTCGATGTGATTACCTTGTTATCTTTATGAGAAAATCGTGAAAATTGCTAATCATCATTTTCTTGATTATTGACTGGTGATCGTTGAAATTAATTAATACGATCAAGTGTTTATCGTTGGTAAAAAGTTGTATTGATTGTTACGACTTTCGAAAGTAAAGTTTTTTTGTTAGAAAATAGTTCGACTAAATTTTTATCATATCGAATTTGTTTTTTTTCTCTTTTGATTAGAACTTTTTTTTCTTTCAGAATTTTCAATTATAGTTGAGTTTTTTTTTGTCTTCGATTTGTGGTCTTAATTATGTTTCCACTTTTAATGATAAACATGATCGATTTTTCCGACAATCTAATTATAATTGCAACAAGAAGTTAATTGTCTTTTTTCCGTTCTACTCTTAATTTCATCATCTTATTGATACTCATGACACTTATCACATCTAACGATTAACTTGACGATTCCACTTGAACGATATCAATTGTTAAACTTCCTGATTTAAGTCTTTGAATCATCCAGAGTGGTTGATGATGAAAAGAGGGAATCTTCAATTTCTTAATTTGTCATTAACAAATCAAGAGGAAGAAAATTAGTTATGTGATAATCAACACGTAAACCATTTTGAAGAAAAATTGACTTTCTCGAGATCAATAGTTGGGTAATGGAATCTTTTAAATTGATTATAATCACAATCATCGATGTAGATTAAATTGCAAGGACGATTAAGTAGACAGCAACTTTTTCATCACCTCGACATCATCATCATGACCTGACCATGAACTAATTTCTTCCTCATTGATTTGGTCCGTTTTCCATGTTATTCCAGATTCTTTGATGGAAATGATCATCATCTCATGTCCATTTCAAGGTTCGATTCCGTTAGGTTGGTCATCGCTTGGAACTTCATCTTTCTCGTTTTCTTTCCTATGGTTTTACATGTTCGATGTCTTTTTCCCGCTAGAAAATGTTGAAGGCTGAATAATATTTCCATCTCCGTCAAGGATTCCCATTAATTACTGATGTCTACTGAAGGGAAAAAGCAATATCGCCAGAGGAAATCCTAGTTTTCCACCGATGAAAGGGAATCTTAATCTTTCAATAGAATTCACCAGATCTCCAAGTCATTGTCATACTCTTTTTCCATGAAAATTTATCGTCATCTTTGATTGAGAAACTCAGGAAATGATGAATTGAGATCTACGATTGATCAATGACAACAGAAAATCACATCCGCTACTCCAAAATGATACATTTAAATGGATACACTTAAAAATAGATATGAAGAAAAAAAGTTATATGAAATCATCACAATTGTCATATAACTTGCATTGTTTATGAGATATCAAAGTTATGTTTATATTGTCAAGTTGACATCAATGTTAATCTAATTAATTAATCAAAGATGAAATAAGAATATGACTTTTAAGTGGTTAAATTGGTTCTGGGAGAGAGTCAGAGATATGATCATGTAATTAATGTAACATTTGTCAAGGTGAATGTTAGTGTGTTGGTAGGATAATATACACGTAGGTACATAGATGTATATAGATTATTATATAAATATCGATAGATAAAAGGAACTACCGAGTGACTTTAAATTGAATTCGCCGCCATAATATTTAAGTGTCGCTGCTAAAACTTTTTCTGGTGCTTTTGGACACATAAGGAATTGAGCGAATTAACAAAAAGCACTTTAACATCGACGGCGAAATAAGCCATTTTAATGAGAATTTTTGAAATTTTTCTATTCGATCAAACAAATTCCTTTTGTGTCCAAAAGCACCAGAAAAAGTTTTAGCAGCGAAACTTGAATATTATGGCGGCAAATTCAATTTAAAGTCCTTCGGATGCCAACAATCATCTGGTAGTAACAGTAACATAATTATTAGCACTTTATAGAGATACAGAATTTAGAATTGCTTTCAGAATCAAGTTGATTGAACATTGGGGGTATTTGATTATATCATTTGTATGATTTAGGTTTTGTTTTCATTCAAAAACATTTCCGATTCTCGAGAGTGAAAAGTATTGCTCATTGTGGGAAACCAACACAATTTAAGGTAAGTCGAATGGTTTAACCTTTCAATTTACTATTGGAAATTAACTTCAACTGTGTAAAGAATGAAGGAAATCAGCGACAATTAGATGCATCATCAAGATGGGTTCTGATAGTCGATTGTTTGATATTTTTTCATATCGTTCATCACTTTATCCAATTTGGTAATTTTTCTTTGGCCTAATGGAAATAAAGAGAAAGATAATTAGATATGAAATTAAGAATAGATAATTTTATAGAATTGATTGTTTATCATATGGTCGAAATTTGATTGTTACCTTGTGTTGTCCGTCGCTTAGGACCTGATTTAGGGAAATTGTTATATTTTTCTGGTTGTTCCTCGTCGAAATCAAATTGATTTGGTTCCACTGAACTTGGCTTATTTTCATTTGATTCGGTCATCTTATTTATATCAACCAAATCTCTTGAATCATCTGAAGGTGATCTCTTTTCTGGACAGACCCATTTCAGTTCAATGTAATCACATTTTTCTAGTTGCTTATACAAGGTCGATATCTTATTACCACTTGGTTCCCATACTTTTATCCCACCGGGTTGATTGAAAGGTATCACTAGATTATTGGATACATCATAAAGCTCATCATCAGAACAGGTGATACTCCAATCGTTATCCTCTTGATCCATTGACATTTCTCCTTCTTTTTTACTGGAAAGTAATAGAAAGTAAAAGAAAACAATGAAAACAATGTAAATGAAAAAAAATAAAAACACTAATCCAAATGTTGACTGGACAATTTTGTGAATAGAAAACAGGAAACAATTTACTTACCTTGTCACCTTTGTAAGTCTCCTAAGATGAGAGTGAAATGTTTAATTTGATTGTGACCAAATAAAAATGTCTAAATTGTAATTAAAAACATTAATCATGACAATTTTTACCAACAACAATGATGAAAAAAGGTTGATGTTTTCTCATTTCTTTGGTTGGATATTTTAACCGAGTTGATGAGATTATTTACTCACACACAGAAAGTAAACCATAAACTAATTAGTTGATAATCAATATAAATCAATAGTTAAACAGTTAACACAATCGAAAAATTGATTATCAATTAAATGAGATGGATTAAAAGACGAAGTTAATTGTTTTTCTTTTGAAAATAAATGAACTTCGTTGGATTTCTGATGGACAGATGGCGCCAGGAATTCGCTATTTTTAGATTTTAATTGTTAATTTGATTCGATTAGAATTGACGTAATTAACGAAGAAAACAACGAGAAAAAGACAATTTCATGACAATATACAGAATAGAAATTGAGACGAAAACAAAATCCAGATTCCAGTAAATAACAATTGACAGTTGGACGAAATTTAAAAATATGATAACAATCAAATGACGTTGAAAAGCAATTTAATAATAATAACAGATCAATGATGATTAAAGTGATAACTTTGAAACTTGGGAGAGAATTAGTTTATCATTAGATTGATTGAATAAAATTAAACACTAGTATCGATATAAATATAAGTTTTCAACAATGAACGTTAATCATTTTTTGGTGATTAAAGTAAAAGAAAAACTTAACTTAATGAACTTAACTTTAATTGACAAGACAATTAATGATTAAACGTGTTTATATGTTAAATTATATGCATCTTAGTATATCAATCAATTAATAGATAATGAATAAAGAATCACAATTTAATTGATTTTAAATGATGAAGCAAAAGAAATGAAAACAATGAAAAAGGGAAAAATTATAAAACCAGTTAATCATTGATATTGATTCAGTTACCTTGAAAGTTATTGTTTTGGACGAGAAACATTAATTAATTTAATCAAAGTCTAGGTCAAGGTTGATGGTCAAATAATTATCTATGTTAATCACAATCAAATTTGGACATAATATCATGAATATAAAGCTATGAATAGAATCAGAATCTTGACAGAATCATGAAAAAAAAAGGAAGAAAATTGAAAAGGTTCCACATGAGAAATGTTAGATGATGTAATGGATTTTTATTATGATTATCATGAAGATGATGAAGATGATGAAAATGATGATGATGAAGATGAAGATGATGAACAATTTAGTTGATGAGATTAAATTGCAATTGCGCATTAATCTTATCCTTTGGAGGGAAGATGATAAGTCAACCTGATTTTCAGTTCAACTTTTGCTTTTTGTCAGGTAATCAACAAACTGATTGTTAATTTACTTGTGATAATTTACGCTAATCATCATAATAATCTTATAATCAACAATTAAAAAGTTAACTAACCTGTTAATCCAATTAATCTTACAAGAGATTTGTGTAAAGAGAAACCCAATCAACTAAAACTTTAACAATATCTTTTTAATGGCAAATCCATTTGATTCAACATTTGCTTCAGAATTAATTGTTTACAATTTACCTTCATCATCACCGTTGAAATGATTAAATAAAAATAGTATTTAAATTAATTAAGTTGACCAAGGAAAAGAGAATAATTATTTTTTTAAATTACAAGTTAATTTTTCCCGCTTTTCTATTTCTTAATTTGCTAATAATAATTAACCTTTGAAAATCCTCGAAATCAGTTAAATGTATTATATAAGGTACGATTATGAATTCAATTGTTGAATTAATTGTTAGTAAATTTCTAATTGTGTCCGGTTATGGTTAAGTTATGGTTATACAATTTGTAAACATGTCGTCGTCGTCGGGGACAGCAACGGTAATCAATTGTTCAAATGTTAATTGTAACAATAATGATCATTACAGTGATCAGATTGGTGGTGGTTCCAATTTAGGAGGTGATGATTGTGTCGGTGTGGGTGTTGATTGTGGTGATAAACCAAGTCTCTCATTGAGTTTATCCAATAATTCATCGTCTTCATCTTCATCATCTTCATCTGTCACCGGTTGTATCGGTGTAAGTGGATACAATTTCAATAGACCGATAGTTGGCCTGAGTAAATTTCACCAACAAGACGCGGCCACATCACCGACAATCCCGTTACTATCAACATTAATCTATGATTGTAATTCATCAACATTTTACTCAACCAATAATTCCGGTGATGAAATTAACAACAACAATAGTATCACACCAACATCAACATTAACATCAATCGGATGCTCAAGTCCAATAATTAACCGAACCTCACCTCAATTTAATAACAATGGTTCTGATTTGAATAATAATAATATAATTAATAACTTTAACAATAATATTATCACCAATAAGAATACAAATAATCAACGATTAACCAATAACGGTAATGGTACAATTAAAACGTTACTAATCAAATCAAATTGTCGACCAAGTGACCTCGTATGTAGCCTGAAATCACCAAGTACTTGCCTTGCTTGTTATACAAATTGTTCAACTTGTAATAATAATAATAATGGTGTTAAATCAACAATCAACACAGTTAATTACGATTATAATAGTAATTCAAGTTTTGATAGATTAGTGGGTAATCACAATTCAAGTATAAAAAGATCCAATATCGGAAGAAGCGGATTAAATGGCCTCAACGGGATTAATGGAAACACTTATCTACCAGAATCGATGAGCGGATTAAATTATTATGGACCAATAAGTAATTGTAGTTCCAATTTAACCACTACAATTACAACCTTTTCCACCGCCAATACCACCACCACCACGATTGTCGGTGGTGTTAAAAGTACAATTAATGTCACCGATTTGGCTTTCAGTCAATCTCATATTCCTAAAACAACAACAACCATGATCAATGGCGGTGGTATTACGAGTTCGAGAGGAGGAGGTTGTGGTCCCGGCGGTGGTATAACTATCCCGTCAATCCAAATATCACCCACTGGTTATGATGATCATCATCTGTCATCATCGCCAACTAATAGTAGGACTTACGATAAGTTTGACAACTTTAATTCAAACATTTTCAATGACCATTGCTCAGCAATTAGCGCACCATTATCATCATATTATCTTGATGAGCCCAAAAATCATAGTTGTTTCCGTAAATCAATTCCAACTATGCCTATCGCTTTATCAGCGTTTCTTTTGCTACTTAATTGTTTTCTACCAGGATCAGGTAAGTGAACAACAATTTAATTTAATTCACTTTGAGATTATCAACTCTTTTCAAGAAACTAAACCAAATTGATTTCTCTGTTGTTGATCAAATTTCTGTTGATGTTATGAATGATCATGATTTGATTTAAAATGGTGATCCTAATGATCTGAGTGTAACAATTAACACAATCAACTCTTAATTGTGAATGTTGATCACATGAAAGTCTCATTGACTGGTTTGATTACTTCAGGTAATCAACTGATCATATATTTATTGATTAATGAATGTATGATGGTTATATTGACCATAATGATTAACTTGATTAATGTATTGATGAACAATTTGTATGCAAAAAAATATCAACCCAATAATTTGTCTCAATTTATGTTGATACTTATGTAAATTGTTGTCATCTAATTTTATTAATCAGGTCTTTGATACAGCTAATTAATATTAATTCTGAAGACGATTGCAATTAAAATTTAGGTTTTCAATGAAAACAAAATTAATTTCTAATTTGATTTGATTTGATTTGATTTGATTTTGAGTGTCTGCAAGTTGATCCTGGTTGACAATTAACTGTTGATCCTGAAAAAATTTCCAAATCCTTGAAAAGTTTTCAATCATCATGATTAATCATAAGGATTCAATTGCAATTGAATTATAAAATTTAAAGGTCAATTTAATCCCTAGATTTTTTGATTAATTAATAAGGTTTCATGATAACATTTGACCTGAAAATCAATTGATTGTTAACCTAATCATTCACAGATCCATAGCCAAAGAGAACTGAATTCTTAACGGTTTAATTGTTAACAATTAAAGATCAAACTTGAAAATATCTTAACCATTCAATTGCTACTAAATTGTTGATATTAATGATTTATGATTCTTTCATGATTGTTATTTACTTCATAAAACCAATTGGGAGTGGAAAGGAAAGTTTAACTCCAAGGATTGATTTGATTTCTTAATTGTGCTCTCGTGATATTATCACAATCATCTAATTATAATTGAGAAATTATCTAACACGGGCAACATAACGTAACCAATTAAAAATTAATAATGCTGTGGATTTTTATAGTTAATTATTAATGAGAGATAAAATTAATTGTTAGAAAGTCAAGAATGAGAAGAAAGTTTTAATTTGATTGATCGATTTTTCTTAATTACCTGATTGTTGTCTAGCATTTTCTCATTTGATTAATTGCCTCATTCCATGAGACTTTAATTGTTTCTATTGATTCCAAGTTTTTCTTAATACAAACAACAACAATTAACATGAATATTGAGTTAATTAAAGTAAATCGTTTCACCGTTAAAATCTAAATGATTGCAAAGTGATTTATTCATTTTCTTTGCCAGTATTAGTTAATTTCTTTCCTTAATTTTCATCTTTTTTCATGTCTCGTGCATTTCAATTAGTTCATTTCGTCTGAATTTCTCATGAACTGGTCCTCAGATCATGTTCGGACGATCGACCTTTCGACGTTACGAACTATGGGATTTGTGCTGAATTTTGTGCTACCGAAATATTTCATGGAACCCTCGTAGTTTTGGCTGAATCTTGTTCTGAAAATTTTGCTTATTGTAATTACGATTTAATAATAGCCTGATATTGATTTTAATTGTCAATTTTTGGGGACCACAAAGATAATTTATTAATAGTAATGTTTCCATGTATATATTCAAGGTTAATTGTGAAAGAAAACAATCAATTACAATTGAGTCTCTTGGTAAATTATATGTTACCTTTTTTTTTCATTGTTCACCTGAGTCAATCAAATAATTGTGATCAAGTTAATTGTTGTTGGTTGACCTGATACACTCAAGTATCAATTTGATACTAAAACTGTCCCATTTATTATTGATTATCAAATCATTTTAAGTACAATAATTATGTATCAACAATTAATCAACAAAGACTGAGATCTTAAATCAACAATAATCAGTCAATCAGTTTGATTAACTTTACGAATTGTCAATCAATTGGTAACTAATCACATCAATACTTGTAATATATATAACAATTAACCAAAGGAAAACAAAATGAAATGAAAACTAGGAAAACAATTAACTTTGATTGATCCTGGTTAATATTGATTAAAAATGTTTCACCTTAACCATAACCTTGATTGTTTCACAGTTAGTTAATTGCCCTTTCCTTGACTCTAAAAATATTTAGAAAAGTGAAAGAAATCAACAATTAACACACAATCAACAAGACAGAAAATCATATTGACAGTAACAATCAATGAATTTGTTTATCTATTTTTCAACAGATGATGAAATTGAATATATATCATTTGATGATAATCATCATCATCATCATCATCATGTTCATCATCAACAGAATCATTTTATCATCATCATCATCAACCTTTGAATAATATACCAACAATAAAAGTATTATATCATTACGATTGTGAATCACGTTTCCAACTTTTACCTTCACAATTCAGATAAATTCATTTACCGTTATTTTTTTTTCTCATGATTCTTTTCATGATAAAATACGATACATTCATGATTCTCTCTCTTTTCCTCTTTCTTTTTTTCCTATGGAATTTAATATTCTTTTTTTTCTATGGAACTTTTTTCTTCAAGAATTCTTTACCCTAATAATAGTCTGAATACTCATAAAATATGATGAAAAAAAAAATATAATTCACCAAGAATCATAATCATGATGAGGATAATAAAAGGTAACTTATATTGAACAATTTACCTTTGAATTTGTGGCATGAAAAAAAAAGTAAACAATTTAAATTATTGACCATAAATTGTGAACAGGAAAAGTTGATTATTATCATGATGATGATTAAGGTACCATGTTGAATTGAATTTGATTCAATTTCTAATGGTAACAATTGTAATCAAATTATAGTTGTGATAATAATCAGAGGATCATTTTAGCCTCGAGCTGTAATTGTTATTTTATTAGTTTAAAGCTCAATTACATTTGGTGATTATTATCACTGTTAGTTAATTGTTGCACATTGAAATTAGATTATCAAGTTTATTGTTAATGAGTAATTTAATTGACGAGTAAAACATTGGATTTAATAACTTTCTCTGGTTATAATTTATATAACATAAAATGATAACTTTTAATTTGATTAACAACAATTTAACTTTTAAACTGTTAATATAAAAGTTAATTTTATTAACACATAATCAACTTTGCTTTTTGTTCAATTTACCAATAAATTGTTCACAATTAACTAATGATTATCTCAACTGTATCGTTTGCCTCTACAATTTCATTGGACAATTAACTCCAAACTGAATTTAAATCGTCAATCTAACAATCGGTTAATTAATCACTTTCCAAGCATTTGGTTATCAAATTATAATCAAACTATTAGAAAGTGATAATAAGTAATTAGTAATTTTTTTCATTGAAATATTGATTTGGTTTGTTGTTCATTGATGAAGAAAACAATTTCTCATCTCCTCTCCTCGGGCTCAATTAAAAGGTTAATTGTTGTTTAATTACTTTGATTTACAGGTACAATATTGTCATCAATAACAATACTGTTCGGATGTCCAACTGAATATGGTAAAGGTAAATGGAAACGAGCATTTCTATTAACCTTAATTGCTGGAATCCTTCAATTGTTAACAGCGATTTTTGTATTCGGTTGGGTTTGGTCAATCATGACTGGAATAAACTTTATCAAACGTGAGTATTAAATGATAAAGTTAATTACAATTAATAACTACGATACCTTTTAACTACAAGTCCCAACGAATCATGTTGGTTAATTGTGATAGTAATTAAATTGTAGAAAGAGAAAAACGAAAGACAAAAGTTTCGAGAGGAAAATTTTCTTTCTCTATTTTGTTTGATTCTGTTAATCGCCATCATCTGAATATTAAATCAACTAATTGTTCCAGATCGTTGATTGTTATTATTATTTATTAACCAACTAAATTGTTATTTTTACTGGTCAAGATCACCTGAAATTCAGGGTCAGTCTTTGTTTTTGTTTTTACATGATTATCCTTGTAAATTATCAGTCCAATCGTTAATTGTTATCATTGTTATTTGATTGTTGTTTATTAATTGGTTCATCTTTACTTTTTAATTGTTCCAGATTCAAATAAGATGAAAGATTCAAAATATGGTTATGGTGATGCTGTTTAAATTTTCTTTGGTCATTTAACAATTACAATTAACTTGGAAATTGTGATTAACTGATTACCAACTTTCTCTTGGTCTCTTTTTTTTTATAACAATTTAATTAATCAATCAATGGATTTACTTTACGTTTTGTTTGGCTGATTATTCAAGTTTTAGATTGTTAATTGTTAGTGAAAAATTTAATTTTACTAACAATCATTGAGGATTAATTATTTGTTCAATTGTAATTAATTATTTTAATCTAATTAACTCTGATGCCATTTAAATACAATCAAAGTAAAAATTGAAGTCTCTGGAAAAGCAATGGAAGCCTTAACTTTATATTAGTTAATCAACAACAATTAACTAATATCAATCCGATTATCGTACAATTTATCATTTAAATTAAATTAAATTAAATTTGTTTTCTCTCTCTTTCGCTCAAATCATAATGAACAAATTAATTAACAATCAACAATCATAATCGTTATCAAACTAATCACTCAAAACTAAATTGTTACCTGATATTTGATCATTGTAAATATTTAATTGTTATTATATTAATACCTTAATACATGTTACATATAAATTACAATTTTAATTTCTCAAGCTAAACTGTTAACAATTAAAGTTAAACACTAACCAGATATGTAATAATAATCAACAATTTGTGACCATAATAAACACAATCAAATTAAATTGAAATCACACAAATGAAAAAATAAAACATGAAATTTACACCGGAAAAAAAAGTTCATTTCAATAATTAATCATTGATCTTAATCAATACACTAATTATGATTACAGTTTCTAATTGTGATAATAGACTAGGGATGAAAATTAATCAAACTGAATTAAGTTAATTGTCAAAGGACTTGGACCTTGACATGAATGAAGATCCAAAAGAGAAACGAGATTTTTTTTAACTTTTAAATGGTTCACTGATTAAATGATTATGTTGACAAAATTGTCCTCAAATGATCATAATCATCACAATTAAAGTTAAATAATTAACTTTTGATACTTGTTAACACATGGGCGAGGCCATTTTGATGAAAAAGACAATCAATTTGATCATTTAGTTAATCAATTAAAACTTTTTGGGTGGAATTAAAAATTTGATCAACTTTCTGGTTACAATTGAAATTGTAATTAAATGATTACTACAATTTGTTTATTTTGACAATTTATTAATCATTTTTAACATGATTAAGATAATTAATATACTTATATATTAATCTATTAATAGTTTACTTTTAAAATATGACAATTAAAATCAATTTTAATTGACACATTTTACAATATATTAAAATTTGTAAATGATTAAATTAAATCATTATTAGTATTGATAGATATTAAATTTGTTTCTTTTAGAATTAATTTAGTTTTAAATTTTTCAGCAATTAATTGAAATATAATCAATGCAAGTTGATCATTTTTTTTTCAATTACACAGTAATTTTGATTTGATTGTTGATCCGATGATTGTTGTGAATTAATGTTTTGTTGATGATGAAGGATGATGATACTTGAGTCTCTTGAAGGGTGCAAATGATAATATATATTTTTTATACCATTGATTTAATCTGATATTGAAATAATATATATTTATGACATTATGATGATTAAATGTTTATTGATTGTTGACACTTATTATCTGATGAATCCATCCGATAAAATTTGAGACTTTAACATAAACTCCAGGTACATCTAATCGTCCACATCCAAATCCCCATGAAACTAAACCGGTAAGCTCATAGAAACCATCAACCTCACAAACTAAGGGTCCACCTCCATCACCCTGTATGAGAGAGAGAGAGAGAGAGAGAGAAGAGAAAAAGAATAAATTAATTTGATTTATACAAACAGTAATTAGAAGTTATTAGAATTAATTGGAAAATATTTAATTTAGTTTATAAATCTTACCTGACAAGCATCATTTCCTCTTTCACCTCCTGCACAGAAACTGCTAGTGGGAAGGATAAATGTCTTCTCGGTCACTGATTGTATCTTCGTGGTACATTCTTGGTCATCTACTATGGGTACATCAGCCTCTCGTACTTTCAAAGCAATTGGACCAGCTGAGGGAATAGAGAGAGAGAGAGAGAGAGAGAGATAGAGAGATAGAGAGAGGGAGAAAGGGATGAAGGTGATAAATTATGAGGTTTTGAAGATAATCAAGGGATTTAATGTACAGAGATCATGGTGAGAAATGTGTGAACATTAAAGTGATCAATTGTTGGAGTCATTAGATTGCTGGGTGATTGTTATGAATCTCTTACTTTCTTCACGATAACCATAACCAGTGACTGTACATCTTTGTCCTGGTTTACGGGTTGATCCACGTTCAGGTAAACAGACTAAACAAATTGAATCATTTATCTGAACAGGAGATTGAATTTTTAATAATGCAATATCATTATCCAAAGTAACACCATTATGATTATGATGAATATAAGTTGTTGACACTTTCTGAGTTTGAGCTGATTTACTTTTAATTTGAGCGGATAAATCATAGTCACCAACACGAACATAAATCGATTCATCATTACGAACCAAACTGTTTCGAAAGAGAAAGAGTAACAATTAGATTAATTGTTGTACATTGGAATAAGAAATTGAATTTACTTTGTTATACAATGAGCAGCAGTTAAAATCCATTGAGATCCAATTAATGCTCCACCACAAATGTACTGATTGTCGGCGTTGATTAAGGCCACATGCCAACACCATTCCCCGGGAAGGGCATCGTTACCACCGACGATTCGAGGGGACTCACGACGCTGGTTACCCTTGAATCCACACGAATAAGGAGTTGCCTGTCTTGGAGGTGCTGACAATTAAAAGGAAAATTAAATAATAAGAATTGATTTAACTTTAAAATCGAGATTAATTTTTCAACAATTAACATTCGCACTCTGATTGTGATGAAAATCACTCAAATATCTTCAACCATAAAATGTTACAATTCAATCTTCTTAGAAAGTGAACAATTAAACTTAACAATTGTCACAGTTAAATTATCTTGATTATAATTAAAACTTTTGATGATCAATGAAAGTGTTTAACAACAATTAAAATGATTTTCTTTTCAATTTTTAGTAATACAATTAACATCTTGTTGTTTTCAAGTTCGTAGGTTAATCTTATTTTTTTACTCTCTCTCTAATTCAATTGTTAATTGTTGCGCTTAAAGTGTTAATTGTTAAAAATAATAGTTAACAGGATTTTAGAGCTACCAAGTTAAGGTCATAATCAATTTAAAATCCTGATTAAAATGATGAAAATGATTATTCAAGTTTCATCCCTGTGATTGTTGATCATCAATCACCATTAATATTAATTGAATAATAAAACAAATTTTTGTGTCATGTTAATGTTGACAATTAAATCGATAGACTAGATGTTATCTAATTGTTTCAAGGGATAATAATTTAAATGGTATAATTATAGATGAAAATAATTACGTTTAACTGGAGGTAAGATAATTGTTGGAGTAGTAACAGAACTCGACTCATCAAGTGATGATGAGTTAATCTTTGAGGGAATTGATGGTTTCCATACTCCATTATTGGCCTTTATATTGGCCTCGTAGGTTTGAATATCGTTAAGATCGGCGCAGCAAATTTGTCCTTGTTTGGCACAGAAAAATTTAGGATAGATTGAGTTCCCGCCGAAACAGGTAAACCGGAAAAAGGGTGCGATGCATGGGCCAGGACAGAAGGGAACACCGCCCGGGAATCCTGCTACCGATACACTTGGGTTATTGTCAAATCCGGGAGGATTAGATGGAGAAGATGATGAACTATCTGATAAGGGAACAAGAACTTCCATCTCAGCGGGATTTGTTTCTGAAACATTGGGCTCAGGTTGTGATGGGGGAGAACCAAGGAATCCAGTGAGTTCCAGTTCTTCATGAGGTGAGGCTACTGGTGGAGCAGGAATTGGCTGAGGTTTAGGTTGTGGTTGAGGTTGAGGTGGTGCAATTTGGATCTGTGGTTTTCGATTGGGAATAAATGGTGTGAAGTTATGTGGAGGTGATGGTGGCGGTGGGAGGCGAGTCTGTGGTTGATAATTCATTGGCGGTGGTGGAGGTCGTAAACCTTGAGGTGGACCTTGAGTATTCATTGGGATGTTTGGTCGTTGGAAATGTTGAATATTTGGTGGACCCATGGGATAATTGTTCACTGAGGGTGGAGGATGAACAGGTATACGAAGTGGTCCTGGGGGTGGACCATTGAATAGTGGTGGTGGTGGACGTTCATTAGCTGGACGACGATCTTGGTAATGGCAGCAAATTGTCCCCGACATACAATTAGCTGTTTTCAAGACAAGTTCAGAGGGAAGTTGACAAATACCACTTAACCAGGTTGGTATACAGGCCCCTGAACATCCTGGTATTGGCGGTGGAGTTGTTGAAGGTTCATGATTGTAGCAACATGTACCACCATTAGAACAAACTTTCGTTGTATCCGTTTCATCACAGACAAAACTGAGGAAAGGGATAACACACATTCCATCGCATTTATTTTCCTCTGAACTAGATTGATCTTTAACGGATTCTGAAACATTAGCCGATGAGCCAATGTTATTATCGAAAGATGAGCTTGTGGTTGTTGATTCAGTAGTCGGTGGGTAGTTTATCGTTGTTGATGATGGTGATTTTGATGGCGGTGGTGATTGAGATGTCGTTGAAGTTTCCAATGATGTGGTTGAAAATTGTGGCGATTGTGATGGTAATGATGATGATGACGATGGCAACAGTGGTGACTTGTAGATTGAAGGTGGTACTTGGGATGAATTACGGTTTGGGATGAGAGAGAGAGTTAAATTACTTGAATCTTTTTCTGATTGAAGGCAACATGTTTCCATGAGATTATCACAGATTCCATCGGTTGAGATATTACTACAATAAATAACAAATCGAGAGAGAACACAAACACCAGGACACCGGTGGTTAATCTTTACGGTGGTTGTCGTAGGAGTTGCGGTTGTTGGAGCAGAGGTTTGTCTTGTTGGAAGACTAAAATGTCCTGAATTAGATTGGGTGACTGGTGAAACTGAAGTGTACCAGGGTCGATTACTGGGATAAGGTGAAGATGAATAAAAAGATGGCGATGATGAGGAATAATAAGATGAGGATGATAATGGTGATGGTGATGAGAAAGGTGATGTACTAAAATATGAATATGAAGGTTCAGTTGATGAATATGAAGATGTGGATAGTGATGAGGATGAGGATGATAATGGAGATGAGGTTGTTGATGTTAAATTGTAATAAATGGTTGTTTCATTGGGATGATTGGTAACATCAAATGGAGGTGATGTTTCAACTGCTGTCCCGTAATTTGAGCCACTGGGCACACAACATCTTAGGAAAGGATCACCACAAGTAACTTCTTCCAGAACATGTTCACAAAAAAGCGATGCAATTGCATGAAGACATTCACCAGGACATGTTGGATTTTTACTATTGTGCATCAATTTATTGAAAAGATCTGACACCAAAGAAAAGATGAACATTATTAAAGATTAACCGATTAACAGATTAGAGAAAAGGTTTGATCAAAGCTACATTAAGATTGCTGAGATTATGGAATCACTGGTAAGGTCGTTTACTTGTTTATCTTATGCGAAGGGAGAATAGAAAATGAAATGAATGAAATTCGTTTCAATTTCTATTCAATCGAATTTCTTTCTCTCAAAAATAATGAGCGGTTTGTAGAATTACATGGAAGTTGTGGTGTTCGATTTGAGTAATTTGTCTCTTGGTGAGAATTTTAGAAGTTAAAAAGAAGAGAGAAAAAATAGAGAGAGAGAGAGAGAAGAGAAAGAGAAATCAGGAAGAGTAATGAAAGTAGGAAGAGAATATGAAAAGAGATAATTACCTGCAAAGATACTTGTATCACCGGTTGATGGTGGTGGTGGAGTTGATGTAGAAGATGATGGAGATTCTGATGTCTTGTCATCTGTGGAAATTATTGTAACTATGAACAGAGAAGAGAAAATAAAATAGCAAAGAAGTAAATCTTTTACTGTCACTGGAATGTCCATTATGGTGAAGATGGTGAATTATTTCAATGGCGAAAATGATGATTATGATGATGATGATGGTGAAAAGATGACGATGGATTAGAGATTAAACCAATTACTTCCTATCTCTTTTTGTTCTCTCTCTCTCTTTCTCTTATTATAAAACTGATAATTATAACTGAATGTTAACTTTTCAAGGACACAGAAAAAGAATATTAGAAGAAGAAAATGGAAAATGGAAAATGATGAACATAAAAAAAAAGAGCCAAACAAAAAAAGAGAAAAGTTGAAAAAGTTGAGATTCTCTTCTGAAGTGTATGAATGTTGCTTACGTACTTTGGAAAAGAGAAAAAAATTAACAGCAATACAGTTGATCTTCTGGCTGCGGGCGTTGTTTTAACATTTGTTGTTCTAAACCAACCAAGAGGTGAAACCAGTTTAATGTGAAAAAAGAAAAAGATAAAGAAAAACTCAGGTAAATAAAAACAAGTGACTTCAGATCAGTGACTTTTAAGGTGTCGGAGTAAAAGAGTAAAGAAAAACTGTTGATAGAAAAAAGAAAACAAAAATCCATTGGAAATTAACTTATACTGTTAATGTTCAATCAACGAAATCAGCGACAATTAGATGCACCATCAAGATGGATTTTGGGAGTCGATTGTTTGATATTTTTTCATATCGTTCATCACTTTATCCAATTTGGTAATTTTTCTTTGGCCTAATGGAAATAAAGAGAAAGATAATTAGATATGAAATTAAGAATAGATAATTTTATAGAATTGATTGTTTATCATATGGTCGAAATTTAATTGTTACCTTGTGTTGTCCGTCGCTTAGGACCTGATTTAGGGAAATTGTTATATTTTTCTGGTTGTTCCTCGTCGAAATCAAATTGATTTGGTTCCACTGAACTTGGCTTATTTTCATTTGACTCGGTCATCTTATTTATATCAACCAAATCTCTTGAATCATCTGAAGGTGATCTCTTTTCTGGACAGACCCATTTCAGTTCAATGTAATCACATTTTTCTAGTTGCTTATACAAGGTCGATATCTTATTACCACTTGGTTCCCATACTTTTATCCCACCGGGTTGATTGAAAGGTATCACTAGATTATTGGCTACATCATAAAGCTCATCATCAGAACAGGTGATACTCCAATCGTTATCCTCTTGATCCATTGACATTTCTCCTTCTTTTTTACTGGAAAGTAATAGAAAGTAAAAGAAAACAATGAAAACAATGTAAATGAAAAAAAATAAAAACACTAATCCAAATGTTGACTGGACAATTTTGTGAATAGAAAACATGAAGCAATTTACTTACCTTGTCACCTTTATAAATTTCCTAAGATGAGAGTTAAATGTTTAATTTGATTGTGAACAAATAAAAACGTCTAAATTGTAATTAAAAACATTAATCATGACAATTTTTACCAACAACAATGATGAAAAAAGGTTGATGTTTTCTCATTTCTTTGGTTGGATAGTTTAACCGAGTCGATGAGATTATTCACTCACACACAGAAAGTAAACTATAAACTAATTAGTTGATAATCAATATAAATCAATAGTTAAACAGTTAACACAATAGAAAAATTGATTACCAATTAAATGAGCTAAATTAAAAGACGAAGTTAATTGTTTTTCTTTTGAAAATAAATAAAACCGAAGTTCTCAAAGCCGACACTAGATGGAGTTACTTTCGAACATGTGTTTTCTGTTTTCTTTTCATTTTCGTTGTTCAATTTAAATTAGTTTAAACAATTAAATCTAATAACCAGATTCTGGTTTACTAATTCCAAGTTAATTATGTCGATGATTCTAAATCGTCTGAACATTCTTAAATCTACTCTGTTGGCTTCAAGATCTAATCTTTTAAGGAGTAACCCAAGTTTCTTATCTACAGTAACTTCTAGTCCATCAACTCAGGTAAACAATTAATTTTGATTGACCTTTTTTTTTACTATAAATTTAATTTGTTTGTTTGTTTCTATTTATTATAAGGTTCCTGAATCTGAACATATTAGTGAGTCAGCGGAAGAGCTTGATACTCTGTATAAATATTTGGAATTGCAATTAAAAGCTCACGAAACCCCAGTTTTGTATTCTTATAGGAAATTTGTCATTGCCACAAGTGAAGAGCTTGGAATCCCTTTTGTTAAAAGGTTAATTGTTTTTTCCCTTTCTATCCTTGATTAATTTAATTTCTCTCACATAATCATTTACAATTTAACCTTTACGACTAATCTATTCAATTTCGCATAGTCTGATTGTTATTAAGAATTAAGACTAAGAAATGATTTCAATGAGATGGGATAAAATTTCAATCCATCGATTGAATTTCAGTTCACTTTGCCCAAACTCATTTAAACAAATTAATCCTCATTGGAGACAATCCTTTAACTTATAATTATATCTTTATTTTGATAAACAATATATTTCTTTTTACAGTGAAGAGCCTTGGAGACACATTTTCGAAACCATTATTGAAATCACGTTTCATTTATAAGGATCATCGAGCTGTTTATGAATTTCGAACCTATTTTTTAAATTTACACTTTAAAAATTTGACTGGATCAACAGCGGACACATTTCTAGAATATATCCAACGTAATCTTCCTGAAGGAGTTCATATGACAGTAGTTAAAACTGCATTGGCCAAATTTCCTGACCATTTGAATCCACAACAAGCTATATCATCAGAATGAATCTTAAATTTATCACCAATCTCATGTTGTCAAATTGTTTGCTTGTTTTTGTACATTAATTTTCTCACCACCATGAGATTAGGAGAAAGAAAATTTCAATTTATATATATATATAATTAGTTAGCTAAAATAAATCAATGCTTATTTAACAATAAGTATTGTTTGAGTCGACAACGATTTAGCTCATGTAAACTTAAATTGTCTGATTCCAATAGCAAACAAGAGACAAGACCAACCAAAGCAGATATAAAATGTCGGAAGAACAGCCGAATGCCATGGACCTAAACCTCGAAGTAGAGTATTTCTCAGCCCTTGTGCCCCCTGAGTGACTGGAGATAATTTTGAAATAGCTCGTAACCAAGGAGACATTGATTCAATCGGCCAAAGGACACCACTGAATATCATGAAAGCAAACATGGCAGCAATGGAGAAAGTGAAAATTAAATCAATTCGACTACTTTGTGAAGAGATAACCATCCCGAGACTCATCCCGTTAATGGAAACAATGAAAAGGATGAAAAAAGATGTCAATAGTTGGGTGAACGCAGGCATGTCCAATATTTGTAGGACATAAACACAAGTACATAGAACCGTTGAAATTTGAATAATGTTGGATATTTGCCGGTTAAAAGCATGAGCCACCAGAAATTGTAACGGAGAAACGCCGATAACATAATGTCTGTCCAGCATATTATCATTTCGTTCAAAGCTAATGATAACCGCTGTAATAGTATAACCAATGGTGAAACAAACGGCAGCCATGAAGCCCGGTAGAGTGAATCGTTTGAAATTATTGTGGCGATTAACATTGGCCTCACCGAAAATTGGTCTTTCCATTTTAATTGGTAAAGCGGCGATAGTTGGTTTCCTGCCCTTTTCAGCTAAAGCATTTCTAACAAATGAATGAAAAGTCCGATCTAAACTTCGTGTTACATGGATAACCGTTAGATCATCTGTTAAATCAGCGTAAAGTTTGATCGTTGAGGAATCAATTGTTTCATTGGATAAACTTGGATTGGTAAAATCGATTCGATTCAAAATGGAGTTGGAAAAGTTATGCTTAAAATGAAGGACACCCCAAGTTCGTTGGTGTTTTATATCGTCCAGAGCTTCGTCCAACGATTCATATGGAACAGCATTAATGTGATAAGTATCAATGTGCTTAAGAAACATTGAACTATATTCACCGCCACGATCGTGATTAACTATGGCCACTCGAACATCAAATGGATCTAAACCTACAGCAATGCAAAGAAGTACAACTGGAACCACTGGAACGATAAATTGTAACACCAAGAACGGAAGATTACGAATATTTCTTAAAGTGTTTTTCCAAAAAATAATGGACACAATGGTAAACCAATGGTCAAGATTAACGGTGAACAATTTATTCAAATCAAGTGGACTATAAGCCGCTTTAGGTTGATAAATAATTTCACCTGAATACTGATTATCAGGGGGATCAGGAGTCTCTGTAATTGTAGCAATTTCTGATGAAGATGGTGATGAAAGGGAAAAGGTTGACGATGACGATGAAATTGGATCAATAGTTGAGTTAACAATTTGTTGATTGTTACAAATACAAAGAAATGCTTGTTCCAAGGTAACAGCTCCATATCTTTTCATTATAACTTCAGGATTATCTTCAGCTAAAAGTTTACCCTTTCTCATTAATCCAACACAATCAGCTTTTCTTGCCTCTTCAATATAATGAGTGGTCACTATAACCGTAATGGACAATTGATTTGAAAGATGAGCCAAATGAGACCAAATTGACCGAGTAACCATTGGATCAACACCGGCAGTTGGTTCATCAAGAATAACCAATTTAGGTTTACTTATAATGGAAGCTGCAAATGATACTCGTCTCATTTGTCCACCCGATAAACCGGAAATCATCCTTGTTTTTGGTGGAAGATCAAGTAAACTAATCAGATAATCAATGGCTGAATCAATTTTTTTACTCTCAAGTAAAAAGAGACGACCAAAGTATCTCAATGTTTCCTCAATGGTTAACTCATTATACAATTGACACTCTTGAGGCATGTAACCAACTCCAGGGCCAGGAATATTGAGTCTCTCGGAACCCAAAGGATAACCATGAATAAAGATATTACCACGAGCGGGTTTAAAATAACCCACCAGACATTTGATCAATGAAGTCTTACCACAACCACTGGGACCTGATTTTGGAGGAGATTTAAGATAAAACAAGAAGCAAATAAAAGAGAGAGAATTACAATTATAATCAAGACAAGATAATCAAAGGAATCAACTAATGTGATCTCAGTATGTGTAAGAACAACATTTAGAGAGAGAGAGAGAGAGAGAGAGAGAGAGAGAGAGAGAGAGAGAGAGAGAGAGAGAGAGAGAGAGAGAGAGAGAGAGAGAAGCCAAAAGTTAATTGAGTATTAAGTTATCAGGAATCAATGAGGATTAGATGATTACCTGATGGATTCTTATGTTTTCTTAATCATTTTGGACAAATCAACTTACAATAACATTCAACTATTGCCACTACTGTTTTTACCAGAATTTGATTTAATGAAGATAAGTAATCAAACTTAACTAACAAACCTGCGGATAATCAAGGGAAAGCAATTTAACGATCCTTGATTTAATTTTAGTTTTCTTTTGCTTCTAAATTCTTGTTAATCTGCTTTTCAATTTAATCAACTTGGAACCTTGATTTACCTTATTGGTAATATCATTCATGTATTAATTTACATCACCAAAATCATCATCCTCTGATCGGTTGTTTTAAATTTGATCAGATTAGATGAGGAAAATCAACAGATTAACTTACAATTATAATGATTACAAGTTAATTAAATTTGATCATCTCTCGTGTTTTTGTTACAATTTTGTTGGTTGTTTTGTTTTAATTACTCTCAATGTTTAATGGGAATACTTTTAAACAATAAGGATTAACTATAATTTAGTTTAATCCACTGAAAGATTAATTAAACATACGAAACAGTGTAAATTTCATTAATCATCAGTAATTAAGTTGATTATTCATCAATGATTGTTAATTGGAAACATTTGACTCATTTTTTTCGCAATTAAATTCAATTATTCAACTTTTACCTTTAGCAAAAAAAGTTACGATCTGACATTCAAATCATGATAAGTATTACAATCAGATAATAAAATAATTAACTAAATAAGCACAATCAAATTAAAGTCAATTCAATGATAATGGTGATTGAAATGATAATTAAAAAAAAACAGAATCTAAATAAGTTAAAAACTTTGATTAGATTTCGCTTGTTTTTTTTTACATCGCCAACGCAATTAACTAACTATTACAATCAACGTTTTCTGATGTTCTCAAATGAGCTAACAAAATCGCCAACAATTAACTAACTGTTGACGCAATTAAATTGATGTAATCGTAACGATTTAAGGTAAAAGTAATTGATTTAAATAATCAATGATTAAAATGAAAAGTGAAAGTAATTATATAATTGGGAAAATATAATCAACATCCTAATCATTTTGTACTAAACTACAAGAGTCTTAAACATTATATTATATAATCCAAATGATTAAAGTTTTGTTTAACCCTAGATAATATATTATAATGGTAGTAATCAATTACCATAATTTATCATAATAATCAACAAATTGTGAAGAAAAAATCAATTCTAAATCAAAGTTTAATCATGTTATTCATAGACTCATCTTTTCATGGATTAAATCAATTCAATGAACCAAGACCAAGATTATTTTGAGAGAAACTCCAACAATTATAATCAAATGAGACACAATAAGATTTACAACAAGTTACTGTTAACTATTAGTTAACTTAAAAAGCAAACTGGATTAAAGGTTAAATAAATAAATAATCAGATAATCATGATTAAGACTGATGATGTTGAAGAAAGCAAAGAAATGTTCAAATAATAATAACAATCACAGAATGATGATAATCATTGAAGCAAGAAAAATGTTTCTCAGTCCATTTTTTACTGGAAGATGATGAGGATGAAGATGAGGATGAGGATGAGGATGGAGATGAAGATTTGTAATATGATTAAAATCCATGATCTTTTTTTTCCATGAAAATTGAGTTTTCAGAATAATTCTGAAAATCGATTGAGAAAATTGTGAACAGAAAAAAAAGTTTTCTAAGTGATATTTTTAGATTCTCAATAAACTTCCCATGATTATCAATTCTCAGTTTGAGATGTTGATCAAATATTCATCAATGTGTCAACTCAAATTAGTTTTATCATTAAATTGTCCAAATTTAACAGTAAAACTTTCAACAGTCACTAAAAAATAATCACAATCAATAATGATAATAAATTGTTATTCGAATTGGAAAAAGATTTTCTTTTTTTAAATAACCTTTTCCCTCTTCAACTCTTGTTATTTATTTTTCTATTGATTATCATTAGTGTAAAACTCTTGAGGTCAGTTGAGTTTGCTGATGTTTTTGGCCTTTAAACAACACATTGAACGGACCATTAATCTTCAATCAATTTCCACCAGCTCATCCCACCCCAATATCCACTTCCTCCTCCTCTTCCTACACCTAATCATCCTCATCTTCATTTTCATCCTCATCATCAGCATCTTCATCATCAGTTTCCACCCACAAATTTCATCTTTTTTTTAACCTTTACTTTCATGATAATTTTAATCACAATTCAGTATTTTTCAATTTTATCAATCATTCATCATTCCCGATTATTAGATTGTTCAACTCACAATCAATTTGATTGTAACTTGTGGTTAAAAATTGTTGATTGTTGTGTTACATTTTTGATTGTCACATTCTCGTAACAATTACAGTTATCAACTCAATGTTTACAAATAAATAATATTCTGAATGAGACAAACAATCAACCAAGAAAAAAAAAGCTGGACAATTGCCTAAATTGTTACAATAATTGTAACAACTGATTGAAAATAATCAACAACAATTAAAAGTCAAACAATGTGATCATGATCAATATGAATCATTAAACAAACTAGAAAAGGTAAATTTGTCAATTAAATTGGTAAAACTGATCAAAAATTTGATATATTTCAACAATCAATTGATTTAATCAACCTCCACAATCACACAGTTAATCAATTGTCTATTAATAAACAATCAATCAGCTTAAAATGTTGATAAACTCTCAAACCTTTCCAATCATTATTAACTTTTAATTTCAATGATTAACAAGTTTTATAAATTGAACAACAAACTAATTGAAAGAAAGTCCAAACTTAAACTCAATGTAATTACTTGTGTATTGTTTGAATGATCATCATGTTCAATGGTATTGATTATCATCACGGCATCGAGAATCAAAATTAACCGTTAATCGACCAAATCAACTGATCATCATCAACGTAAACCCTTAACCAATAGTATTAACTAAATTACAATCATTTGAAAATGAAAATGAAAATCATCCTCATCACCTCCCGATTAACCGTTAACAATAAATACAAAGTTAATCAAAACTGACCCAAGCCCATTGATGGTCATCTCAATGATAATGATAAAAGTTTCATTGACCCAGTCATTGGTTTATCATCAATAAAAATATATATTAATATAAATACAGATAAAATTGTCCATCATCAACCCGAATGTTAATCGTTGAATGAAATGAAAAAAAGTTCAGTTATAATGATAACATGGTGAATCCATTGTAATATATATGATTTCAGTTTCTTTGTCTGATTATTATCAAATCTCAACTTCTGAATTACTTTTGTCATGATAATACATGATGATATAATGAACCAATTGATACAATAGCAATCAATGGTCAGTTTACTAAGAGATTGAGAGTGGACAGCACGAATTTGCCTCTTCCAATCCAATTTATTGACCGAAGACAATTTAACTTAATTTTCTTAATCTTCTTTGGCTTGATGATCATTAAACTTGTTGATTATTTTGATTAAACAATTTTTTCTTTCTCCGAATGTAAAAAAGTTAATTGTAATTACTATTTCGCTTTCTCATTGTTGTATATCTCTATTATCCAATTGTGTTAATCATTATCAACAATATTCTAATAATTTAACAGCAATCAACATTTATTTTACTTCTTAATCATGTTAATCATGAGAAGAAATTTTTTTTTCTATTCCAACAATTAAAAATTAACCTTAATAACTTTTTCCGATGATTCGATTATTATATTTTCCTGATCAACCAATGTTATAACATTGAAAAGGTATTATGATTAATATTGAATATTGATCAACTTGTAACAATTTAATTGATTAATATAATTTGTGTGTGTGTGTTGATTGATTTGAGACTTCATTAATCAATTATTAATCATTAATTGGTGACATTGAACATAAGAAGCAAAAATGTAAGTGTGACATTGATCAGGATTGAACTGAATCATTGATTGATTTACAATTTAATTTAATCACATGAAATTAAATTTTGAATAAAATTAACATTGAATTTTCATCTTACCATATATTATAAATCAAACCTTGTAATCAGATTAACATTTTACAACAATTTAATTTGAAATTCATCACAATCAATGAGCGTAAAACCATCAAATTAAATCACATAGACTATTAAATATATTGAAGAAAAAGTTAACAATTAAGAGAGAGAGAATCAAGTTGATTGTTGCTAACAAATCAAATATATTTTCCCCCCAATGAAAGTTAATTTTGTTCAATTAAATTGTTCCTATCAAATCCTCTTGGACTACAACTAATCATTACTAAATTATCTCAACAATTAATCACAATAATCATTGATTAGTATCCAATATTGTAGACAAACAAACAAAATCAATAAAATCTTTTTTTCCAATTGTCAGAATAATTGTCAGAATTGATTCCTGATGATTACCAGAGCAAATTAAATTGATTGTTTCTCTATGAAAACAACAACAATACAAATTAAATCCAATATGATCAAGTTAATTGTTTCATTAAAGTGAAAGAGCCGAGGAAAAAAAAATCCCATCATCAACAACAACAATCAGAAATGATGATTAAGTGAAAACAGTGATGAGATGAAAACATTACTATAACTGAATTAGATTTAATCACTGGCCAGCAATGAAATTGATCATTATAATTGTTGAAACAATTTACTTCATTTTCATCAGCAATCAGTTTCAGCTTCTTAAATTACTCAATGTATTATTATCATCATCACCTCATAAAGTATAATATTAACACCGTTGACCGTGAAACTGATGATAATTTTTTCATCCTCATCCTCATCTTCATCTTCATCTTCATCTTCATCATGATCATCATTATCATCTTCACCTTAATCATTATCATTATCATCATTATTGAATAACAATTGAGTTACAGTTAACCAATTGTACAGTTGATTTCAAATTGGCGCTGAATCAATTTAACTGTTGTTATTATTATTATATAACCAATGATTATTACAACAGTTAACAAAAATTATGATTATGATGATCATGATTATGATGATTAAAGTTTTTTTAACTGAACAATTTAAATCAAAACTGAAAATCAACTGAACTGGTTTAAAGGTTGATAATAAACATCACATTATGATTATCAACCTAAATATTATCAAGAAAAAAACTTTCTGACCTTAAAACTTGTTTACCGTTATTATCATGATTAAATTACAATCAATTGAAACTGATAATTGTTAATCATAATCATCGGTATCATCATTATCATCATCACAATTATTTAACAATTGAATCAAAACCGAGCAATCAGTTGATTAGTTTATTTAGAGGTTTCAATTTAGTTTCTTTTAAAAAGGTAAACTTCATCATTTAATTTAATTGTTACTCGCAATTTACTGATTTAGAATTAATTTTTTTTTCTTCTTCTTCTTCATTTTTAAATCTATTGAAAGAAATGAACAACAATTAAATTGAATCCAAGTTTTCGGTTAAATTGAAAACTAATTGTGATTCTAATTGATGATTGACATTGAAAATCTTTAAGCAATTTAGTTTAATCAGTTCAATACGTGTAATTAAAAAGTGGTTAATTGTTGAACATTATCAATAATAATTAGTGGAAAAATGTAAGAAAGTTAATTGTGATTCACGATAATCAAAAGTAAATTATATACTCTTGATGATCGTTGATTGCATTATATTATCATCACATTAAAATTAAATTAAGTGTTATGATATCGAGGAGAAAAACAAACAAATTAACATAAACTAATCACGATTAAGTTAATTTAGTTACACTTACACTGTCAATTGAATTCAGTTCATGTTGATTAACAACAATAACCACTTCAATTACCAACAGTTAACCGTTAATCAGTATAACAATTAAAACCAATAATATGATCAGAAAAACGTAAAACCTGATGAACACCTTAATTGTTAATCCAATATGATTAGCTAACAATTAGCTTACAGGTATTGTCAAATCAATACAACTGAATAATTGAATTAGTAAATTGTAAATTCATCGATTCAATTATTATCAAAAAAAAAATAGATCAGGTAAACAATCAATCTAATTTTCTGAATCTGAATCTCAATTGAACTTTTGCTTTGTTTTTCATGGTCAGAAAAAAATACTCACCATGAACTTGGACATTTCAGAAAATTGAGAAAAAAAAAATGAGAAAAAGAAACAACAAAAAAAAGTGATTGATAAACAATAAGAACAACAAAAATATATATCATGATATTATTCATGGTATATAATATATGTATCATGATGGTGAAAAAAGTTCTGGTTCTATTAAGGTCAGGAAAAAATGAATTGAATATCAGAATCGATAAAGTTGATTTACCTTTGGTATATCTCACCCAAAAATAACGGTAAAAAGTTATTGCCATTATAATTTATGGTAAAAAAAAGGAAAAAGAAGAAAAAAAAAGTTTCTTCTGGCAAAAATTTCCACAGATTTCGATCGATGATTGAAAATAGAATGAAAATAATGTAATGATGATGAAGATGATGAGGATGAGGATAACAAAGAAATAAAGATGAGGCAGGAGGGTGGAGTGTGTTTGTGAGAGAGAAAGAGGGGAGGAAAATGGTGTAAGAACTATCAGTGTATCAAATGATCAGTAGCATCCAGTTATGATGATAAGGATGATGACAGAGATGAAGAAAATAACTATTATAATAAAAATTATCAGAAAAGAGTGAGAGGTTTATGGGAGGAGGATGAAGATGAGGAAGAGAAAGTTAACTTATATTTGTAATTTCGTTTTTCATCATTTTCTCCTTTTTTTTCACCATCAATGTAACTGAGAATGGGGGGAGACGAGGTATTGATAATATTATTAGAAGATGGTGATGATTAGGATGATGATGATAAGCAAGAGAGAGAGAGAGAGAGAGAGATTGATGATGAAAATAGATGGATTTAGAATCAGTATATAATCAGTGAAGGAAAAAGTCTGTTGAATGGAAACTTTTTCCTTCCTAATAATATAACAAATAGGAATTGGTCTTTAGTCTTGATATTATTACACTATATCATCATCATCTCCATCATCTTCATCATCTTTATCATCCTCATGTGAACAAAATCAATGCTTTCTAACTGTAAACTCTTTCTGTCATCATCCTCATCATTGCTACTTTTTCTTGCCCTAGTTTCGGATCTCACTGACTCTCTCCCTCTCCCTCTCTCTCATTATTATTGTATTAAGATGATGATAAGATTAATAAATCATTTTCATCTATCACATGAAATAATATCTGAGCAAATGAACACTTTTTTTCATTATAATGACAAAAACAAATCTTTCAGATGAAATGATTCATAATTGTGATATTGTTGTTTGATTTATATAAAAAAATAACAAGACGATGAAAAATTATCATCGATTTGTGATTAATAATCAATTGAACAGTAAAAAAAATGGTTTAAACTTAATTGTGTTTTGTTTGAAACAAAATTTATTATTATTAAATTAAAGTTTCAATAATATCATATTAGTAATATAAAAATCAGCTCACGTTATTTCATCATTATCATGATTGTTAGGATTTAATGTCAGTTACAATCAAAAAATGTAACTAATGTTATTACAATTCAATATTTATTAAAAACAATAACAATAAAAGTTCAGTAATAATAAACATAAATTGAATTCAGTTGAAAAAACAAATCAACATGATACAGAGATTGTAAAAACTGTTCCTGACACTTTGGATGATTCTGAGTCTTGTGTCTACTCCCAACAAAAAGATTGACAATTTCAATTCAGAAATCACCATTATCATCATGTTCATCCATGATAAACCTTGACTGAATTTCAGATTTTCTTGTATTGTTGAAATTATCACCAAAAAAACAACAACAACAACAATCAGAATCATCTGTTTACCTGAAAGATTACATTAACCTTGAATGAAATTTTCTAATGAAACTTTTCAATACAAGTAGTTGAAATTGAAAGAGTTAATTGTTGTTATCTCATCAGTTTCATGGCTTCAGGGTGAGTTTCAAATATTAATAGATTTATCTGATTCTATCATCATATGGAACCAAGAATGAGTCATTGATTGAATCTAAAGATGAGAGAAAGTCAAACTTGGTTTCTTATTATTATTACTATTACATAACTTATCTGTTTCAAGGGGTTTCCTTTATTGTCTATTGATTGAATTAACTAACATGTCATGATAATTCATGAAACAATCAAGATAATGTCCAGAAACTGTCAAAATAATGATGATAATCGTATGAGAGATTCAAGTGACAATTCATGATAACAATTAACCAGAGTAACAAAACTTATCCTTCATTCATATCTTCCTATTGTCTTTGACATTGATACAATTAATTAACTTTGAGTTGATTATAATTTGATTAGCTGATCATCAACGACATAATCATCTCTCACCTAATCTATTATCACAAATCTAATATAATTAACTTGATCTCTCATCATCATTAATGCCAATTAACTTTCAATAATTAATGTGTCAACTAGTAAACAAACATTTTTTTAATTGTAATTAGAGTTTAATATTAATAATCATGATAATAATTAACTACTCAACCCTATTGATGGACAAATTAATTAGTGGAAAAGCTAATTATCAACTTAAATTGGATAAACAATTGACAATGTCGTTGATGATTGTTACCATTAGCTAGTTAATTACCTTTGCATGTTTAATTTAATTTAATTTAATTCAAATACGTACCATTAATTACTTTGTTTTCAACCAAATTGGTTGATTAGACACCAGCAATTAACCAAAACCCCCTTAAATTTACATTTATTATCCTAATTTAAGCTTTTTAATTGTTTTTTTTTTCGTCATATTCTAATCACAAACAATTAGCGTTAATTGTCTTGAACAAACAATTAGAACTCATCATAGTTTTTTGATTTATTCACTTGGCTAATTGTTAATCTACTGTATTGATTTTGTTTGACTTTCAACTGACCAAAAACTTATCGAGATCTTATTGATTTACCTTTCCAGCTTATTAGCCAGTTAATTGTTGATTAAATTAATCAAAACTTACCTAATAATCCGTAAATTGAAGCTGGTTTAACATTCATTTGAACGCCTTTCAATATATTCCCAGTTTGATTATAACCTAAGTAAAGATCATTAACTTGAACTGCTAATTGTTGAGGTGGTCGTTGATTGTTAGGCACAATTTCATCTGTTTTATCCATAATTAGTTAATAATTTAATAGATACACAAACAGTTAGTGAAAAAACTTTAAAACTAAATGGAAAAAACAACAACAAATGAAAATATGATTGAAATAATTAAGTAACAATTAACAATGAAAATCCCATAGCAATTTCAATGGGAACTTGTAAATATCAAAATGATGAAATTTTTGATTTTTTCGATGTTTATGTTGTTGTTTGTTGATTGAAAAATTAAAAGGAAATGTTGATTTAATTATGATTGTTAGTGTTGGATGATTTAAGATGATAATAATGATATAAACAAAGTTAACATGAGGAAAGTGAAACCAAAAGGTTAACTCATGATATCAAATGGAAAGTGAAAGTTGAATTCAGGTTCAGTTGGAATATGGAATCGAAAGGGATAAAAGAAAGAGAATACATTTTTCTCTTTCTTTTTTCCCTTCGTTCGGGAAAAGACCCTGAGGTGTTTAAGTAAACTACTAAACTGGTTTTACGATCATCCTTATCTTCATTATCATCATTATAAATTATTCGAAAAGATCGAATGTTGGAAGAAAACGAAGATTGAGAGAAAGAGAGAAAGAGAGAGAGAGAGAGAGAAACTATTTCGTTTTCGAACCGGTCAACATGTTCTAAATTTACAATCGAACCTACGAACCGATTGAACTTTTCGTTACATGAGATATTTTCCTTTCTTTCCATCATTTGTCTTCTCTCAGGTCAATTTTTCCCTCGAAATTTTTTGTTTTAACTCGACAACTATACTTAATAATAACTCTGTTAGCATTTAATTTAGTCTTCGGCTCTTTGATTATCCTGCCGTTGGACATTAATTAACTCACCTCAACTCTTTCCATGGGCCTTTCATTATGGTCAACGGATTGATGAACTGATCTACAAACCTGATATACAAACAAAGAGGAGGGTCGGCATTGATCTGGAGGAGTTAAAAGGCCCATGATGATCCTGGTGATGGCGGCAGGGAAAGAGGTGGACATGAAAACAAACGGAATAGATTTACCATCTTTGGTTATCATGGAATATTTTTATTTATTCTAACTTTATAAACTCTTTGATTTTTCCAATAATGAAGATGAAGATATTTTCATTAATATTTCTCCACTACTTCATTGATCTTCTCTTTCTTTTCTCACTTTCACCATAATGGATCATAAAAAAAAGATGGTGAGTTTAAGAAAAACTGGTTAACTTTACTCAATGACCAGATTCTTGATTAAGGTCAGTTCATTTCATTATTACCCAAAAGGTATAACTGGTTACCTGGTATCTTTTTTTGTGTATCAACTTTGTTTTACTTTAATTGAAGCAGCAATTTAATCATCATCAGCATTATCATTATCATCGTTTTGATAAAGTATTTGCATTTTCACCACCACCACAACCTCCTTCATCCTCTCTCTCCCTCCCTCTCTCTCTCTCTCTTTCTCTCTCTCACTCACTCGCATAACTCAACCTTCACTTACTTGACCTTCCAAAGTTGGTTTACCTTTGGCAAGAATGTTTTTGCCAATGTGTCCATCTTTTTGCCCCCAGGCAATTTGGGTGGTGCTGATCCCTTTAATTGTCTTCTGAATTACAATTAAAGCTTCTTACAATTAATTTATGATCAATTAAGTAACATTAAACCACAGGTGATTTAACTTGATGATTATAATAACGATAATAACAATAATTCAGTTGCTTAAGTATGTCGATTCATCATTAAACTTGAACAATGCAAATCTTAATTTAGTAACAATTAACTTAATCACATCAGTAAGTTGATAATTTTTTTGTCTTATCAATTATCATTTTAAATGTAATATTATAATACAAGTTATCAAACTGATCCAAACAGAATTAAATTTTTCAAATCATTATTTTCATTTTTACTACACTCTAATTGTAACAATCAAAAAGCAAATATTAACAAAATATTGAAAAAAAACAATAAGTTACAATTAATAACAATAAAAGATAAATATTATTATTAACTGTTTCAACAATTAACTAACAGGACAATGTGAATTAACCATTGAATTGCAAGAAACAAACTACTTAATCAATAAAGATTAACTGATTAAGATGATTGTTTAAATTAACCTGACCATTTAGAATCAAAATTGAAACAATTGAAAGGATGAAGTAAAAAAAATTACCGTTGGATTTTTTTTTCAGCGCTTGACCTTCACTGATGGGTCATTATTGTAAATGTAGAGTTGATTTTAACAGTTTAATTGTACAAAACCGTTAACCCACTAACTCAGGGTGTCCAGAGTTTAATCCTTAATCCAATGTAACCCAAAACAATAACCTAATCTAATAACAATCAAGTTAAATTGTTGTAACAACAAAAAACCCCGTTGAAAGACAACAAACTGCTCATGTAATGGGTAATAAGTAAATTCAAAAGTTAATCATCCCCTTAATCAGCTGGATTAACATAATCACCCTCATCCATGTGATGTATGATAAGCTAAGATGATAAAGACAAGGAAGATTATCGTGCCTCTCTCTCTCTCTCTCTTTCAGATTCCTTTACCATCGACATTGTATTAGTAGCTTGATGGGTTGGCAGTAATGATGAGGATGAAGATGAGAATGATAAAATGATCGGATTACATGAATTGAAAAGTTCATTTATCTTAGAACTACTAAATCAGCTAATAGAGGATAAGATAAAAAAAGAGCTCAATAAGTAAAGAGCAAAGAGAAAAGTTCTAACCAAGTTCTAAGTATCGAGAAAAAAAAAGTCAAAATGAAGTTCGTGAAAATGTTGTGACTCGAATATCAATCTAACTAGTAATTAGTTTATTTAAATGTAAATATCAGAATGCAAGCTCTACAAATGATAATAAGGTTTACCTTAAGGTACATACTAACTAGGATTTTCTGGTTCCCATGTTATCATGAAATGTTGTATTCATGAAACAAATCATTCATGTTGATATAATAATCATGTTATTGTCAATCAATATGAAAAAAACATTCAACATTTTGTAACAAATGTCATAATATTATGTGAGTTTGATAAATTACCCCAAACAATTAAATTAATCAACAGGCACCAAGATACAATTGATCAGTAACAATAAAATGACAATTGGTTCAATTTAATGTTGAAATTAAATCTTCCATTTTGATTACCTGACCATAAATTAATTGTGTATGCAAATTTATTATCAACTGTCCATTCAAATTGAATTCAAATTAAATATCTTTATGAAATATATTATATATAAATTGACCAATGATTCCGAATTGATTTACTAATTATAATCGCCATCATTGAGTAGATTTGTTTCTCTCCATGAATTTCATGATATAAAAAAAAGGAAAAGTGAAATGAACGAATTGATTGTATTGAGAGATATGTAATTTATTCCCTGAGTTTTATTTCCTGGTTTTCTGGGAATGAATTAATTTCCATTTCATTTCCATTCCGATGTATAATATTTTTGATACTTAATATCATGATTCAAATTTTAATGGATTATCATGATAATTATTCTTGATGGTGGAAAAGGTGAAAATAATATTCAAGATATTAATATATATGAGTGAAAGTTAAGTTTCTGAATGAATCAACTTTTCATTTGTGACTTGTATCAATGATAATCATTTGATATTGTTCATTGATGATTGTTAACATATTCAATCATGATTATGATTATTATATTTAGTAGGAAGATAGGGAGATAGAGAGAGAGAGAGAGAGAGAGAGAGAGAGAGAGAGAGAGAGAGAGAGAGAGAGAGAGAGAGAGAGAGAGAGAGAGAGAGGAAAAGTGAAGAGGACTTTATCTTCATCATCTTATGTATGTTTCGCAATGAGATGATATTCAATACTTAATTGAAAGCCATTGATGATCATCTTCATAATCAATGGAAAAAGGTTCATTCAAGTATTAGATTCATCATCATTCAGTCTAATGTCACCATGATGATGATCATCATCATGAATATTAGTCTCAAGTGCTAATCAGATGATTGTCAATGTGTATCATCATCTCTTACCCTTTTATCTTTCCCCCTTCACCTTTTCTTCATCCTCATGAGCTCTATTATCAGGTTGATTATTGTTCAGTAAGTTCATGATTAAAGGAAGACAAGAAATTGGGACAAGATGCTATGTAAGAATGGAACCAAAGGAGATGAACAAAAAGAGAAGGAAAAAAAAAGTTCTATTTGGGATCAATGATGGAAGAGATGATGATGAAGACAAGGAAGAGAGAAAGAGAGAGATGTGGGGTGGGGTGGGGTGGAAGTGGAGGTGGAAGAGGGAAAAGATTAAGGAAGTAAACATGAATGGAAAACCAATGAGAGGATTAACTTTTTTTTCTTGTTCTTTGTTTTGTCTCTTCATCTCTTTTCCAAGATTAACTAATCTCTCTTGCAACATGATTTGAGATTGTTGATGGTTGATTTATTATTATTTATCGATTATCATTGATAATCATTAGTTTATTGATTATCATCATCATCAACATGTTAAATTGTATCATGTTATTATTATTGTGAAACCTTGATTCTGATTATGTTATACTGACCTAAATTACAACTAAGTGTTAAAAAAGGTTCCAAGTTGTTTCAACTTATTGATTGTTAATTGATTATTGGCCTTACAATTAAGTAGCTACATTATCATATTGGTTTATAATTTCAGCTAATTGTAATTGATTTACGGCTAATTACAAGTTTAATTTAGTATTGGTTATAATGTAAGTGAGTGAATCAAGTTAATTGTGCCTCAATTTCATTAAACGATGGAAACACTTTTATCATTATTGATTTTAAATCATTTTTCAATATGAATTAAATTTTAATCTTCATGATTAAACTTTACTCACAATTTAAAATCAATTCAAGCTCTTGAGGCTTTTATTTTAATTCATCCATAGACAATTAATGGATTATAATTCAATGTGATCAAGATTATAATCCAAGTTAATCATTCTCATTATATTTTCCCGATTAAATGGATCACCGATATTTAGTGATTAACAAATTACCTGAACAATTAGTCTTATCGTTTATATTTAGTTTCTTCACGAGAGAATGATAATCGAAAAAAAGTTTTCTTCGAATTTTTTTTTGTTCAATCAAATTCGAAAGAAGAAAAAAGTTCTAATATGAAGACAAGGATCAATTTGATTCTCAACAATCAAGGAAACATATTCAAGGTTTTGTAATTCGTTAATTGTATCATCATTAAAAACTTATTTCCGTTGATTATGATCACAATAACATAATGATGATGATTTAAATATAATCACGTTCCGTCAATTGAGTTAATAACAATATTATGGAGAGAAAAGTTAATGATTGTAAATTAAGATCTCCCAATAGAAAAGGAATCAACAATTGAAACAAAAGGG